CTATTTACAGCAGGGATGGGGAATCTTTTTTCTGCAAAGGGCCATTTGGATATTTATAACATCATTCATGGGCCACACAAAATTAAATTAGCCTGCTATATTTGGTCACACATTTAATGAACTCACCCCTAATGCCTTGGCAGGGCTAGACCAAATGATTTTGTGGGCCTTATATGGCCCATGGGCCAGACTTTCCCCAACCCTGATTTAACAGTGTTTGCTATTTTGTATAATATTCCAGTGAACATCTTTGTACTTAAATTTTAGTCTAAATATTTTAGAATAGAGTCTTAGCAATCATATTACTGGGTCAGAAAGGATGAATATTTTTAAGGCTCTTGATTTATATTGACAAAAGGCTTTCCAGAAAGGATATACTGATTTGTGATTTGTCAGTAATGTATAAGGTTATACAGGATTGGGCAAAAGTAGGTTTATGGTTGTGAATATGTGAAACACAATTTTATTCTTGTATTTTTTATTAATTATTGTATTATTTTCCATATGAACAACTGTAAATCTACTTTTGCCTCACCTGTTATTTTTTTTAATACTTTCATCTGTATGTATGACTTTAAAAACTCTTCTGATTAGAAGTACAAAAGAATTTTTTTCTTTAAATTTCCTTTTACTTATTGCAAAGTTTCAACTATTTTATGTTAAGTAGATTAAATGTAAAACATTGAATTCATAGACTCACGTGGAAAAGGATAAAATGAATTCATTTGACATTTCTGGAATGGAGAATACAGCGAGAGAGAACTCAGAAGCTGATACTGTATCTAAGTAAGTATTTAGGAAGTAGAATACAAATAGTAACTCTTAGGAATGATTGTACTAACTTTTCTACTTGATACTGTTTGAAGTTTATTTTCAGTTATGCACTTTAAGTCCATTTTTAACTATTGGAGTTGTTGAAACATTTAAATAATGCTCGTTATGCTTAATGTTGGCATAGGCAAAGTAGGTTTACAGTGTGAGTATGCAGTTTATTTTTGTATTATCTATACTAATATATACTAATAAAAGGGTAATATGCAAATTAATCATCATTCTGCAACAAGGATGGCAGTGCCCATAGCCTCAAAGGTGGCGGCGCCGAGTGGGCGGGATGCTTGGCTTCCTTCGTTGCCCCAGCGACGAAGGAAGCCAAGCCTCCCATAAGCCCCAGCCAGCCGCCAAGGGCCAGCCTCTGGGCGGCAGCCACGGAGCCAGCCGGAGCAGGCGGGAGGCGACTCTGGCCCGGAGCAAAGGCGGAAGACAGCGGCCAGAGTGAAGGCCCGGGTCCTGGGTTCTGGAAGGAAGCCAGTGCCGGCAGCCAGGGGAAGGAAGGCCTATTCTTTTTTTTTTTTTTTTTTTTTTATATATATTTTATTGATTTTTTACAGAGAGGAAGGGATAGGGATAGAGACTTAGAATCATCGATGAGAGAGAAACATCGATCAGCTGCCTCCTGCACGCCCCCTACTGGGGATGTGCCCGCAACCCAGGTACATGCCCTTGACTGGGAATCGAACCCGGGACCCTTCAGTCCGCAGCCTATCCACTGAGCCAAACCGGCTAGGGCGGAAGGCCTATTCTTGCACGAATCTTCGTGCATCGGGCCTCTAGTTATACTCATAACTTGCATGTCTTCCTTACAAGCAACTGTGAACCTACTTTTGTCCACCCCTATGTTGTAGAAATAAATTATTATATGGATCCATTGAGTTAGCAATTACATTTCTCCCTCAATTTATTAATACATTTCGTACCGCTGAGGAGTTTTCTCGTGTTTCGCGTGCCATCTGTTAAGAACCGCTCACGAGTGTTCTCGTTTTTCACGCCCATGGAAAATGGAGCAAATCTAGATACTTATGTAAATTTTGTTTGACCCCTCTTCATAGAGGAAAATGTTTTACGCAGTACCATATGTTAAAAAAGTACTAGGAACTTTAATTGTTTAATGTTTTTGTAAATAAAAATGTTATAATTATTGAAAAACAACACCTAAAGTGCATTATGATGATTTAAATAACGTGCAGTTTGCCAAAAAACGTGCGGTCCCTGGCGTATGTCTTAGAGATTTCTATGCGGTACACAATGTGTTAACAAGCTTATTAACAAAGTATTGTTATATAAGTTAATGGGTAAGATAATGTGTTTCTGGATAATTTTACTTATAACAAGGGGTTTCAAAAGGGAATATTTAATTTATAATGGAGATCTAGAATAGACATTGCTCCAGTATGAATCTGAACCAGTGGATTTTGGACTGTATATTTATGCCATAATCTTTTTCCAGTGCCCTGGTAATGTACATTATACAATATTATCCTTAGTGGGGAATTGTAGTACATGCTTATCAGGTGTAAATTTTCTAATTTTGTGATGAAAATTTGATTTTAAAATGTTTTTTATAGTCAGGTTTCCAGAATTATATCTTGGGTTCCAAAGATTCAAAGTGTAGAAGTATGAATATCTTTGAAGGATGTTCTTGAGGATACTTGTGAATTATTTTATATTACAAATTATTTGTACCTGAGAGAAGGGAATACTAAAAACAAGCAAGTATGTGACTTCAGAATAACTATTGATTTGATTCCTTTGTAATTGTTTTAGTTTGAGTGAAAAAATGAATCTGCAGGAAGATAATCAACCAAAGGCTTTCAGACCTGCACGACTGAGGGCCCGATTACAAAGGCCAAAGCCAAATGTAGTTAAAGCTGCTGAAAGAAAAGAAATCCTTGCATCACAGGAAGAAATTGGGGCCAATGTAGAAAAGAATGAAAATGAATCCTGTGTTGATATAAATGTAAGTATTCTGATTCTTCCCAGTGTTTTTGTTAAATATATTGCCTCCTTTCACCTTCTTTTTATATACTTTCATTGATTTCAAAGAGGAAGGGAGAGGGAGATTGAAATATCGATGATGAGAGAGAATCATTAATTGGCTGCCTCCTGCATGCCCCATACTGGGGATCGAGCCGGCAATCCGGAAATGTGCCCTGACGGGGAATTGAACCATGACTTCATGGTTCTTAGGTCAACCCTCAACCACTGAGCCACGCCGGCTGGGCCTCACCCGCTTTTTAAACAGTAGTGTTATATCATTGTGTACATTGTTCATTAAATAGAAGCCCAAAATCTCATAGGCAGCCACTTTGCTAATTGTAAAGCCATGTAACTCAGCTTTCTGGATTTTGGGCATTTATATGATGGATCATCGACTTTGATCTTACCTCATATTTGGACTTGCTTTTCCCCATTACTCTGCAGATTTTGAATTACACTTCCTTTTGAAAATATAGCTCGATATGTGAATTTTAACGCTGCCAGAAACAAAATGTTAAAATCTTCCTACTAAAATATAATTCTAAGAACAAAGATTATGGATTTTAGTATATTTACATAATAACTAGTCTTTGGGGTAAGGTTAACAGTTGGCATAATTTCCAAGGTCTGTAATGTGATTATAATAATAAGATAGATTCAGAGAGATAGAACCCAGGGTATAATTCTTACAGATGAGACTAATGCAGTTACTTGCTTTCTGATTGGGAGGAAACAAGGGCCTTTGAGATGAGGTAAAAGCTGTGGCTTACGAAATTTTCTAACATATCTGAAGAAAAAAACATCTTTGGACTATCATTTTATGGTTTTGAAATGTTACTGTTTTCTTTGTACTCAAATTAGACATTATAAATGATTGTTTCATTTTGAAAACTAAAACTTTTTAAAAAATTGTGTTTGTTATCAAGACTCCTCAACAAACAGAAGATCAGTCATGTGACATCACCTCACAATCTGAAAAAAAAGATACTTCTTTTCAAAATGTGCAACCAGATGAGCCCAAGTCTCTTAATGAATGTCCAAGGTAAGCATCATTTTATTATATAATTTTAAAATTTTGTATGAAGTTTTAGAAATTGTTAATTTTTAAAAACAAGCAAATCAGACTTGATTTTTTTGTATATCAAATTACATAATATCTATAATAATAAAAATGTATGCTAATTAGACGGATGACCTTCCAGACGTCATTCCGGACGTCCTTCCAGACAAAGCTGCAGCAGTGGGGGCCGAGGCAGAGGTGGTTAGGAGCAGTTAGAGGCAGGCAGGTGAGCAGTTAGGGGCGATCAGGCAGGCAGGCAGAGTGGTTAGGGGCAATCAGGCAAGCAGACAGGTGAGCGGTTAAGAGCCAGTGGTCCCGGATTGCGAGAGGGATGTCGGACTGCTGGTTTAGGCTTGATTGGTTTGGCCTGTGGGATTGAGCCAAACTGGCAGTGGAACATTCCCCGAGGGGACCAGGATTGCAAGAGGGTGTTTCTTTTCTTTTTAAAAATATGTTTTTATTGATTTCAGAGAGGAAGGGAAAGGGAGAGAGAGAGATAGAAACATTAGTGATGACAGAGAACCATTGATCGATCGGCTGCCTCCTGCACACCCCCCACTGGGGATCGAGCCCACAACCGGGGCATGTGCCCTTGACTGGAATTGAACCCTGGACCCTTCAGTCCACAAGCCGACGCTCTTTCCACTGAGCAAAACTAGCTAGAGTTGTAACTTCATTTTTCAAGGCAATTTATGTCATAGCCTTCATGTCAATTGGTCAGTTTTGGGTGATTTGAAAAGAGCTACTCATTATAAATTAGACCTTGAGTTCACATGGATAGGATTACCATTTAACATGCATGTTAATCGTATGTCTTTGTCCAAATGTGATAATGTTTCTTATTTTTTAAATATTTTTGATTCTTTGAGATTAGATTGATCCCATATTGCCTTTATTTAAGGTTTACATAAATTTTATGTAAAACATATGTAAAAACCTATACTTCTCACAGCCAAAGCTCTTTTATATTTGTTATTTCCCCTCTGGAGGGCACCAAGCCAGATTGATGGAATTATTAATATACTTTAATTTCTTTTTCCTTTTGGGAATATTTAATGTGCAAAAAGAAGTGAGCATAGAGTAATGGACTCCCATGTACTTACTATCTAGTTTCAACAATTTTTCCAATCTTTCTATTTAAATTCTGGCCTATTTTATACTTTCTTATAGCAATATTAGCCTGTTTACTACCTAACCTGAGAGTGAAAGCTCGGTTTCCTGAACTATTTTAAAGATCTTTCTTTGAAAAATTCCTTTATTCTTCACTTCTTCCTTCCTCTATTCTTTTGCTTCATATTTCCCTATACTGCTTTCCCCCACCCCCAAACTATTTTACTATTCTGCCACAGAATCTCTGGGTAGAATTCTGTACAACAACATTATTTGGTACATATCTCTGATATAGATATCTGATATCTGACATTTTGGATTTTTTGTTTATATTTTTTTTCTGTTTAAACCACATTTCATTAAAAAAAAATCCTCACTATAGAGGACATGCTTTTATTGATTTTTAGAGAGAGAGGAAGGGAGAGAAAGAGAGAGGGAGAGAGAGTGAGCATATCATCGATGCGAGAATGAAATATTGGTTGATTGGTTGCCTTCCACATGTGGCCCTACTGGGGATTGAACTCACAACCTGGGTGTGTGCCCTGGCTGGGAATCGAACTTGCAGCCTCTTGTACTGGACGATGCTCTAACCAGCTGAGCCACACCTGCCAGGGCTAAACCAAACTCCATTTAATAGTTCATCTTGGCTTGGTAGAAAATTAAGTTTTTCTCTTAGTGGTCTTTGGGTTTTAGAACTCTGGTAGATATGTTTATAACTAACTAGAGGCCCGGTGCATGAAATTTGCACTGGTAGGGTCCCTAGGCCTGGCTGGCGATCAGGGCTGATCTGTGGGGCAACAGGCGTGGCGATCGTGGGGGCCCCCGCTGGCACCTGCCTTGGCTGGCCTGGGTCCTGCGGGCTGGGGGCAGCTCCTGCATTGAGCGTCTGCTCCCTGGTGGTCAGTGCTTGTCATAGCGACCGGTTGTTCTGCTGGTCGTTCCATTGTTTGGTCAATTTGCATATTAGGCTTTTACTATATAGGATAACCAGTCTGATCTCAGCAACTATTTCTTTTCAGGGCATTGTCCTTTCTGTTTTATCATGTGGTCTTTCTGGTCTTTGAATCTCCAACCTTTTTTTTTTTTTTTAATATATTTTATTGATTTTTTACAGAATGGAAGGGAGAGGGATAGAGAGTTAGAAACATCGATGAGAGAAACATCGATCAGCTGCCTCCTGCACACTCCCTACTGGGGATGTGCCTGCAACCAAGGTACATGCCCTTGACTGGAATCGAACCTGGGACCCTTGAGTCCGCAGGCCGACGCTCTATCCACTGAGCCAAACCGGTTAGGGCTGAATCTCCAACATTCTTAAAAACAATTCTAAGATTCTATGTTTTATTAAACCATATGTCTCTTTGTATCTAATAGGCAGTTCTCCTCCCTCCCAAATACTTTGAACTGTCAAGGTGCTATGTAAGAGAAAGAGAAAATAAAGAAAGAGACTCTGAGATGAAGAATGCATTAAAAATTCTTCTTGATTATATAAATTAGCAAATATATCTAAAACATTTCTCTAGGCTAATTTTGCATCCTGTGTACTCATATTATTATTTTATGGAGGTTTATAAATATTTTGTTGATTCTTAAACTGTATTTAGAAAAACACATGTGGACCATGGAGTAGATTTGTAATTTTGTGCACATTCTTCTCCTGTGATGATCCTCTTTTTTTCTTTGCCTTTTTCTTTAAATTCTGTGATCTTGGAGAGTTGTGGATCCACTATATGTTTTAAGTTGAGGAATAATTGAGTACAACTTCATATCTGATTACTAATCTCGGGTACTGATCTTCAGTTAACTATGCAGGTGATAATGAGCTCTATAGGAGGAGATCTGCCTCATTCACCATTGTATTCCCAGTTCCTAGCACATGCCTTCCTGGCATGTAGTAGGTGCTCAGAACTATTTGTTGATTGGTTGTTCATGAACTCCAAGTAATGTGGTACTGATTATTTATCCATAAAAGTAAAGTTTATTGTCCTAACCGGTTTGGCTCAGTGGATAGAGCATCGGCCTGTGGACTGAAGGGTCCCAGGTTCGATTCCAGTCAAGGGCATGTACCTTGGTTGTGGGCACATCCCCAGTGGGAGGTGTGCAGGAGGCAGCTGATCAATGTTTCTCTCTCATCGATGTTTCTAGCTCTCTATCCTTCTCCCTTTCTCTCTGTGAAAAATCAATAAAAAATATATTTAAAAAAGGTAAAGTTTATCAGAGACCTTTGATTACTCAGAGACTATTTAAGCACATGGAATATAATTGTAACATTGTGTATTTGTATCTTAAAATTTGAATTGATAGTAAAGTAATGATATTGTTAATAAATCTTTTGCTTAAAGCATTTACATGTTTTAAGAATATGCCAGTGTTTAAAATGTGACTTTATAATGATACTAGAAGCCCAGTGCATGAATTCGTGCATGGGTGGAGTTTCCAGGGGTAGGGTGGGGGGCTGGGATGTGATCAGCCCTCCGGGCGGGTGGTAGGACACCCTTGCTGGCCCGGGATCCAGATCTGTCCCGCTGACATTCGCTCCTGTTGTCAGGAACCACCTGGCGTTTTATATGGTTTCTTCCTTATGGAGTGTTTAGGGAGGAAAAGCAGCCATCGTGCCTGAGGCCGACTTCCAGGAGGCCAGCAGTGCTGTCGGGATTGTGCTGGTGGTGCTGGTCTGTTGGTGCCTGTACTGTTCTCTGGAGATTGGATCTGCAGAACTACTGAGGGACTGAGTGGCTGCCGCCTGGCTGGTGTGCCACACTCACCACCAGTGGGCAGCTCCTGCGTTGAGCATCTGCCCCCTGGTGGTCAGTGTGTGTCATAGTGACTGGTCTTTCGGTTGCTTAGGCTTTTATATATATAGATTTTATCTTTTCCATGATAACCAAACCAAGGTTGCTAGTACACAAATCTCACTAAAAGCTAAATATTTCTGGATGGAGATGAAAAGTATCATAAGTCAGAAAATAGAATAAAACCCACTGAGGACTAAGTAAATTAAATTTTCTTTACCAGTTGGTATTAATTTTTCATTGAATGTTATCTATTACTAAAGTTAATAATAGTTGAAAAACACCTCAGTTACATAAACAAGTACAATTTGAAAATTAGTCTTATACTAAGAACCTGTCTTGTGTTATCAAAAATTGCATTGAAAAACATGTTTCAACAAAGAAAGATAGGTTGGGACATAGACAAGTTCAAACAAGCACTAACATAGTTGTACATAATTTAAAAAGTAAAAACTTTTTTTTCCTTTTGTTAATCCTCACCCGAGGATATTTTTCCATTGATTTTTAGAGAGAGTGGAAGGGAAGGGGAGAGACAGAGAGAGCAAGAGAAACGTTGAGGTGAGAGAGACACATCCATTGGTTTCCTCCTGCATGGCCCGACTAGGGCCGGGGATTGAGCTTGCAACTGAGGTATGTGCCCCTGACTGGAATTGTACCTGGGACCCTTCAGCCGGCGGGCCGATGCTCTATCCACTGAGCCAAACCAGCTAGGGCAGTTTTAACTCATTTTTTAAAAGCTGTTGTATACACTTGTTCAGACTAACATTGCTGAAATGCCCAGTAACACTCAGGAAACTGCAAAATACTGTTCATTTAATCCTTCCTTTTAGTCCCAATTTGTGTTCTCTTAGAGAAATGTCTGTATAGGAAATACCATTTTAAATTGTTTTTAAAAGTGAGGTGTGAACCTAGTTCTTAGTCATAAGGCTATATCTTTTTCAAATCATGCCTCCATCCAGCTGTTTGGGATGCCAGCCAAGTCTGGCCATGTAAATGGGGCTCTTAACTCTATGGTAAGTCATATGTCTGTTTAAATGATAGTAGGGGCAAAGATGTAGGAATAGCGTACACAAATTGGGCTAGCTCCAATGAGGAGCCTGGAGGAGAGTTTTTCTTCGACAGTGTTTGTGAAGAATGGTGTGAATGACAATTAGTAGGAAACTATTCAGGGCCAATTAGCTGCTAATCTAATTGACCTAACTGATGACTTTTTCTTTATATGTGTCTATATGTAAATAGATATTTTATTATTTTAAAATTTTACCATAATTTCAAAAGATGAAATTTTCCTCTTGATTTTTATTTAAATTTAATTTTATTATTTTTAATAAATTCTCTACTTAATTTTGTTTTTAAATTTTTATTTATTGATTGATTTTAGAGTGAGAGAGAGAGAGAGAGAAACATCACCTTGTTGTTCCACTTATTTATGCATTTATTGGTTGACTCTTATATGTGCTCTGACCAGGGATTGAACCTGCAACCTTGGCATATGGATCAATGCTCTAACCAACTGAGCTACCTGGCCAGGGCTCTCTTTTAATTTAATTTAATTTTTATTGATTTCAGAGAAGAAGAGAGAGGGAGAGAGAGGTAGAAACATCAATGATATGAAAGAATCATTGATTGGCTGCCTCCTGCACACCCCCTACCAGGGAATGGGCCCACAACCGAGCATTTGCCCTGACCAGGAATTGTAACATGACCTTCTGGTTCATATTTCACTACTAAACCATTGAGCCACACCATCCGGGCTCTCTTTTAATTTTTAAATTTTACTCAGAGATTCCTTGGGCTTTCTTAATTTTCTTATTTTTTAATTGGAAAGTCCCTCGTGTTTCAGTAGTGAGTTCGCAACCATCATCTCTTCAACAGACAGTCTGGTTTAAAATTCAATTGTATCTTTTGTTTTTATAGTATTCAAGAGGATAATGAAGCAAATATACTCAAACAAGTTCCAGCTCTAAAGAATCGATTTCAGAAACCAAAGCCAAATATAGGAAGAAGAACTGGAAGAAGAGACATTTCCTCAAAGGAAGAGGTGCCAGAGGAGATTGTTGTTTCGGGGAAAAAGACAGCAGCAAGACTAGAAACCTCGCCAAAGGAGAAGGTACCAGTGGAGGCTAGCACTACAAAGGAAACTGAGTCAAAGTTAAAAGAAACTGGGAGAAGAGACATCTCTCTCAGGGAGAAGAAACCAGAAATGACTGACTTCACTGTGGAAACGGAGACAGATTTGAAAGAAACTGGAAGAGAGATTTCTCCAAGGGAGAAGATTCTAGAGGTGACTGGTGCCATTGAGGAAAGAGAGGCGGATTTAGAAGAAACAGAGAAGAGAGAAATATCCACACAGGAAAAGGGCCCAGAGGTCTACACTGTAGGGGAAGAGGAGGCAGGTTTGAAAGAACCTGGAAGGGAGATTTCTCCAAGGGAAGAGATACCAGAGGTAACTATGACTAATGTCACTGAGGAAAGAGAGACGGACTTGGAAGAAACCAGGAGAAGAGAAATATCCACACAGGAAAAGGCCCCAGAGGTCTACACTGTAGGGGAAGTGGGGACAGATTTGAATGAAACTGGAATGGTGATTTCTCCAAGGGAGGAGATACCAGAGGTAACTATGACTAATGCCAATGAGGAAAGAGAGTTGGATTTGGAAGAAACAGAGAAAAGAGAAATATCCACACAGGAAAAGGCCCCAGAGGTCAACACTGTAGGGGAAGCAGAGGCAGGTTTGAAAGAACCTGGAAGGAAGATTTCTCCAAGGAAAGAGATACCGGAGGTGACTATGACTAACACCGCTGCGGAAAGAGAGACAGATTTGAAAGAAACCAGAAGAAGAGAAATACCTACACAGGAAAAGGCCCAAGAGGACAGAATTATAGGAGAAGTGGAGGCAGATTTGAAAGAAATTGGAAAAGAAACTTTCTCAAAGGAAAAGGTATTAGTGGGGATCAGTGCCATAGGGAAAAGGGAGATTAACTTGAAAGAAACTGGAAAAAGAGACATTTCTCTGATGGAAAGGATGGCTGTCTTTAAGGTAACAGAGGCAGATTTGAAAGAAACTGGAAGACAAATTTCCTTGAGGAAAATTGGATCAGAAGAGATCAGTGCTACAGAAGAAATGGTGGCAGGTTTGGATAAAACTGAAAAAATAGGTATTTCTCTAAGGGAAAACGAGCCAGAAGTGACTGGGACCTCACTACAAACTGAGACAGATTTAATGCAGAGCAGAAGTGCTGATTGCAGTGCTGTGCCTTCACTAAATATCAAAGTATGTACTTTTCTGTCCCTAAACATTTCTTATATTAAAAGAGAAACATGTAAATTGACCGTCCCTCCGCTATGCTCACCAACCAATCAGGAGTAAGTATGCAAATTAACCTGACAAAGACGGCAGGTTAATTTGCATACACAGGCGCCGGGCGGAGAGCAGAGCGGGAGAGCTGCCAGAGAGTGGAGCAGCTTGGGGAAATTGGCTCCCCAAGCCGCCAGAGAGAGAGCTGGTGGCTTGGAGGACTTGGCAGAGTGGGAGGCCATGGGACAGAGACAGAGCAGGAAGGGAAAACCAAGATCATGGGGAGCAACAGGAATTCTGGGAATAGTAGTTTTGGTGGCAGCCCCAGGACCGGGAGCACCAGGAATGCTGGGAATCGTAGTTCTGGTGGCAGACGGATCTCCTAGACACTAGAGCAAAGTGTCTGGAGCAAGTTACTGTTGTGGTGGGGGATGGAGGGAAAGCAAAGGTGAGAGACATAAGTAAAATCAGGTGTCTAGGAAAAATTAAAGGGAAGATATCCTAAAATTTCCAGGAAATCTCCATCAATGAAGCAAAGAAAAAAAAATGCCTCTGTTATTCCTCTGTTATTCTGTGAGCAACAAACCAAACTGAGTTGGGGTCTCAGACAATTCGCTCATATGATTGCAAAGACAGACAGAAACTCCCGGATTGGAGAGGGCTCCCAGATTGGAGAGGGTGCAGGTTGGGCTGAGGGACCTCCACACCCCACAGTGCACGAATGTCGTGCACCGGGACTCTAGTTTTTTTTATAATGCTCTTTCAGAGAAACATAAATATAATTGCATTTCTGAGTCCAACAATGTTTAAAATCTCTAAAGTCTAAAGTCTTTCTTAGTCCTAAATTCTATGTTTTGGGACCTCGAAGAAAAAAGAATAATTAAAATTTTTTTAATTGTGGAAAAGATACTATTCTTAATGTCAATTTGAAGTTACTCTTTTAGATAAAAGGAATAAATGAAGTTGGAATTATTTCTTTTGACTATAAGTGTATCAGCTTTTCTCTGTTTTTCCTGTCCCACCCCATTTACTTCATTTTTAAAAGTTATTTTTATTAAAAGTTTTCAGTTATTTTTTTTATTTTTTTAATATATTTTATTGATTTTTTACAGAGAGGAAGGGAGAGGGATAGAGAGTTAGAAACATCGATGAGAGAGAAACATCGATCAGCTGCCTCCTGCACACTCCCCACTGGGGATGTGCCTGCAACCAAGGTACATGCCCTTGACTGGAATTGAACCTGAGATCCTTGAGTCCGCAGGCCGATGCTCTATCCACTGAGCCAAACTGGTTAGGGCAAAAGTTTTCAGTTATTTGAAGTTCATCCTATTCTAACATTTTCAAGGACTTTTTTTTTTTTTTTTGAACGTACAGCAATGGCATTTTTGGCTTGGAAATATAAATATGCAATATGTAAAGAAGAGTTAACGGAATTTTGTGTCTTAACATTTGTAAATTTTGTTTTATTTAAAAATTAAAAAAATAAACTTCTGAATTTTTAAAGGAAAGTGTTTAGATTATAGTAGGATTTTTGTTTGAGATGCTCAAGGAATCTTGTATATGTGCTGATTTACTGTGACTATTCTTCCAGAACATTAGCAGTGAAGTCCTATCTGTGGTGCATACACCTGTAGAGGAAAAGGGAAATTCTGAAAAGGAAGTGTCCAGCCAGTTGAGTCATTGGAAGACTTCTTTGAAGACTTCTGAACTTGCTAAAACAGAAGACCAGGGGACACCATGTGCAGATGTTCCAGAGCAATTTTCAGATATTAATTCAAGGTAAAATTTTATAGATCTGTGTGCTGTTAAAGAGCATATAAAGTTATATTTACAGTTTATGTTAATTAAGTAAGATTTCAAGACAATCTATAGCATAGTGTTAGAGAGTTTAAGCTAGTTTGGGGAAGAGTGGGAGAGAGGATTGAGGATATTCTGACAGTTGATTGTGAGAATTACTAACATACAGAATTGTATATAATACATACTCTTAAATAAATCATATGGGTGTGATAAACCTATATTTTCCTTGTGCAAAGATGATATAGTTCCTAGGCTTATATCTATTTGGGTTGTACCACTCATTTTTTCAGAAGTTACCAAATAGTCCAGTTTGTTTTCTTGTTAAGAATCAGAATTAAATATTTACTGCCAATCTCTAAGGTTGTCCTAAGACTCCTCTCCCACTGCCCCTTCAGTTCATTCTAAAGTTTGATAATCCTTGTTCCAAAAGCAAATCTCTTCCTCAAGAACAGAAGCCATTTAAACCAGCACCTTTTATGAGAAGTCGATTCAAAAGACCAAAACCAAACTTATCAAGAGCAGCTTTAAAAAGAGAGACTATGGAAGCAGAAAAACATGTACCTGGGAAGAAATTGGAAGTGGATAAAATTGAGACTATTATGATACAACAGGATGGTGAACAAATGAACATTCTCCCTTCTCAATATGTGAGTGATATTTAAGATGGAGGTTCTTTTGTTTTAGTTAATAAAGTAAAATGCTTGGAATTGAAATTTCACAAGTATTTCCTCATACAATTTTTACCATGTGTGATTTTGTTGTAGCTGTACTTAATGTGCCTCATTGTTCCACATGGTTTGTGTAAGAATATCAGATCTCTATGATGGGCAAGTATGTCATGGAACGAATTTAAGAAGCCTGGGCTGTATGTAGTTTAAGTTCTGACCTTTGTTTGCTGTGTGATTATAGCCAAATGATGAACCAGTTTCTTCATAGGGAAAATGGGAATGACAATTTTTTATTTCAGTCTGTTGTGAAGATGAAATAAAAAGTTAAGAGCTTGGCCCTGACCAGTGTGACTCAGTTTGTTGGAGCATTGTCCCTGAAAGGTCTCGGGTTTGATTCCTGGTCAGGGCACATACCCAGGTTGGGGCTTTGATCCAATCGATGTTTCTCACATTGATGTTTTTTTTTTCTTTTTCTCCCTTTCTCTCTCTAAAATCAATTAAAAGTACATATCCTTGGGTGAGGATTTAAAAAACAAAGTTAAGAGCTTGATAAGAGTTAAAGGAGTTTATTTACTTGGTTCATAAATTTACGATTATGTGATGTAGCATCAAAAACTTTGAAATGAGCCCGGCCATTATTACTCGGTGGTTGAGCATTGACCTAAGAACCAGAAAGTTGTGTTTCAGTTCTCTGTGAGGTCACATGCTGGGGTGGCAGACTCGATCCCTAGTAGGGGTTGTGCCGGAGGCAGTAAATCGATGATTTTCTCTCATCAGGATGTTTCCATCTCTCTTCCTCTCTCTTCCTCTCTGAAATCAACAAAAATATATAAAAAAAAACTTTGAAATGAAATAACACTCATAAATTCTAAATATGTAAAGTACTTTTTTGAATTAAAATTCTTATTTTGCATCTTAAAATAGCTTAGTTCTTATTATACTTGAACATTTGTATTTTATTCTTCTAATCTTATGTTTTAAAAGATAAATCACTTTTTTATTGATTATTTTATTTGATTATAAAAATTCCAAATTGGAAAAAATATAGAATCTAAATAGAGAAAGTCCCCTATAATGTTCATCTGTCCTTGCCAAGTTAATCATGTAGCAATTTTGAATCTATCCACCGAGACTTTTTTTATTTAAGATTTTTAAATTGCTTTTTTAGAGCAAGGATAGGGAACCTTTTTTCTGCTAGGGGCCTTTTGGATATTTATAACATCCTTCTTGGGCCATACAAAATTATCAACTTAAAAATTAGCCGGCAAACATTTAGTTAACTCAGGTTTAATGCTTTGTCAGGGCCAGACCAAATGATTTTGCAGGCCTTACATTCCCCACCTCTGTTTTAGAGAGAGAGGAAGGGAGAGGGAGAGAAAGAGAGAAAGAAACATTGATGTGAGAGAAACATTGATTGGCTGCCTCTGGCATGCCCCGCACCGGGGGATCGAGCATGCAGTCTAGGCATGTGCCCTGACCAGGAATCGAACCAGCAACACCTTGGTGCATGGGTTGACGCCCAACCAAAAAGCGACATCAGTCAGGGCAACACAGACTTTTCTAAGTATAGTTACATATTATATAAATAATAACGTGAGGGTATTTTCATTGTTTTACAAAAACGACATCATAGCTTGCCTTCTGATTTTTTCCACTTACAATATTGCGAACATCTTTTTTTTTTTTTTTAATCCTCACCCGAGGATATGTTTTTATTGATGTTTTAGAGAGAGGAAGGGGAGAGAGACAGAGAGAGAAACATTAATTGGTTACCTCCCATACACACCCGACGGGATTGAACCCGTAACCTAGGTATGTGCCCTTACTGGGAATTGAACCTGTAACCTTTGGCTGTATAGGATGACACTGCAACCTACTGAGCCACCCTGCCAGGGCTGTGAACATCTTTTTGGATCAGTATTTAGAAATTTTTAAATATATTTTTATTGATTTTTAGAGAGGGAAGGAGGGAGGGAGGGAGGAAAGAAGAAAAGGAGAGAGGGAAAGAGAGAGAGAAACATTGAAGTACGAGAGGTATCCATTGGCTACCTCACGCACATACCCTGACTGGGGATTCAGCCTGCACCTGGCCTTGTACCCTGACCGGGAATTCAACCAGTGACCTTTCAGAGCATAGATGACGTTCAGCTGGCTGGAGCCACATCGGCCAGGGCAGTATTTAGAAATTTATCTTTTGAATAGCTCTATACTATTATATTATGAAGAAATTATAATTTATTTATTCAGTCCCCTAGTGATAGATTTGTGTTGTTTTCAATTTTTTATTTGTATTTTCTTTAGCGTAATGCCCTTTTTTTCCCCTCTTTTTTTTTTTGGCAGTGGGACACACACAGAATAATATTGCTATAATAAATATCCTTTTATATAATTTTCTAGATATTTATTTGAATATTTTTATAAGATATATTTCTAGAAGTAGAATAGTTGGAAAATAAAATTTTTAATAGATCTGCCCTATTGTTCTCTACAAAGACTATACAAATTTATTATTCTAATAGTATATGAAAGTTTCTATTTCCCTATACTTTTACCAACCCTCAATGAAATTTTTTAAATCTCGTTCTAGGATCTGTCTTCCCTGATGACATCAAGAGAAAAAGACAAATCAGATCACAGGCAAGAGGAGGCTGGGATGTTACCATGTGAACTGACAGAAAAGAACCTTTCACCTTCAAGTTTTTGTGAATCTGAAGAGGTCTCTCAGTCTACACAAGCCCAGGAAAAGGAATTACTTATTTCTATGGGGTAAACAGTGATAGTCCTTTGAAAATCTAAAATAAGACAGAGTTCTTTCAAATACTTTTTTTAAAAATTAAGATTATTAATGTATTTTAACAGTGAATATAAAGAATTTTGTATTTGATTTATTTTTATTCTTATGGTAGACTGCCTGTAAAATTGAAAATCAGATTGAGTTCAACACCTTTTATGCTTGTCTGCTTATGTTCACTGTTCACTGCTTAAGATCTTACACAAAGCAATGCATTTAAGAAATATATGTATATAAGGTATTATTTGTCTTTTAAAAAATTGTGGTAAAAGCCCTAGCAAGTTTGGCTCAGTGGATAGAGTGTTGGCCTGCAGACTGAAGGGTCCGGGTTCGATTCCGGTCAGGGGCACATGCCTGGGTTGCGGGCTCAATCCCCAGTACAGGGCGTGCGGGAGGCAGCCGATCCTTGATTCTCTCTCATCATTGATGTTTCTATCTCTGTCTCCCTCTCCCTTCCTCTCTGAAATCAATAAAAATATATATTTTTTAAAATTGTGGTAAAATACATAGTAGATAATATTTAGCTTTTAACCATTTTTTAAAGTGTATAATCTAATGACATTAAGGACATTTACATTGTGCAACCACTGCCACCATCCATCTCTAGAACTTTATTCTCCCAACCTAAAAGTCTGTATTCATTAAACAATAACTCCCCTTTCCTCCCTTTCTCCAGTTCTTGGCAACCAGGATTGTACTTTCTTTCTATGAATATGAATATTGTAGGTACCTCATATAAATTCATTACCTTTTTTTTTTTTTAATCCTCACCCAAGGATATTTTTCCATTGATTTTTAGAGTGGAAGGAAGAGGGAGAGACAGAAATATCGATGTGAAAGAGACACATCGATTGGTTGCCTCCCACATGCAACTAGACCCAGGACTGGGGATCAAGCCTGCAGCCGAGGTACCTAGTATGTGCCCTTGACCAGGTGGAATCAAACTCGGGACCCTTCAGTCTGCTGGCCAACGCTCTAACCATTGAGCAAACCAGCTAGGGCTCATTACCTTTTAATAATTGAAATAATATGTCCTTTTATAAAACAAGGTATATTTATAATCAGAAAGTAAATTGTTATTGAGAGGGTAATTTTATTAGAGGATACTCAAATGTTACATTTTTACAGTAGTTTTCATCTTTTTACAGTCAAGTTCCTCTATTTTTCTTTGCCCCTCTTTCTAGGACTCATAATAATATAAACACTTTTCAACAAGAAAAAAAGGAAAGTATTATCCATTCTACTCGACCAGTTAGGGGCCGCCTTCAGAGACCTAGACCAAACATAAAAAAGGCTTTACAGAGGCAAATGGTAGAAAAAGGTGAAGCCAAAGGCATAGTTGAAGAAGAAAGGACAAAATTACAAAAAGATGAAACTAAAAAGAAATTCCTGAGTGTGGTGAGTCATTGTCATGTAATTGAGTTGAGCCTTTTAATGCAAATTAAAATATTAAATGATAGCTCAGTCTTGTCTTATGTAATTTGACACTTACTGTACTCAGTGATTACATAATCTATCTAGTTTTGTTTCAGATTTACCGTTCTGAATGTTAAAAAAAGTAAATATAGGTTTATTTTTTCCTTACTAATGAACTACTCATTGTGACGATTTTCAATAAATACAAAATAACTACCCCAACACTGACCACATGAGATTACCACTAAAAACTGTTGTTGTGTCTTACCAGATGTATCCCCGTGCATGCATATGTGGATACATATGTAAATTTAAATACTCAAATGATTACATGCATGCTATTTTGTGACAACTGTTTTTCATTTAATATATTAACTGACTTTCTGTGTCAAGAATACAGGGATACATTATTTTTAACTGCTGCATAAACATTCTGCTCTTTGAATGATAGTTAAACCATCTCTTACTGATGACTCTTGTGATATTAGAAGCAAATCTTAGTAGTGTAATGTCCGTTTCAACAGTTCTTGTTTTTCTGTCCTTTTCTCTGTCTGTTATAGTAAAAATCTAGATTTAAAGTGATTGTAATTTTTATTTGAACCTCCTGATTCTTTAAAAAAACAACAACATTAAACTTCTTTTGGAGGGGCGTTCATAACAGATGGGTATTGTACTTTTAAAAGCATCACTTAAACATATTACTGCAAAAATCTTTTAAGCTTTCTAAATTAGGCAATTATGTTTTGGACAGCAAATCATGAACATACCCAGTTTGAGTCTTCATTTTAAAAAACTAAATGTCTATCTTAATGTTCAAAATAATTTAGAAAGCATATTCTGTTGTTTTTTAAAAAAATACGCAAGTATGGTTTTGTCATTTCAGCCAAATTATCAAATTGGAACTGAAATTGAAGTTATATCCTCCAAAGTTTCTGAAGGAAGAATGTATGAAAATCAGAGTCATGCGGCTCTTCTAGAAAACCTTCATGTTAACAAAGTTGATGTTTTAGATAAAAAGATGAGGTGAGTGTGCCTTTAAATCAGAAAGCATCAAACTTTCCAAAGATAAAGGTTGGGTTTTTACATAATTAATTTTATATAACTTCACATCTTAAAAATTTATGAAAGTATAAAGTAATAATTATGAACTAGAATATATTTTAAATATATTTTTATTGATTTCAGAGAGGAAGGGAGAGCGAAAGGTAGAAACATCAATGATGAGAGAGAATCATTGATTGGCTGCCTCCTGCACGCCCCCCACTGAGGATCGAGCCCGCAACCCAGCCATGTGCCCTTGACTGGAATCGAACCTGGAATCCTTCAGTTCACAGGCAGATGCTATATCCACTGAGCCAAACCGGCTAGGGCAGTGGTCGGCAAACCGCGGCTCGCGAGCCACATGCGGCTCTTTGGCTCCTTGAGTGTGGCTCTTCCACAAAATACCTGCTGGGGGTAGGGGCCATGGGATGTTGGGGGGGGGGCGATTGGGACCCTGATAGGGCCATTTGACCACTGCAGTGCATGGCATAGCAATCGGTCGTTCTGGTTGTTCCATCGTTCTGGTTGCTGGGCTTTTATATGTATAGATTATACTTAAGTTAGATATAATTTGTTTTCCCAAATGCATTAGTCTGCGCTAGATGTATTAGTTAGCATCATAACCTTGTTAGAACTTCTGTGAACTTCCTTGATGTTTCACTGACAGAAGAACTTAGGTAGATACATTTGAAAATGTAACTAAGTACTTTTTTCTGGGTAATTTATTAGAAATATTACTTAAGAATAGTCTTTAATATAGATCATTTAGAGAACCAATGATAGGCACATATCCAGTTATTCTTATAAATATCCACATTTATATTAGTTTTAAGCTTTCTAATTCAGAATTCACATCTTTGCCAGTTATGTCTTCCCAGGAAGCCTTAGACTTGGATTGCCTTGGAGGCTATGGCTACTCTATTAAATGTTTAAATCTTGTCTTTCTATGTTTTGGCTGATAAAATGGGTTTTATTGAGATTCTTATGACACTGACTATCAATAAACCTTTTTCTATGAGCTGATAGGCATGTGGAAGGAGAAGAGACACTAGCTTTTCAAGCCTGCTTGTGAACCAGTAGGACCATCTATGCTTGTTGTGACCACTAAACATTTGTTCATGCTTCAGAGCCCAGTTGAAGCATTTGTTTCAAGTGCCGTTATGAATTCCATCTTCAACTACTAGAATTTTTTTTCTAGTTATTACTATGAAAATTACTTAAAGTAGAATGAAACCACAAACCAGGATCAATGAAAGTAACAAAGATTAATATTATTGTAAAACTATTTCCCAGGCTATACAGAAAATGGATGTTATACTGTAAAAGCTTTTATGTTCTTCCTTTCATTCAGCATAGCAAATTTACATATAGGCCTTTGAACATAGGATTGGTTTGTGTAAAAAATTGTTTAACACCTGGTACATTAAAAAAGAACTCTGATTTTTGTTCTTCAAGATGATTTGTACTTCATTCTAGAAATGAACATAAAACTTATGTTTCTAGCCCAGCACAATTGATAAGAAGGCAGTTCCAAAGCCCTGAGCCAAATTTGGGAAGAGCACATGATAAGAAAGAGGAAAGAGTTATAGAAAAAGACAGAGCAGATCTGGATGAGGCCTGGAAGCCAGAAGATAATTTGCTGCAGCAAGGAGATTCTGACACCCAGCTCCTTCAGAAAGTAAGTTTGAAAATATATAATTTTTATCAGTGGGCTGTATTTTGTCAGGATCATGAAGAAAAACATTAAAAATATTTAATTTTATATTGTCATTATTTTCTTGAAAATTGAGTGGCATTCTAATATTATAAAAACTTAGAAACCAGTCATGGTGTGTGTGTGTGTGTGTGTGTGTGTGTGTGTGTGTGTGTGTGTCTAAGCAAGCTTGGGACTCTAGGTCAAACTACCAAATCAAATTGCCATAGAGATTGTTTTTGTGGTAATATTAGCTGTTTCTTCTTAAATTGAAGGAAAAAGCTGAGCTTCTGACATCTCTGGAGGTTTCAGCAAGAAAAGATTGTGTAGGTTCCGAAGAGGCTGGTTTGGCCAAGAAAGATCTTCAGTCAGAAGTTGAACCATCAGGAAGTGTTGGACAGAAAACTGTAGGGGATAATTCTGTGTCTTCAGTTGTTGAAGAGCAGCATCTCAGTAAATTAGCAAGGTAAAATTTTACATAACTACTTTCAGCAGAAGAAATAAAAACTTATTCTTTATGGATGTCCTACCTTAATTTATTAATAGAGTAAGAGATGTCTTGTTAACAGAAGTGTAAATTGTTTTTTATCGACAGGTCTATTTCTTTTCCCTTTTGATTTTATTTACTGAATATTTACTTCCTTTGGATCTTTTTTTTTTTCCATATATTTTATTGATTTTTTTACAGAGAGGAAGGGAGAGGGATAGAGAGTTAGAAACATCGATCAGCTGCCTCCTGCACACCCCCCACTGGGGATGTGCCCGCAACCAAGGTACATGCCCTTGACCGTAATCGAACCCGGGACCCTTTGGTCCACAGGCCGACGCTCTATCCACTGAACCAAACCGGTCAGGGCTCCTTTGGATCTTTTTAGGAAGATTTTCTTTACCCTACATTTAAAATCTATGGTTATTAAGTATGGTAGATATGAGCAGAAGCCTGACCAAAGAGTAGTATGCAGTACCTAAATAATTAGAGTACTAATTCAAATAGGGGTACAAACACCGGTGAAGGGTACCCTCTTCCATCATTTTCAAGAAAAGTGGAAGGGAACTAAGTTCTTAAAACCAACATTGTTTTGATGGATATTTTGCATCCTCTTTTTTTCTTTTATCCTAATCTGTTCACCAAATAGGAATAACCAGTATCATTTTTTAACCTCCTATTCTGTATTTATTGGCCCATTGACTTTCATTCCTTTTTCCTCTGATAATTTCCAGTCTTGTGTTTTATCTCCCCTTAGATAGCAAGGGAGAAAATAGCCCAGAAATAAAACTTACTATGAAAAATTTGTGGGTAGATAACTAAGACTTTTATTTATTTTTTAAGAATTGTATTTTTTATGTTTTTATATTCAGATAACTCTGAATGAGAAACTAATAGTAAGTTTCTTTTTTTCACAGTATAAGTTTTTGACAGAATGAGTGGTGGGAGTTTTCATTTTAAGGCTTGAGTTGGGATTTCAGTCTAAAAGTTTGGTTTTCATTAAAATTATCCTGTGTGTGCAGTGACTATGTTGTTATTTTGATTAAACCTCCAGCCATTCACAACTGTTAAAAGAATCAAATTACTCTAAAATTGCTCTCAATCAAAGAACAGCTATCTCTTCTGCCTCTGGATATGAGATGGATCATACTGAAAGGAGAATGCATCGAAAGATCAAACCAACTGTGAGCAAAGGGCGTGGATCAAAACGAATTCGGAGTAAGACTTCTAAGAAGGAACCTAGAGCTCCCAAGGCCATGCTGGTGACTCTTCGGGCTTCCCAGGAAGAGGATGAAGATGATGTTGAAGATTTTGAATCTGCCTATGAAGAAGAAAGCTATCATCTTGCTCCAGAAGAAATAAACAAAGCTCCAGTGTTTGTACCTGTTGGTCTCAGATCTCCTGAACCTGTTTCTACTCATATTGAGGAAACGATGGAAGAGGTAGTTTCTTTTTGAGTGCTTGGGACTTTATCTTACTTGTATTTTTCTCTTAGTGGATCATTTTTTCTTCTCTTAGTGAATATTAGGATTTGGAGAGTTCATTTTTTTTTTTTAAAATATATTTTATTGATTTTTTTACAGAGAGGAAGGGAAAGAGATAGTTAGAAACATCGATGAGAGAGAAACATCGATCAGCTGCCTCCTGCACACCCCCTACTGGGGATGTGCCCGCAACCAAGGTACATGCCCTTGACCGGAATCCAAACCTGGGACCCTTCAGTCCGCAAGCTGACGCTCTATCCACCAAGCCAAACCGGCTAGGGCGAGAGTTCATTCTTTAAGTTACCTCTACCAAATGTAATTTTTATAGGCTTAGGCTGAGTTCTGGTTAGTAGAGAAGGTAGAAGAGACATATATCTGTATACTCTTAATTGTGGTAAAATACACATAACATAAAATTTACCATGTTAACCATTTTTGAGTCTATAGTTCAGTGGCATTAAGTATATTCATTGTGCTATACCATCATCACCATCCATCCCCAGAACATTTTTTATCTTGCAAAACTAAAACTCTGTACGTATCAAACAATAATTCCCCATTACCCTCTCCCCTTTAGGTTGTGCTAACCACCATTCCACTTTTGTCTTATGACTACTTTAGGTACCTTGTATTTCTTGTACAGTATTTATCTTTTTTGTTAGTAGTTTGTTTCACTTAGCATAATGTTTTCAAGGTTCATCTATGTTTGATCATGTGCCAGAATGTCCTCCTTTTTAAAGGATGAATAATATTCCATTCCACGTTTTGTTTATTCATCTGTCAGTGGACAGTTGGGTTACTGCCACCTTTTGGATAAAATAAAGAATGCTGCTATGGCCCTAACTGGTTTGGCTCAGTGGACAGAGCATTGGCCTGCGGACTGAAGGGTCCCAGGTTCGATTCCGGTTGGGGGCATGTACCTTGGTTGCGGGCACATCTCCAGTGGGAGGTGTGCAGGAGGCAGCTGATCGATGTTTCTCTCTCATTGATGTTTCTAACTTTCTATCCCTCTCCCTTCCTCTCTGTAAAAAATCAATAAAATATATTTAAAAAAAAAAAGAATGCTGCTATGAACATGGATATACAAATATCTCTTCTAACTCCTGCTTTTAATTTTTTTTGGTAATATACCTAGAAGTGGAATTGCTGGATTGTATGGTACATTATAAATTTATTTTAATTTGTTTAAATTTTAAATTTCACTGATTTTTAAAAAAAATACGTTTTTATTGATTTTAGAGAGAGTGGTAGAGAGGAAGGTAGGGGGGAGAGAGAGAGAGAGAGAAAGAGAGAAAGAAATATAGAAATATCGATGAGAGAAACATCGATAGGCTGCCTCCTGTGCACCCATCACTGGGGATTGAACCCACAACCCGAGCATATGCCCTGACCTGGAATCGAACTGGCAACCTCACAGTGCATGGGACGATACTCAAACAACTGTGCCATAGTGGCCAAGGCCCATTTTAAATTTTTTTAGCAACCACCATACTGTTTTCCATAACAGCTGCATAACATCATTGTACATTCCCATCCATAGTTTACAAAGGTTCTAATTTCTTCACATCCTCATCAACACTTGTTATTTTCTTTTTCTTTCTTTCTTTCTTTTTTTTGGATATTTGCCATCCTAATGGATGTGAGATGGAGGAACATACTACTTCAACTTACTTTATTATAAAAGCTCCTTACTCCTTTGCCTCTAGGTCTAGTATTTCAACTTTGTAACTTTAAAGTTTTCTGTTTTGCCTCAGTTTTCAATGATTTACGTGGTTTATAGAGTAGCATATATCAATCAGTTTTGTATTAAGTACTCATGATAGTTTCTGAGTCATTTGAAACAGAATCAGGAGTGAACTGAGATGGTATTGATGGTAATAATAAAAGAAGTAGGATACATAAAACAATTCAAATAATGTTAAGTTACCCAGAATTAATGGATTACTGAATCTATAAATTTACATTTATGAATGGTGGTCCAAACCAACTTTTTTTATTTTTATTTTTATTGATTTAAGAGGGGAAAGGCAGAGGGAGAGAAAAATAGAAATGTCAATGATGAGAGACAGCCCAGCCAGCATGGCTCAGTAGCTGAGCATCTACCTATGAATCAGGAGGTCATGATTCAATTCCCCGTCAGGGCACATGCCTGGGTTGTGGACCCGATCCCCAGGTGGTAGCAAATCAGTGATTCTCTCTCATCCTTGATGTTTCTATCTCTCTTTCCCTCTCCCTTCCTCTCTGAAATCAATAAAAAATTTTTTAATAATGAGAGAGAATCATGGATCGTCTGCCTCCTGCACACCCCCTACTGGGGATCGAGCCTGCAACCTGGGCATGTGCCCTTGACCAGAATCGAACCAGGACCCTTCAGTCCGCAGGCTGATGCTCTATCCACTGAGCCAAACCAGCTAGGGCCCAAACCATCTTTCTTCACTATTAATAATAACACGTTAAGTGTTGTAATGCTATTGAGTTAGAATGGTTGAAGGTAAACAAAAATGATGTAAATTCAAGTTGTTTCTTCTAACTAAAAGTTCAAAGTAAAGATAGTGAATTTAAGCTTTAGTTGAAACTAAGAAAATGCAAAAGGAAGGTTAATTTTGTGCAAGGATAGCTGTTTAACACTGCATGTGAATTTAATTAGCTATATGTTTTATATTTTACAGATTTCTTTGGGTGAAAGGCAAATTGCTAGTCAAAACTAATGTCAGAAATTTCTGAAAATCAGGTTTCAGGATTTATCCCTGAATTAATATAGAATGCCTTCTTAAATAGCATTAATCATAATAATTGAGTAAAGAAAGTTAAATTTTTATTCTTTATGGCAAGATTACTAAGGCAGGGAAATTGTTTTTATGTTAGAAAATGTTTCCTTAAAAAGCATTGAAATACAATGGCATATTATCCTATATAATAAAAGTGCAGTATGCAAATTATCCCCTCAACCAGAGTTCTTCCAGGAGTTTAACTAGGGGGCGGGCTGGCCTGGGGAAGGGAGGGAGGCCCTGGCGCAGGCAGGTGGCTGGGGGAAGGGAGGGAGGCCCTGGCCAGCGGCGGTAGCAGGTGGCTGGAGGACGGAGGGGAGTACCCAGCTGGTGGCGGGCAGCCGCTAGGGACCCTGCAAGTGCAGAAATTTTGTGCAATGGGCCTCTAGTTAAATCATAAAGGAATATAAAATATTGATATATACTACAGTATGAATCGTGAAACCTTGAAAACATTGTGTTAAGCGAAAGAAGCCAGTTACCAAAAACAAATCACATATTATATTATTCTATTCATATGAAATGTCCAAAATAAGAAAATCTATAGAGGCAGAAAGTAGATTACTGGTTTCTTAGGGATGAAGGTATGGGTTTCTTTTTTGAAGCAGTAAAAGTGTTCTAAAGTGACTGGTGATGGGTGTACATATTTGTGCATAATCCAAGAAACATTATATTATACTAAAGGCCCAGTGCACAAAATTCATGCATGGGTAGGGTCCCTAGTGGCTGCCGGTTGCCGGCCGGGGTGCCTCCCTTCGCTAGCTGCCTGCCACTGCCGGCCCACCCCCTGGTCATACTCCCAGTCAAACTCTCGGTTGAACTCCTGGTTGAGGAGACAATTTTTTTACACACACACACACACACACACACACACACACATATACGTATATACTTTAAATGGGTGAATTTTATGGTGTGTAAATTATATCTCAATGAAGCTGTTAAAAAGTAAAGCTTTGACACTGGATGGTGTTCAAAGAACCAACTCTCAATTATCTGTAATATTCCCATTTTCATGCACTTTTCAGAAAATATTTTGTCTTTTCAAATCACTTGAACTTTTTTTTATCATCCCAGGCCTGTAGGACATTAGCATAGATTTTTCTCTAATGTTTGCTTCTGAGGATACAGACACAGAACACACAGATGTTACTATAATATGTCTTGAAGGCAGATTTTCATACTTGACTCTGTATTCAGTTCCTACTGAATCACACAGTCTTTTATACTCTTTTTTCTGTTAATAAGGGAATAAGAGCCACACTCTCTTATATGTAGTCTAGGAGAGAAATTTTAGTCTTTTTAGTTCCCAGATTATAGGGATCTTTGACCAGTAACACTGCTAAATGAAGGGTAAATGTGAGTAAACCCATTATTTTACATAGCCATTGACATGGCTATCAAGAATGATACAGGTTTTGGGAGACGGGAGAGGGTAGTTGCTTTGGTGGGGGAGAGGGTAATATCCTATCTAATAAAAGCCTAATATGCTAAGTATCTGGTTGACCAGTCAGCTGTTCAACCAATCAAACCGTAATATGCTAATGATATGCTAAGGCCGCTCAACTGCTCGCTATGATATGTGCACTGACCACCAGGGGGCAGACACTCCGATTGGTAGCTTAGCTTGCTGCTGGGGTCCGGCCAATTGGGACTGGGCAAGACAGGCTAGACATGCCCTGGAGCCCTCCTGCGGTCCCTCCCCAGGTGGCCAACCTCCCGAATCTCTTCCTGGCCCCAGTCATACACCAGTGGGGTCCCTCAGCCTGGCCTGCTCCCTCTTGTAATCTGGGACCCCTTGGGGGATGTCAGAGAGCCGGTTTCGGCCCGATCCCGAATTCGTGCACCAGGCCTCTAGAATATATTTAAGAGCTTTCAACTCTATTATAGTACTTAAGGCAGTGTATAGTTAGTTGATTATAAATCTGTTTTTCTTAGATTGTGAGTTCCTTGAAGGCAGGGACCAAACTTGTCTCATTCAGCTTTGTATCCTTTTATCTGCAGCCCTCTACTTTTTAGGAAGCACTCCATAAATGCTAACAGACTGATGAGATTAATTATGTGAAAGTAGGGACAAAGTGGGGATAATGGAAAATCAAATGCTAGGTACGAGGAAAATTAGCCTTGGAAAAGTTGCTTACTGGTTATAAGACTCGCAGGCCCCTCAGAAGCCTTACATGTTTTACTTTTGCCAAATTGATGTCAAATCAGTGTAAAAATGACTATTCTTCAGTTTTTTAATTGTGTATGAATCTGGATTATTTTTTTCAGTTTACCATTTTATTTTACTTGTTTGTCTGTGTATAGTATGCCAATATGAAATAATGAGACTTTTCATTTTGACAGCTTGAAATAACCGTGAATGTCCCAGATATTGGATTCATAACTGTTGATGAACATCAGCTCTCAAACACAGATGTGACCACTCAGGAAATGAAACAAGAAGAAAACTTGAATGTATTATCAGTTGTAAGCATCCATTTTAATGTTTTGTGTTTAATTCTTTGTTTACTTTCAAAAGACTAGAAGCTTGGTGCTCTCCCTCTGGGGAGCACAGCCACGCCTTTCCCCATCTTCTTCTTTCCCTCGGTGCATTACCTTTGCTTTTCTCTCTCTGAAGCTCCAAGGGCCCTTCTTTTGCTTCTATAACTTGTTTCCCAAGCCTCCACAGCCCAACGGGCTCACTTCTACCTTTGTAACTTTTTTAAAAAAAGACTGGAAGTTTATTTTGAATACTTTAGGTTTACAAGCAGTTCACTAATTTTTGTCATGTAGGGAGCTGTAAGTGTGAATAGTAGAACTGATGAATAATCTATAGGTTTTGTATTTAACCTGAAGAGCAGTGAAGAGCAGTGATCTTTGTGTATGTGTGGGTATGCTCATAATCTTATGTTGCATTAAATCTATACCAAATATAAATTATTTGGAATGTATTTAATTGCATTTTGCTTGGTATTCTTTCTTATTTGGTTAGAATTTATCTTAATTTTGAAAATGAAGACTTGAAATTACAACTTTTTAAAAACATCTTTATTAAGACACAGTTCACACACCCTACAGTTCACCCATTTAAAGTGTACATTTCAATGATTTTTAGTATACAGTTATGTGCAAACATCATCACAGTTAATTTTAGAACATTGTCATCACTTCAAAAAGAAACCCCATACCCATTAGCAGTTGCTCCCCACTGCTTCCCATCCTTCCCCAGGTCTAGCCAACCAATCTACTTTCTGTCACTATAGATCTGTGTATTCTGGACATTGCATGTACACTGAATGGCCCGATTATTATGACCACCCCATCAGTAGTTCATTGATACTTCCAAAATACTGAGTATTGAAAACTTCCTAAGCAAATACTCTCAAGGTTTTATTATTATTATTATTTGCATAATTAATTCACTTCATTGTACTAATGGGGTGATCATAATAATCTGGCCGGTCATAATAATCTGGCCATTCAGTGTAAATGGACTCACGGTTTTTGTGTCTGGCTTATTTTAGCATAATGTTTTCAAGGTTCATATTGTAGCATGAATCAAGGTCAGTGATGGCTCCTTCTGGAGGCTCTGAGGGAGAAACCATCCCAGGCCTTGCTCTTACCTTCTGGCAGTTGTCGCGGTCCTTGTCATTACTTGGCTCGTGGCAGCACAATTCCAAACTTTGCCTTCATTGCCATGGTTTTCTTTCTGTCTGTGTGTCTGTGTTTCTTCTCCTCTTATAGGACAGCAGTCATACTGGGTTAGGGCCAACCCTAATCCTGTCGGGCCTAATTTTAACTTGATTACCTCTACGAAGACTGTGCGTCCCAGATAAGGTCATATTCATGGTACTGAGGGTTAGGACTTCAACATCTTTCTGGGGGACACAATTCAATTTACAATACTTTCCAATCTGGCTGTCCTTTATTTCTTTTGCTTGCCGAATTGCCCTGGCTAGAACCTCCAATACAGTGTTGAATACAGGTAACAAGAGTGGACATTCTTGTCTCGTTCCTGGTCTTAGCAGAAAACATTTAATCTTTCACCGTTAACTTTGATGTTAGCTATGGTGTTTTTCATAGATGTCCTTTATAAATTTAAAAAAGTTCTATTTCTGGTTTGTGTGTGTATTTTATCATGAAAGGGGGTTAGAATTTATGATATGCTTTTTCTGTATCTATTGAGATGATCATGTGATACTTGTTTTTTATTGTATTGATACGATGTATCATACTGATTGAATTTTGGATGTTAAAACATTGCACCTGGGATGAATCCTACTTGTTCATGATGTGTAATTTTATATGTTGCTGAATTCTGTTTGCTTGTATTTCATTGATGATTTTTGTGTCCATATTCATATTAGATATTGGTCTATTATCTTTTATGAATCTTATACCTGCTCCTCTTAGGAAGAAAGCCCTCTAGCTGGGACCTGCAGGGAGAAAGGGCCCTGTTTTCTTGGCTGCAGCAGTTTGAGGTGGAATCTCTGTCTGCTGAGCTGGGAAGAAGGAGGAAGAGAGCAGTCTTTGTTCAAATACCACGTGTCTTCCCTTTGTTATCAAGTTTCACGAATAGATGATCTTTCATTCTCTGCTCTTAGGATTATTTCCAGAGGCCTTAATGATTGCTTTTAAATAAATTTCACCATTTTCAGTGGGGAGAGGGTCAGCAGAGCTCCTCATGCTGTCATGCTGGACATCAGTCCTATAACTTCTTAGTAGTGTAAAAAAAATTGTGATATTTTTCAGACTGTGGTTTCCATTGAGTCAAAACTTATGCCAGCTATGACTAAAGCTGAAGGATTATGAAGTGAAGAACTAAAGTAAGAATGGTAGATGCAGATTGCAATATAATCATAATTAACATTTATACACAATACAAAAAAAAAGGTAAAATAAGGAGCAATAGACAAAAGAATTTGGATTTTTAATTATTTCTGTTCTTGTTTATGAAATTTTATCAGTAATTATAATTAAGGGGGAAAAACCAGTTCACACTCCATTGTAATTAAAAGCACAGATAGATCTGTACAACATAGTGTTTCTTGAGATACAGAACAAATAATTTGGGAAACTACATAAGATATTACTTTTCCTCTTTTAGGAAATGACCACAGGTGAACATACCCAAGATGAAACAGGTAACTTTTAATTGGAAACTGTTAAAAACTACTTGGTTAACACTCGCACAATGACATAGTAGTGGTGGTAGTTTGTAAATGAGTCATTTTGCTGGAGAGTTGAACAAAATGATTCAGCTTTTGAATGTGTTACCTCTAGGAGAAATGTGAATTCTTGGAATGTTACTGTAGAAAATGAATTGAGTTAAATGTTTAGTAAAGAAGTATTTTTCCTCTGATCTGCATAGATGCATTTTTTTGAAGATACTGAGTTACTTAATGGGAGGGAGGCATTTGCATTGAGTAAAAGCCAACAGTTGATGATTTCTTTACTTACAGTAAATTAATGAAAACATTACCCTAGTAAGGGATTAGTGGTATAGAGGATATTGAAATTTGTTACTAGAGGATAAACACCTGAATTTAAAAACTTTTTCTAAGTAAACAAACTTAAATTTCCAGATGCATTCTTCTGTTTTAATGTTGGTATATTTTCTCACAAGAAACCAACGATGGAAGCACTGAAGCTGCCATTACTTTACTTACAATGGGAGATCTAGTGTTGCAGTCAGAGATCAGTACAGAGCAGAGTGATGGTAAGAATGAAAAATAAGTCCTTAAAAAAAAAGAAGCTTTTAAAGTCCAACTTTTAAGAAATTATACCCACATTTGCATAATAAGTGAATACCTGCCTGTTACATTTGAAGTTGGCACCACTTTGTTGTTTTTCCAGAAAAGATAATATGTATGCAATGATCCATCTAACTGCCCCTTTAGATGTAGTGGCCACCATTTCAAGGTAGTGCACTTGGCTTATTAAGAGTAATCTGTATTTGTGGAATAGTTGTTCAGTGCTGTATCCCCAGCACATAGTACGTGCTCAGTTACCTTTGTTATCATAAACATCATTGGTTAACTGCACATACTGATCACTGATTACTTTATACATGTTTCTTTAGCAAAGGAGCTGCTGCTTTGGGTAGTTCCACAGTTACGTGACATTCAAATACAGTATGAAGGGGCAGTAGCCATCATTGAGATTATTTGGTTTAGAATGTTCTGTTAGTTTGGACTGAGCCAAATTATATGTCAACCCAGATTTTTAATATTTTAGGCTGAAAAGCAATGGTCTTGACTAAGTATTTTACTCTATGAATATGTCATGCAGATACAGAAATGTTTCTTTTAAAAATGTGTAAACCGTAGATGATATGAGGTGAACAGAGTCATGATTTATCTTTCTTTGTTTTAATCCTCACTTGAGGATATGTTTTTATTGATTTTAGAGAGAGGAGAATGGAGAAGGAAAGAGAAACATCAGTGTGAGAGAGACATCCATCAGTTGCCTCCCATACCAAGGATTGAACCCACAACCTTGGTATGTGCCCTGACCGGGAATTAAACCTGTGATCTTTTGGTGTACTGGATGATGCTCCAATCAATTGATCCACCAGGCCAGAGCGGGCTTCATTCTTTTTTTTTTTTCCAGGCTTGATTCTTAATGACAGAGTATTGCATTGGAGCCTGTCACAAATCTCTAGGACATAAAGTACAGGTTTTTAAAAATTGTAAATAAAGGTGATTTTCTTAATTCATTTGAGGTTATATAGTTATTGAAAGTAACAAAAAGATTCATTTTTACTTATAATAACCCAAATATTTCAGTCTATAAGAATTATTAAGCTTAGAAAAGGTAAAATATTTGGCATGAAGAGTGGGATCATAAATTTAATTTAGGAGCCCAAAAGAGCAAACTTTAAAAACGGTATAGAATTTTGCAATTGCTGAATGTTGAAGGATTTATTTTATTTTGACATCTATTTGTATTTTCTATTTTTTTCTGCAATAGGAATATGTGTACTTCCTGGTGTTCATTCAAAGGATAAAAGCCATATTCCTTTTAACCCAGATAATGTCAGTGACAAAATTGTTTATGAATGTCAGGAGCTTTCTTCACCTGTCAATAGTGTACCTCTTTCATCATTAGAAGAAAACAAGATTGAATTGGAGGAACAAAGTACTAAAGAAGAAATTGGTTTAATGGAGAAAGTAAAGGAAAACGCTAGATCAACCAGGTTTATTTTGCTTTATTTCTTTTGAGTTTTACCAAAAAATAAATTACAGTATCCTATTAATAAATATATTTAAACTAACCATCAATTTAGTTAATAGTTTTGAATAATACTTGTGTAAATGTAAAGTAGGCAGTACTGATTTCTTATCCTTTAAAGTAATAATTTGCTGATTGTGATTTTAGTTTAATGTTTTGAGTATTAAAATTACTGCAATAAGCATGTCTTTAAAGCTTTAATGAAATAGTTTTATATAAATAGTTTTAGTCTCTGTTTTACAAATATGGTCCAGAATCTCTTTCCCTCTCAAGACCTTTAGAAAAGTTACTACCACGTAATTTTAGCATTAAGAAATGAAACTTCAGATGATGTGGCTCCTTAGAAGGTGGCACATATCTGTCTGTATCAGTGCTAGCCAGAATGTATCAATGTGAGAGAGAATTCTTACACATTGATAGATTTCTCTCTTTTCCCACTCTTTTTCTAGGAATACAACTTCAGAGGTGACCAGTAATCTCAGAATGAGAAGGAGATTTGCCAAGCCTAAGCCAAATCTTAGGAAGATTTTAGGGACCAACAGATTTGGTGCTCATCAGGAAGTTCCCAGTTTGCTTGTAACCAAAGGAGAAGTGGAAATTCAAAGAGGTAAATTTTATTGTTCCCTTGAGAGTTACAAAATTACTTTGACACAAGAAATTACATAACATTTCAAATGGAATATTCAGTTGTTAAACTTTATTTTAACTTACTATTAATTTCAAATGTACAAAAAGTAGAATGAGCTATAAAATAAATACCTATAAATCCACCAATTGGTTTCAATAATTATTACCATTTTCCTATATTTACTTGATCAAACTTTCTCTTCATATATATTTTTTTCTGTGTGTGAATGTGTGTGTGTGTACATGAATGTTCAAGCACACATTTCTTAGAAAGGTATACATGCATGTGGCAGAAAATAAGACAGTGCCCAAAAGGCATATGATTTTAAAAACTCCTTCCTCCTTAGGTTCCCAGCCCTCTAATCTCACTTCTAGTGGTAAACTGTTTTTAACCGTTTTTATTATAGACTTCCAGAAAGATTTTATACACATAAGTATCTAATGAGGGTGTGTGTATGCCCATACAATCATATATACATACATATCTATATTTCTTTCAGGAAGAATAAAAATATATGCATACGGTACACCGTTCTGCACTTTTAAAAATGTACAACTTAGTGGTGTTAATATATTTACCAAGATTGTGTTAAACCCTGTATGTTGTATGTAGAAGGTCTGGATAGTTAACATCATCATTTCTGTTTTGGGATTCCTGATTTCTGGGGTTTCTCTTTCAACCAGCAATGCCTGTTACTCTGGTCTGAGCAGTACCCAGAAGCACTCTCATGCTGGCTCAAGTTACCTTTCCTATATAGAAGTCATTTCCTTTCCCTTTGTAACATTATTCTTTGTAGAACAGCTCCTTCCCAGTACTTTTCCCAAGGTGGAACTAACCAGACCTCATGTATATCCACCTGTAAACTTCTTTTGTTGGTGGATTTCTAATTATACTTCTATTACCATTAAATGGAGATGCAGTTTTTGTGGTAGCCAGGAGTGAAATATGTGCCCTGTCAATAAACTTGCATTTTAGCCTGGCAGGCATGGCTCAGTGGTTGAGCATTAACCTGTGAACCAGGAGGTCATGATTTGATTCCTAGTTGGGGCATATGCTTAGATTGCTGGCTCGATTCCCAGGAGAGGGCGTGCAGGAGGCAACCGATCAATGATTCTCTCTCATCATTGATGTTTCTATCTCTCTCTCCCTCTTCCTTCATCTCTCTGAAATCAATAAGAATATATTAAAAAATAATAATAAACTTGCTTTTTGGATTAAGAGATGTTTGAAAGAGCCCACTATATAGTGATCTGTCTTTGAAGAGAAAATATGTTTCTAATATGGAGATTTTAGCTGTACTATTTTGGATTATATCTTAAATGTTTTTTTATTTAAGAAACGGAGAAAAATACTCCTAAAGCAACGGGATTAGAAGATAAAAACCTTGAATCAGAAACAATAGCAGAGAATAAGGAGCAGAGCAGGTTGGCACATGACCATGGTATTGAAGAGACCAGTATTTTGCAGGAAGCAAGCCTAAAGGAAAGGTAAAGAGGAGAGATTGTGGGATGAATTTAATTTAAAAACAAACAAACATCCAGGTTCTGTTGCATTAATATAATATAAAAGTTTAAAAAAACAATAAAATAGATGAATTTGATGTACCTAGCTCTAAACATGCTGTGGTTGTCTGCTTGATTTCAAATATAAGTATACTGAAACTCTAATACATACTAATTTCTCTTTCAGAAAGGAAGATCAAGCGCAGGGATCTCAAGAAGTTCAGATATTGTCATTTACTCCAGTTGTTTCCTCTGAGACAAGCTCCCACACACTTGGTTTGGGTAGGGGTCTTAGTGAGAGTTCTGTTGGAGAGCCCCTGGGAAAGGACTCAAGTGGAGACAATGTGCTTACACCTTATGTGCCAGAGGTAAAGGAATGAAAAATATAATAAGTGGTGGCTAGGTGTTTGTTCCTCATTTAAAAAAAAATTAAGGTATAATATAAACACAATACCTTTCACCCTCTTTAATGTGCAATTCTATACATTTTGACAAACACATAGTCATGTGACTAATACATGAACAGTTCGATCATCGCCCGAATTCTCTGGTGTCCTTTTTTAGTCATCCCTCCTCTCCTACCCTCAGCCCCTGGCAACCACTGATCTGTTTTGCCTTTGCAAGAATGTACTGTGATAGAATTTTTATTTTGTTTTTAGTCTCTGGAGCACAGAGATAAACTAGCCAATACTTAGCTTTGTTGTAAAAGCTTTGAAAAGTGAAGTGTTTTGTACATAGAGAATTCACCTTTTGCTACTTAGCCCCTGGATCTGAGAAGCTACGTGTCTAACACTGTGAGATATGGGGTAACAATTTTATTGATTTCAGAGAGGAAGGGAGAGGGAGAGAGAGAGAGAGAGAGAGAAACATCAATAATGAGAGAGAATCATTGGCTGCATCCTGCAGATCCCTTAATGGGGATCGAGCCCGCAACTCAGGCATGTGCCCTTGACCAGAATCGAACCCGCGACCCTTCAGTCCCCAGGCCGGAGCTCTATCCACTGAGCCAACCAGCTAGGGCTCCCTTTTCTGTCAAAATTCATTTCATAGACCACATATTAAACAATTCAGTCTGAATTTCTGTGTGTAAATGTTAATCAAAAGTTTATTGGTACAATCAAGTTTCCAAAAACACTTTGAAAAATTGCATAGGGTTAGATAATTGTTGAGTTTTGAAACCATAACTGTTCAGTATATCAAATTGTCAGGAAGACTTTTTAAAACTGAGATTTGGTCAACCTTTTTCATTTTAATTTTTATGGCAGTGTATACCAACTAGTACTCCAGAAGTCCAACAAGAGAATGTAAGCAATCCTCAGGATTTAGCAGGTATGATAATCTGCTTCAATAAAGTATCATAGAACCTAACAGTATGGTTTTTACTCCCCAATTTGACTGTGGAAAAAACAAAACAGTTGTGTGTTTTTTTGGCAGGGGGAGGTCTATGATGGCCTTAAATTAAAAAAACAAATAAAAAACAACTTGAAGTATTTTGTTGCTCAAAATTATAAATTTCCATAGTGAATTATCTTTATCCTTTATAAAATTACTTTTTATTTTTGGGTGTAATTCAGCTTTTATTCTTAGTGATAAGTTGTTTTGAGACTTTTTAGAAATGAAATGATTTTCTGTACTTTCATGGTTCAGCTTTTCATTACTAACTTTTAAATTTTGATAGTCAATCTAGTTGGTAACGTACATCATGATGCTGAGGAAGAGCAAGCATTCATTTTAACTCTGGTGGAAATTCCAACCGATTCAGTAGAAGAATTTACTGAAAACTCTACACAGTTAATGCCAAACCCTTTACTGCCAGCGCCCATATTGGTCAAATCAGTGACTTCAGAAGAAAAGAGCAACATGAGGTAATGGATGAGCTAAACTGTTTTTGCTAGGAGAAAAATTGCTTTATGAATCAAATAGTATTGATAGGAATGAGCCATTTACCAACATTAGTAATTCTAGATATTTTATTTAGTAATCATGTGGTAGAGAAGAAATCATTTATTTTATATCTGATGAAGATATCACAAATGTATAATATTTTTTGTATGAAGCTTTTGTGGTATTTTATGTATTTTGAAAGCTAAAAGCACCTATAAATGTAGATCATAAAGTGGCATCTATTAAAGGTATGGTTACTTTGTAAACATTTACATATATTTTAAATTTTGTTACTTTGTAAACATAAATATATATCCTAAATACACTCACAGAAAGTTGCAAAAATAGGAGAGGTAACATTTCTATATATTTTTGATGCTCATTTTAATTCTTTACAGTAGAATTCTTAAGTTGTATTTTAATAGTCACTGATTAAGATGCTTAATTGTCCATTAAATAGAATTAGAAATTGAAGTCTTTTATATCAGAAAGAGACATTTTGGATTAAAATTAAACTTTACAGACATTTTTTATACCTCAGATTTCATTCAATAGTATGGAATTTAGTTTCTAAGCCTTTAAGTATTGATGGAGGCTCAATAACATTTTTGTGGTCATGGCCATGTATGTGTTAGTTACTTTGAAGTGTTTTTGGCAGTTTTGATTGGAATAGCTCAGTCTTTAACCTCATTAAATCACCTCTAATTAACTGATTTAATGTGTATGTATTTTCTATGCAGTATGAATTTTCCAATAACTTCAGTTGGTCAGGATGCCATGTGTTTATCTAATTCTGGAAGTGATGCTTCTGAAAAGCCTCCTGCTAATTTGGATCTTATGTCTAGGAAGAGATTTCATTGTAGGTCTGATGAAAGTGACCATGTTCCTCCTGCCAAAAAACATTCACTCACTTTAAGAGATGATTGTCAAGAATATACCTCTGAGGTAAGAGAGCCACTAAGTAAGATGGCCATATTATAACAGATTGATTTGTTTTTTCCCTTTATATTCTTTATATAAAGACTAGAGGCCCGGTGCATGAATTCATAAACGGGTGGGGTCTCTTGGCCTGGCTTGCGATCAAGACCTATCGGGGGGCCGGCCGGGAGGAGGAACCCTGGGAGATTGGCCGGCTGGCCCCCTGATTGGGGCTGATGGGGGGGCCAGCTAGTCAGGGGGGGTGGGCAGAGGCTGCAGGAAGTTGGCTGGCTGACCCCCTGATTGGGGGGAGGGACCACGGGAGGTTGGCTGGCCAAGGGGAAGGGCCGCAGGAGTTTGGCTGTGGGAGTGCACTGACCACCAGGGGGCAGCTCCTGCGTTGAACGTCTACCCCCTGGTGGTCAGTGTGCATCATAGCGACTAGTCAACCAGTCGTTCTGGTTGCTCAGTCATAATGGTTGCTTAGGCTTTTATATATATAGATAGTTCTAATACTTTTCACCCTAAATAATTAAAGTAAAACTGGTTTTGTATTTTTACTTTCAACCTATTCTATAAGAAAATTGATGGACATTAATCAAGAAATCCATTCCTGGCTCTGTATCATTAGCTAAAAAGTAGGCTGAAAGCATCATACAGATCTGGATCTTGGTTGTACCACTTATAGCTGTGAGACCTTAGGCAAGCTACTTCACCTCTCTGATTGAGTTTGCTATTGTATAAAATGATGATACTAATATCACCACCACCATTATAATGCTTAAAGCTTCTTATTGCTATTAGGAACAAAAACAGAACTTCTAAGGCCCTATACTTACCTGGTTCATTTATGTCTCTAGTCTTGTGCTAATTTCTACCTTACTCCCTAACCATATTGGCCATCTTTTTTCTCAAAAGCACAGTACTCCTTCATGTCCCCGGCCATTTTTTTGCTGTTTCTTTTTCTGAACTGTTCCCTTAAAACAGTGGTGGGGAACCTTTTTTCTGTCAAGGGCCATTTGGATATTTATAACATCATTCTCATAAATATTTATAAGATCATATTTATAATTATCAACTTAAAAATTAGCTTTCTATATTTGGTCAAACATTTAATTAACTCACGCCGAATGCCTTGGCAGGAACAGACCAAATAATCAGGCCTTATATGGCCCATGAGCCAGACGTTCTCCACCCCTCCCTTAAAACATACAAACCTCTTTAACTCAGTGATCACTACCTTAGGGGAGCCTGATAATACTATGCAGATTCAATCAACATGCACTGTGTTGTATGTTTCTTAGCACCCTCTGTTTTTTGTTTCTGGTACTTATAATGTATGTAACCACACTATGGCAAAATTAATTTAGCCATAAATCTGTATTCTCAAAGGGACACTTGAAGACCAATAGTCCTTAGATGATAGCAGACAACAGAGGCAGTGTATCCTTGTATATCTGATAGGTGAAAAATGGTCTCCCAGAATAGTTTTAATTTCTCTTATTATGAGTAAGGATGGAGCATCTTTTCATATTTTTAAGCCATTTGTGTTTTCTGTGAGATGACTCTGTGTATTCCTTACTCATTTTTTAATTGGGTTGTTAATCTTTTTCTTATGGATTTGAAGGAACTCTCCTATATATATATGCCTGAGATATGAGTTGCAGATATTTTTTCCCAGTTGGCTATTTTTCATTTCACTCTATTTTATGTGGTTTTCACATGCAGACATTTTTGGTTAACTTTTTTAAAAAAATTCTTTATTGTTGAAAGTATTACATATGTCTCCTTTTCCCCTCACTGACCTCTCCCAGCCTGCTTCATTTTATTTGATAAATGGATTTCTAATTTTTTTGTAAATTTTCTTAAAACAGGTATGTTCAAAGGAATTAATAAATGTTTTTGAGGAAACAGGTGAGTGAAATAAATTTTAATGTGATTATATTTTCCTAAGTACCCCTGATTATTTTTGATGCATCTTGTTCAAATTTGGGATTGAAGCAGAGTCTTGCTCACTGTTCTCTAAGAATCATGCTTTTATTATTAGATTCTTTTTTCCCTGCTGAGATTATGGATTTGGCACTTTGGTAGCCATAAAAGTCTACTTTCTTCCTGTATTTAATAGAAAACCACATCTCTACAGGATTTCTGAGAAAGCTCAACAACTACATTTTAGGAATTAGAAAGCTGGGTACAAAGGAGTTTTCATAGGTCCTTCGCTACACCCTGAGATTAGAAAATGATCACTTTGTTAGTTTAAGAAATATTTATGGAGAAAGATTTTCTAGGTGAAAATATATTGATAAGACTGTTCTTGAGAAGCTGTTACTTTAACTTTTAGCTAGTTATATTATTCTTAAGCATCCAGGTAACTCCCTAATTTATAATTCAGCTTACTCTAATTATAATTTAGCTTATTAGAGCTGTTTAGGATAGAATGTCATGGGTTTTTTCCTTCAGGTATTGAAGTTCCATTGGTTGTGTTAATTTCAATATATGTGCTTACCATTTTTTTTCTTTTTTTTAAGGGAAGTCTTACAAGGGACAAAATATCTTCCCTACTTCAAAAAGCACACATACAACACCAGAACCTCAGAAAGAGCAACTTGAAGCAACTTTTCAGAGTATGGGATCTAGACCTCTTGATAAAATAATAGATACACATATAGAAAAGAATACACCTCATTTACCTCAGGATAAGGTGATTGTGTCTGATAAGGAAGAAGGAACTTGTGCAGCTTCTAAGTCTGAACAAGTGGATAGCATCACATCATCTTCAAAAACCCCACTATCCAGGTATCTTGAGAAAATCTCTAAGTGCTGAAACTTTGACTCTTTATTTTTTTTATTTTTTATTTTTTTTTTTATATATTTTATTGATTTTTTACAGAGAGGAAGGGAGAGAGATAGAGAGTTAGAAACATCGATGAGAGAGAAACATCGACCAGCTGCCTCCTGCACATCCCCTACTGGGGATGTGCCCGCAACCCAGGTACATGCCCTTGACCGGAATCGAACCTGGGACCTTTCAGTCCGCAGGCCGACGCTCTATCCACTGAGCCAAACCGGTTTCGGCAAAACTTTGACTCTTTAGATAGAAAATGTTTAGAGTTTAGTATTGTACATTTGGTCTTCCACATTGTCCTTGGTTATTATTTTGATCCTTATTTATTCTATCAATCATATAGTAGCTGCCAGTGCACATGTAGATGATCTGAGACATAGGGTTAACATCAGAAGTAGTTCTGGATGTTGTTTTATTGAGGTCCCAGAAAATGTGCATTTTTCTCCCTTATGGCATACCAAAGAGGCAAACCATGGCTTTGTCTCTATGAGAGTCAGTGTGAAATGTAAGCCCAAAGCCGGCTTTCCCCACCTTATTTTCCTCATACTCTAGAAGTTGAGCATTCTGGGTTATGGATAATTACTGTTCTTGTCAGCAGTATTAAAGTCATTAATATGGTGTTGGTGAGTTGAAGAGGGAGGACATTCACTAACCTCCACAAAAGGAAAGGGAGAAGGGCATATGTAGCTTAAAAAGGCATATGTAATGAGTCTACCGTTCTTGTTGTCTAAACTACAGAAAGTGAAGCTCAGCAGTATCTTTTCTGGTCTAAGAGATGTGCTGAATATAGAAGGAGGGAGGCATCATGGGGTTTTGGTTTAAAACCGATTGAGAAGCAGTATTCTAGAATATGGGTCAGCAAATTTTTTTGCTAAAGATCGTGTAGTATATTTTTTAGGCTTTGTGGCCTTTATGTCTTTGCAACTACTCAACCCTGCATTTATAGTGCAAAAGCAATCATTTAAACAGATGAACACAACTGTGTTCAGTAAAATTCGTTTATCGAATCGAGTGGTGGACTACATTTGGCCTAGTTTGCTGACATCTGCTCTAGAGCCTTGCTATTCAGTATGGTCATGGGACCAGCAGCATAGACATCATTTGAGAAGTTGTTAGAAATACAGAACCCAGGCTCTACCCCCATTAATTCAGTCAGAATCTTCATTTTAATAAGATACCCAGGTGATTTGTATGCACTTTTAAGCAATAATTTATGCACTAATGACGTATTACTAGTACATATGCCATTGTAGGATCAATGGAAAGAAGTTGTTATTAAGAATGTGTTTTCCTGGATATTCTTGAATGTCTTTATGTTTGTATTTCTAGACCTGGCAGAAGACCCCTGGGATTTTTGTCTTTAATATGTTCAAAGAATAGTTTGGAGTCTGATGAACCTACTCATGTTCATAGAAAGAAACGCCTAAAACCCCTTATACCTATATCAAGACAGAATTTGAAAAGATCCAATCCACTTAGTGAAAGCCAGAAAAAAGTTCAAGAGTCCTCTAATATACATCCATCTCCAAGTGTTGTTAATACTCAATCTGAGAATATTGGCAGTTCAGCAACTCAGGTATGTATGTGATAACTACTTGCTTTGTTGTTTATATAGAATGGGTTGGATATCAGACTCAACTAGTAAAAACATGGCAATTGTTATTTTTATTAGGGAGTCAGAAATTATTGCAGAGCAAATCTTATCTATCTCCTTCCCATCATCCTCCCCACTCACCACTATATTGAAAGAAGATAAGGTAGGAAGTTACAGCTAGTTTATTAGTGCGGAGCCATTGAACTAGCTGTAAATAGACCCTTAATTGCCATTTCTTTAAAGCAAAGACCCTTCTGACCTATGGAAGCAAAACAAAGCAGTGTTTGCATTTTATTTACTTGTCGAGAAATATCCTGACACCTATAAGAATTGAAGGTAAAATTAGAATTTGTTTGTATATTTTATTTTTATGCATTCCGAAGCTGTGCATGTGGGAAGGACTGGGATGGAAAAATTTGTGAACCTGTATCAAAGACTTCAGAAGAATATTGGGGTGACTTAAGATCTCATTAAAGGATGGTGATCTCTAATGGGTAGCATGAAACTTGAAGGAGTACTTTTGTAAAAAAAAAATACCTTTAAAATTTTTTAAATTTTTTATGTTATTTGCCAGAATTATTTTCTGAGACCAAGATTTTCTGAGTCTTTATTATTATTGCCAAATTACTTTGGAGAACAGTGCTGTAATTACCAGCAGCACTGCAGTGCCAGTTTAATCACGTTCTTGCCAGCATTAGGTATATAACTCTTCAAATAGAATTTTTTCTTACTTAATATAATGGTAGAGGCGTGGGCATGTCATTTCATTTGTTTATTTGCATTTCTTCAGTTATTAGGGACTTGTTTTTTTTTCAAAGTATTTACTAGATATTTTTTCCTTTTTTATCTTGCTAATTTATAGCTTTCAGGATCTTAGTATTGTTTTGTTGTTTTTTTCTGTACCAATTTGTGTGAGATTTTTATGTGTGTGAAAAAGCCATGTACCTTCTAGCTCTTTGTTGCAAGTAGTTTTTTCAAGTTTACTTACTTTTTAAAATTTTTGAGGTTTTTTTTATATACATAAGTTTTGAATGTTTAGTCAAATCTATTTTTTCTTTGCAATTTCTTAAATTGCTTTTATGATTAGTGAGGTTTTTTTTTAGTAATATATTTTTATTGATTTCAGAGAGGAAGGGAGAGGGAAAGAGATAGAAACATCAATGATGAGAGAGAATCATTGATCAGCTGCCTCCTGCATGCCCCCTACTGGGGATCGAGCCTGCAATCCAGGCATGTGCCCTTGATCGGAATCGAACCTGGGACCCTTCAGTCCGCAGGCTGATGCTCTATCCATTGAGCCAAACCAGCCAGGGCTGATTAGGGAGTTTTTCTCCAGAGATATAAAATTTTCAGTTTTAAAATTAATTCTATTCATGATTATTGACTTTGGTATATAGTATGAGGTATATTTGGTATATAGTGAGAGGCAAGAATCTAAACTAAATGTTATTTTCAAATTTCTATTTTATTATTATTTTGAATAAGTAATATATTCCACATCTTAAAATTCCTTATCTGTGAAAAAGACTTTACAGTAAAATGTTTCCCACATCTGTCCTTTAGCTTCCTAGTTCCCCTTTCCACAAATATATAGTATTATCAGTTTTTGGTTTACTTCTCCAGAGATACTCTATGTATACACAAATATGAACATTTTTCTTCTTTTTTATATAAATAATAGTATACTATTCTCTTCCATACTGCTTTCTCTTCCTTATGGTACATCTTGGAGATGTTTGCAAAACAGTAAAATGCTTCCTCTTTCTCTCACTTTCTTCTTAAAAAATTTAAATTACACTTTATTTGGAGATCACTGTAGATTCACACCAGTTGTAAAATGAATACAGAGAGATCCCAGATAAAAGATACCCTTTATCGAGTTTTCCCCAATGGTAGCATCTTGTAAACCTATGGTACAGTATCACAATCAGGATACGGACAGTGCTACAGTCAAGATACTGAATAGTTCTGTCATCACAGGGAACCTTTGTGGTGCCCTTTTATAGAATACCCACCCCCACCCCAGTCTCTCCTTGACTTCTGGAAACCAGTTCTCCATTAAATTTATCATTCCAAAAAAGTGATGTGCTAGTAAATTGCATCATGTTACTGGTATATACAGTTATGTAAATGGATTCATACATTTGGAATTGGCTTTCTTTCATTAAAATGAAAAAATATGGAACACTTCACAATGGTTCCATATTGGCAGTTCTGCAACTCAGGTTTGTATTTGATAGATAAGATTTGCTCTGCAATAATTTCTGACATCCAAATAAAAATGGAACCATTTGATGCACAAACCATTTAAATGACAGATGCTCTGTCTACTGAGTCAAACCGGTTAGGGCCGTGGTCGGCAAACCGTGGCTTGTGAGCCACATGTGGCTCTTTGGCCCCTTGAGTGTGGCTCTTCCACAAAATACCACGTGCGGGCGTGCACGTACAGTGCGATTGAAACTTCGTGGCCCATGCGCAGAAGTCGGTATTTTGTGGAAGAGACACACTCAAGGGGCCAAAGAGCTGCATGTGGCTCGCGAGCCGCGGTTTGCCGAGCTGCAGTTTGCCAACCCGCAGTTTGCCGACCACTGGGTTAGGGCTACAGTAGATTTTTAATAAATGTTTTTACATTTAAATCTTTTGATCCATGTAGAATTTCTTTTGGTGAAGTATACGCCTGGCTTTTTTTTTTTCTGAGATGATTATATAGTTGTCATCATTTATTGAATAATCCAACTTTTCTTATTTTCCTTTTAGAAACATCACTTTTATAAGATACTAAATTTCCATCCATATGTGTTGGGAGTATTTCTAGTCTCCTATTTAATTGATATATGTGTCTGTGTCTGTGCCAATACTATCCTGTCTTAATTTTTGATAGATTTATAACTGCTAATTTTTGATAGAATTGCTTTAATTTGTGATGATTCCTTTGGGTATGGTTTTGTTTCATGTCTATTTTTATATTGGCTATTAAAATACTGTCATTGTAGTGCTCACTTCAGCACCACATATACTAAAATTGGAACAATACAGAGAAGATTAGCATGGCCCCTGTGCAAAGATGACATGCAAATTTGTGAAGAATTCCATATTTTTTTTAAAAAAACATAGCCATATCAATTGATGCAGAAGAAGCATTTGTCAAAATCCAACATTCTTTCTTGATAAAAACCCTCAGCAAAGTGGAAATAGAGGGATTATACCTCAAGATAATAAAAGCCTTATATGACAAACCTATAGCCAACAGCATACTCAATGGGCAAAAACTAAAACCATTTCCCCTAAGAACAGGAACAAGACAGGGATGCCCACTTTCACCACTCCTGTTCGACACAGTAGTGGAAATGCTAGCCATAGCAATTAGACAAGAAGAAGAAATAAAAGGTATCTAGATTGGAAAAGAAGAAGGAAAACTGTCATTATTTGCAGATGACATGATACTGTACATAGAAAACCCTAAAGACTCCATCAAAAAATTATTAGTCTTAATAAATGAATTCAGCAATGTAGAGGATACAAAATTAACACCCAGAAATCTATGGCATTTTTATACACCAGTAGTGAACTTACAGAAAGAGAGATTTAAAAAAAAATCCCATTTATCATTGCACCAAAAAAATTAAGATACCTAGGAATAAACTTAACTAAGGACGTAAAAGACCTGTACTCAGAAAACTACAGACACTGAAAAAAGAGATAGAGGAAGACATAAACAGATGGAAGAACATACTGTATTCATGGATTGGTAGAATCAACATTATTAAAATGTCCATACTACCCAAAGCAATCTATAGATTTAATGCACTCCCCATTGAAATGCCAATGGCATATTTCAGAGACCTAGAACGAACTCTCTAAAAATTCATCTGGAATAAAAAAAGACCCCGAATAGCTGCAGCAATCCTGAGAAAGAAGAACAAAGTAGGAGGGATCTCAATACCAGATATCAAGCTATATTACAAAGCCACTGTTCTCAAAACTGCCTGGTACTGGCACAAGAACAGACATATAGACCAATGTAATAGATTAGAGAACCCAGAAATCAACCCAAAGCACTATGCTCAATTAATATTTGACAAAGGAGGCAAGATCATATAATGGAGTCAAGACAGTCTCTTCAATAAATGGTGTTGGGGAATATTGGACGGATACATGCAAAAAAATAAAAAAATTAGACCTGCAACTTACACCGTACACAAAAATAAACTCAAAATGGATTAAGGACTTTAATGTAAGAAGGGAAACCATAAAAATCTTAGAGGAATCCACAGGCAGCAAAATATCAGACATATGCTGAAGAAATACCTGATGGCGAACCTTTTGAGCTCGGCATGTCAGCATTTTGAAAAACCCTAACTTAACTCTGGTGCCGTGTCACATATAGAAATTTTTTAATATTTGCAACCATAGTAAAACAAAGACATATTTTTGATATTTATTTTACATATTTAAATGCCATTTAGCAAAGAAAAATCAACCAAAAAAAATGAGTTCGCGTGTCACCTTTGACAAACGTGCATGTTCGCCATCACTGTCCTAGGGCAATGGAAACTAAAGAGAAAATAAACAAATGGGACTACATCAAAATAAAAAGCTTCTGCACAGCAAAAGAAACCATCAACAAAACAACAAGAAAGCCCACTGCATGAGAGAACATATTTGTCAGTGTTATCTCCGATAAGGGTTTAATCTCCAACATTTACAGGGAACTCATACAACTTAACAAAAGGAAGATAAACAATCCAATCAAAAATGGGCAACGGACCTAAATAGATACTTTTCGAAAGAGGACTTTCAGAAAGCCAAGAGACATATGAAAACATGCCCCAAGTCACTAATCATCCAAGAGATGCAAATCAAAACAACAATGAGGTACCATATCACACCTGTCAGAATGGCTATCATCAACAAATCAACAAATGACAAGTGCTGGTGAGGATGTGGAGAAAAAGGAACCCTCCTTCACTGCTGGTGGGAATGCAGACTGGTGCAGCCATTGTGGAGAACAGTGTGGAGTTGCCTCAAAAACTAAAAATGGAACTCCCATTTGACTCAGTAATCCCACTTCTAGAAATATATCCCAAGAAACCAGAAACACCAATCAGAAAAGATATGTGCACCTCTATGTTCATAGCAGCACAATTTATAATAGCTAAGATTTGGAAACAGCCTAAGTGTCCATCAGCAGATGAGTGGATTAGAAAACTGTGGTACATCTACACAATGGAGTACTATGCTGCTGTAGAAAGGAATGAACTCCTACCATTTGCAACGATGGACCTGGAGAGCATTATGCTAAGTGAAATAAGCCAGTCAGAAAAAGATAGATATCACATGATCTCACTCATTTGTGGAATATAATGAACAACATAAACTGATAAACAAAAACAGATCCAGAGACAGAGAAGCATCGATCAGACCATCAAACCTCAGAGGGAAGTTAGGGGAGGGCGGGGGTAAGGGGAAGAGATCAACCAAAGGACTTGTATGCATGCATATAAGCATAACCAATGGACAAAGACACTAGGGGGTGAGGGCATGAGCGAGGGTGGGGGGTGGGTCATGGGGGGAATAAGGACACATGTAATACCTTAATAAAGAAAAAAACACTAAAAAATAAGATACTGTCATTGTAGATTTAATGTTATGTTTTTCTATTGTTAAAATTTTTTTCATGGAAATTAGCTTGATGTAAGGGATCATGGATACACTACAATTAACCTAATCATGTCATGCTATTTTATTATAACTAATGCTGTCTTATTCACAAAACTCTTACTGTGTTTAGGATTATTTTCTTAATGTAATTGCATAGAAATGAAATTATTAGATCAATGAGTATATGTTTATGTTAGATTGCTTTTCAAATAGATATCAATTTAGACTGCCATTACCATATAAAAATGTTATATTGCATACTTATTTTTATTATCTTTTTAGGTTTCTTGTGATCGTTCCTTACCAAAAGAAGAATGTAAAAGTGTCCAAAACCAGGCACTTGAAGAAGAGCCAACCACGGTCTCTGAATATTTCTTTAGTGATATTTTTATTGAAGTGGATAAAACAGAATGAAAGTTGTTTTTAAGTCTAGGATTTCCAGACTTAAAAAAGCATCATGTTTGTTTTTCTTTATGCTGATTTTGAGTATTTAATGAGCTTGATTTGAAGTTTTCATAATCAGTGGGAAACATTGTTAAGGTTCCTTCTATTCTGACTGATTCAGCATTTTGGAATTACCAAGCAATTAAGACTGCTTTTTCAGACAGAAATAGTACCTCTTGTTTACATTTTGACTCTTCCTGTACTGAAAACACATGGACATTTTGGAATGTTGTTCGCCGATAAACGTCTGTATAAATCCCAGTGCTGATGTATTTGGAGGTGGGTTATATTTAACACTTAGCAAACTACTTTTGTGAAGGTCCTTTCTGTTTGGATTTTTCTTTGGGTCATTAGGCCTTTTCAGTTGCCTCTAAGTATATGACAGTCAATTGTTAAAAACTTTTCTATTATCAGCTATTTGACTGAAAAATATGTATTTTTCTAATTCATGTTAACATTAGTCCTAATTGAAGAACTAGTATTTAAACTTATTATTTATAAAGATGAAACATCAAAAAGCTTATTTATTTTTAAAAATTTTATTTAAAAGGATATTCAGTTTTAATTATTTTCACCCTTCAGAATATGGGTAAAGAAGGCATTAACAATTTGTCTCCTTTCCCTCATTAATTTTAAAGATATTTAAAGTGATATAACAAAGTATTTGGATAGTGTATATGTTTTGAATACATTTTTTCTCATAGTTTTAGTATATTGACTTTGTACTGTGAATGTTTTGTTTGTCTTATTTCTTGGATAATCTCAGGATTTGTATGGAAAAGAAAATACCTTACCTTCATTTATGAGGCAAATTTCCATACAAAAGTCAATCTCCTTTACACACACACACTCACACACACACATTCCTTTTTAAAGAAAAATAATTTAATAGTTTCCCCCCCATTAAATTCTGCTTAAGGAATATTTAGGCCTTTAAGTACAGAACATAATTGTGATATTAAAAACAGAAAATAAGACTATTAAGTCAGTGATTATCAATATGAACTTGAGTTGTTTTCAATTTTGTGATTTACATATGTAATTCTATTATTCACCCAAGTAAATCTTCAGTGTAGTTCAATTAAGCTTCTCAAAAAGCAGATTTACCCTGAGTTGATAAAAAATTAGTCAGGAGTCAGAAACATGTTTTCACAAAATAGTTTTGAGTTTGTTTGGGCCAGATGGCCTCTGTGGCAACTACTCAACTCTGCCATTTCAGTTGAAAATAGCCACAGACAATACGTAAATGATGGACATGGCTGGATTGCGATTTTAGTTTGACTCTCTGTGTGAGACAGTAATTTTCTTACCTTAAGGTGCTGATGTCTTTAGCTATGAGATATTTTTGTCATTGAAGTTATAAGTTGTGCCTAACTAAAGTATTGATTGCGTTATGGGATGATCAGTATTTCATGGGAAGATATTTTAATGTCTAGATAATTGTGTTTGTATATTGAAAAAAATGGAGGACAGTTTTCAAGTTCATTAGTAAAATAGGATATGGCTCAGGAGGAAGTATAACAGTAATCCTAATTTATTAAAACAATTGATATTAGAGCATTTCTTCATTTTATTATAGTGAAATTTATAGTTTAACTTTTTTCATAAAGGAGGATCTGTAAATATGAGTGGAAATTCTCTGTAGGTATGCATTTATTTATTTCATGTGATCACAAGAATCATGGTAATAAATCACATTGCTATTTTAATGCCTTGTTTTTATAAATTTTTAAAAATCTCATTCTGAAAAGGTTTCTATCATTTGATTAATATTAATTTGGGTGTTAGGTTGCCACAATCAAACTATTACTTTATCTCTTGTATAACATTTATGTTTTAACTTTGTTAATGTCTGTCTCTTGTTCATCTGCAGTGAATTAATTTTATGAAAGATTTAACTTCTTACTGTATAAAGATTAATTTTATCTTTTGGGCATTTATTGTAATAGAGAATCAAGTCACCCAGCTAAATTACCCTACTATTATATCCTTAAAACTAATCTTGGAGAAAGAGAACCTTAATCAGTGTATTTATTTACCTTTTAAGGTGGAAAGGTGTGTTCATACCTGTATTTAATCTAATTCATGTAAAGATGATGTCAGGAAGAATTTGTATTTTATGAATCTTAAAGGAGATATGATTATAAAGGTCTTTATTTTTTCTTGATTTTTTCCTCCTGAACACTTACATCTTAGCAAATGGTGAACATGATGGATTAAAAGACTAATTTGTTGGTAAATGATTGAGGCACAAATAAAAATATATCTACTGTTTACCACTATATTAGTTGAAATAGAAGTGACCATGTATACATACTATCTTGCTTGAAGAGGTCTTTGACAAAAAAGCAATATCTGTCATTTGTAAATTTTCTTGTTTTAAAGAAAGCAATTATGTTCTACAGATATAAATTATGTAAATAAAAGTTATTTTATATTATTTTTGTTGTATCCTTTTCTTAATGTTTAGTTAACCAAAACTAGAAGTTTTCACTACAGCTTATACTTTCTTCTATAAAAATATAGTACTGTCATCCCTTGGTATCTGTGGAGATTGGTTCCAGGACCCCACGTGGGTACCAAAATCTGAGGAAGCTCAAGCCCCTATATAAAATGGCATAGTGTTTACGTACAATCTATGCATATCCTCCATTATACTTTAAATCATCTCTAGATTACTTATAATCCCTAATACATGGTAAATGCTAAGTAAGTAGTTGCTATACTGTATTGTTTAGGGAGTAATGACAAGAAAAATAAGTCTATACATGTTCAGTATAGATGCAACCAGTCTAGGCCTAGCTATGTCAGCAACAACATAACTTTTTGTTGAATATTTTGGATCTGCAGTTGGTTGACTATGAAGTTGTTTGAATGCAGATGTGGAATCCACGGATATGGAGGGCCAACTGTAAAACTGGAAGAACCCATCTTTTTTCTTATATGCATGCTGTGAAGAATATTTTTTTGATATTGCAAGTATAAAGAATAGACTTTTCCCTACATGGGAGACATCTAAAGAGTTACTTTTTTATTTACTCTTTATATAATAAATTTTTAGGTATAAGAACTCAATCTCTTATTCTTTTTTTCTTCCCACTTTGTTTTTCTGTAGAGGAAATGGGAAACGCTAGTCCTAGATACAATATAAACCTGAATTTCTGATATGGATAGTGGCAAAGTATTGGTCCAAACATTTATTTGGGAGAAATACTTGTGGAAACTTTACTAAAGGGGTAGTTTAGTAATTTCTCCGGATACACAAAATTTTTGTCTTGGATTTTTGTCAGATCATTAAAGAGCTATGAGCCCTGGCTCAGTTGCTTGTGCATCATCCTGTGCACGGAAAGATGGCCGGTTCAATTCCAGGTCAAGACACATGCCCGGTAGGGGGCGTGCAGGAGGCAGCCTATCAATGTTTTTCCTGCTTTCTCTGAAAATTCAATTTAAAAAAAAAGAGCTATGAATATGGACTACATTGTTTTGTCTACTCATGTTTAGGGACATTATGTGAAAGAGTTTAAAAGCTTGAAGAAATTAATTTTGCTACAATGAAGTAGACTTTATCATCCAATATTCTACCTAGCAGTGATGGCAAAACTTTTGAGCTTAGCATGTCAGCATTTTGAAAAACTCTAACTTAACTCTGGTGCCGTGTCACATATAGAAATTTTTTGATATTTGCAACCATAGTAAAACAAAGACATATTTTTGATATTTATTTTATATATTTAAATGCCATTTAACAAAGAAAAATCATCCAAAAAAATGAGTTCACGTGTCACCTCTGACACGCGTGTCATAGGTTCGCCATCACTGACCTAGAGGAATCTATAGTAGATACTTCTCTTTGGCCTCAGTGCTAGGAATAATTGGGTTTCTGTTGAATTGTTCTGTGTTTTTTTTTAGTTTTTATTATTTTATTTTTTTTATATGGGCTGTGTGAATCCTTGTGTTGTTTACTTTCGCAATGCAAGCTAAATTTGGGGCCAACCTGTAGCAAGGGAAAATACTTCATAGCACACATTTTGTATATTAAACTCACTCTGACTTTTTTACCTTCATTCCCCCCTGCCCAGATTGTTAAAAACCTGTCACTTTTCAAAATAAGAACCTACCAATTATGCTAGGTACTGTACTAACCTTTTAATATGCATTGTTGCATGTTTTTTAAAAAAAAGTAATACACATGGCTTAAAAAGTTAAGTAGTGCTATAAGATTTTACACAAGCTGTTCTGGTATTACACTTTTCTAAACATGATTATTCTATCTCTATAAAGTTTTAGAAGTGCATTAAAGAAGTGCATTTAACATGATCTCACTCATTTATGGATAATAAAGACCATTATAAACTTATGAACAATAATAGATACAGAGGCAGAGCTGCCTCAAACTGATTGTCAAACGGCAGTGGGAAGGCCAGGGAGGGTTGGGGAGCAAGAGGGAGGGGGGTAAGAGATCAACCGAAGGACTTGTGTGCATGCATATAAGCATAACCAGTGGACATAAGACACTGGGGGGTAGGGGAGGCCAGGGGATTGTCAAGGGCGGGGAAAAAAAAAAGACACATATGTAATACCCTTTGTAATACTTTAAGCAATAAAACAAAAAAAAGTGCATTTAGAAGACGCACTTGTACATCTAAAATGCAATTTATTACTATTCGAATTTTTATTTTTGCTTGTTTATATTTCCGCTTTATAAAAGAAGGCACTTTGTTCTCCACTGTATCCCCAGTGTCAGAAGAGCACCTGGCACAGAAGACACTGAAGAAACTTTTGTTGAATAAATATCTCCTCTAAAGTTTTCTTAGGGCAGCTTAATGCCTGCCCAGTTTCCAGCTCTCGCATAAGAATAAGCTTTTTCAAGTCTTGGAATAGCCGTTCATTAGCAGAGGAAGAAGAAAGCACAATAGAAAATAAACTGAAACGAGCACAAGGAAACTCAATGGCAGTTCACCAGCTCCGCGGGAGGAGGCTGGATGGCCAGGGAAGGCTCGCTCTGCCCCTGGACTCCGGGGCTCCTGGGCTCGCGATACGACAGGGTCTCGCGGGGCTGATCCTCTGTTTTATTGGCTGAGGCTGGGGGCGTGGCACGTAGTGCCTACCAATCAGGAGCGGAGTGTGTATGTCCGTGCGAGGGCCGGCCTGAGAATCGGGGGTGTAGCAGGCTGGTGGAGGCTGCCAGAACCGGAGCTGAGCCGTCGCCCTTAGCGGGGAAGCGAGCGGAAGGCACACCGGCTCCGGGGCGGCATCTCTGTGCTCCTCCGTCGCTCGGGGTCCGCTGCCATGTGGGCCGCCGCGAGGTTAGCGCTCTGGCGCTGCGCCCGCGCTGCTGCCCCCGGACCGCGCGCCTATCACGGGGACGCGGTGGCCACGCTGGGCACCCAGCCCGACTCGGGCTCTGCCGTCTACCAGGTAGGCTGGGTGAGCGGCCTGAGTGCCCCTGCCACACCTCCGTGGGTGCCCGGCCCGCGGGACGCCCTGCTGGCCGGACTCGGAGGCAGGTGGACGCCTTGAACAGCTGCTGTTCTTTTCTCTCCGTAATGATTCTGGGATGCACTAAAGGGGTCGTGAAGATTGGAAAAAAAAAAAATCCCAAATCAAATACACTTTAGTTTACTTTTGGCATTGGCACTGCTTTTTGTATCTTCGAAATCGGTGGTTCTCAAAACCTGGCCCAGCATTGTCAGCTGGGGAGCTTGTTGAATGCACAGCTGCCCGAAGCCCCTCCCTGGACCTTTTGGATCTCTGGTGTTGACATGGTTAATGAACCCTGGGGGCTTGGTGGCAGCCAGTTTGGGGGATCACTGGCCGAGGACAGCTAACCTTGGAAGTTGTGCTTATCAGACTTTAAATAGTTGGTAGTGTTAATAGAAAATATTCCACAGTATCTTTGAATGGCTTTTCTTGGAACTGGGAGCTATTCAAGGTCAAAGAAACAACTTGCAGCTTTCGAAAGCTCAGAGCTGGAAAATTTTAGTCCCATGTTATTTCTCTTTTTAAATTGATTTGAGAGAGAGAAATGGAGAGAGAGAAAAGGAAACAACGATTTGTTCCATGTATTTATGCTTCTTGTATGTGCCCTGACTGGAGTTGGAACCTCCAACCTTGGCTGGCGTACTGGGGCAAAGCTTTAACCACTGAGCCGCCCGGGCAGGGCTCCCATACCAACTCTTGATGTTTTTTCTCCTCTCCTCAAGGTCATCTCATGATGTGCATTTAACCAGCGTTTGCTTCACTAATGCTGCGTAGGGGCAATCCCAAGATCTTAGTGTCCGAAATAAGTATTTATTTCCTTTTTATTTAATTTATTGGGGGGACACTGGTTAACAAAATTATACAGGTTTTAGGGGCACAGCTCTACAACACATCTGTACACTGTATTGTGTGTTTACTACCCCAAGGCAAGTCTCTGTCCCTGCCCATCACCATTTATCTCCCTATTCCAGCCGTGGGCAAACTACGGCCCGCGGGCCGGATCCAGCCCGTTTGAAATGAATAAAACTAAAAAAAAAAGACCGTACCCTTTTATGTAATGATGTTTACTTTGAATTTATATTAGTTCACACAAACACTCCATCCATGCTTTTGTTCCGGCCCTCCGGTCCAGTTTAAGAACCCATTGTGGCCCTCGAGTCCAAAAGTTTGCCCACCCCTGCCCTATTCCCTCCTCCATCCCCAATCCCCCACATTCAACATACTGTTGGTATCCATGAGTTTTCTTTTTCTTCTTCTTTTTTGCTCAATCCCTCCACCCACAAGAACTTATTTTTGCTCTTGGATCTGTGGATTGGTTTTGCACCTCTGGCCTGAGCAGTACATCAGGTTAAGGTCTGTTTCTTTTTAAAATTTTTATTATTATTTATTGATGAAAGAGAGATTCATTTGTTGTTCCAATTATTTACGCATTCATTGGTTGTTTCTCGTATGTGCCCTGACTGGGGATGGAACCCGAAACCTTGGTGTATCAAGAGGGCTTGTTCTACTTGTTTCTTATGCCAGGACCCAGCCTGAAGGGGCAGTGGCTACTTGGGGAATGCTCCTCTCATAATGGAAGGTGGGGGCACAAGAGGAGAGTATGGAAACACTTTGTCACTCTTAAAGCCTCTGCTTGCATTTGGTACACTGTCACATTTGCCCACATTCCTCTGGACAAAACAAGTAATATGGACAGACTCATGGACTGTGGGATGGGGAAGTATAATCTCACACTGAACCTTGGCAAAGGTGGGAGGGGAGGAATAATTTTGAACAACTAATACAGTTTACCTCATGGTCTAAGACCGTGGTTGGCAAACCACGGCTCTCGAGCCACATGCGGCTCTTTGGCCCCTTGAGTGTGGCTCTTCCACAAAATACCACGTGGGGACGCGCACGTACAGTACGATTGAAACTTCGTGGCCCATGCGCAGAAGTCGGTATTTTGTGGAAGAGCCACACTCAAGGGGCCAAAGAGCCGCATGTGGCTTGTGAGCCGCGGTTTGCCGAGCTGCAGTTTGCCGACCACTGGAGATGGTTGCTTAGGCTCCAACTATTATGTCTGAGTTCCAAAAGGACTCATCTACTTGACTTCTTTTTAAGGAGCCTTTCTAGAAGTCATACTTTCTTCCTGTATTTCATTGGTTAGAATTTAGTCACACAGCCACATGTCTACGCACAGGAAGGCCAGGATATGTTACTTTTCCAACTAGGCTTGTTGCCACCTTGAGTAAATAAAATTGGGATTCCATCATCAAGGAAAGTGGGAAGAATGAACATGGATAAACAGTTAGTACTGTCTGCCACAGATAACAAATGGCTTGGAGAGAGTGGGTGTGTTCTTCTTAAGTTATGTTGGATGTTAAAATATTCCACTTAGGTGCAGCCATATCTCCTGGGACCTCCAAGTAGTAAACTTTTAGTACAAAAAACTCATAAAAAGGGAACAAAGGTAAAGCCATGCCTTGGATGGGAGATGGCACAGAGGGGACTTGGCCACAATCCAGTTTCTCCCTGCCTAATTTTCCTGGTCGCTCATGTTAGACCAGTAATATGTACTGCCCCCTCTCACTTCTACCCACTGTGTGCTTCACAAAGGCTTGATAGTGACAGTTCTGTTCATTTACTTATTAAATATATTTTTATTGATTTCAGAGAGGAAGGAAGAGGGAGAGATAGAAGCATCAATGATGGGAGAGAATCATTGATCAACTGCCTCCTGCACGGGGCGCCCCGCACTGGGGATCGAGCCTGAAACCTGGGCATGTGCCCTGACCAGGAATCCTGGTTCACAGTTTGACACTAGACTGAGCCATGCCGGCTAGGCAGTTTTCTTTATTATTTTTTTTTTAATAGGAGGCTAGCTTAGCTAGGGTAAAGATTACTTGCATAACCGGCTTTAGCTGCTGTCCCAAATTGGGCAATGTTATTGGCTGCAGTGATTGTACCCCTGGATTTGGGTACGATTTAAATAGAAGATTACTTGTCTTTGTATGTATGCAAACTGTTTTTCATCAGCTTTGAACCTGTAGTTTGTAAAGTTGGCAGGAGACTGGCAGGTAGGATGCCTGAGGGGGTTGGAGGTGGGCGAAAATAATAAAAAACAAAAGGCACACAAGAATCCCATAAGCCTCTAGAATTCAACGCAACCCCTTTGGGGGTTGAAAGACCCTTTCACAGGGTTCGCCTAAGACTGTCGGAAAACACATATATAATCACATATTGTTTTTGTGATTAATCACTATGCTTTAATTATGTTCAATTTGTAACAATGCAATTGGGGGTCACCACAACATGAGGAACTGTATTAAAGGGTCGCAGCATTAGGAAGGTTGAGAACCACTGCTCTAGATTTACCAGTACGAGGGAAGAACTTGCTAAGATACTGTGGGGATGCATTTAGCACTATGGGAGAAATATGGGGCAAACAAAACATTTCAAGACAAAAAAGATGGTAGAACTTATATTTTAGAAAAGACTTAAGAAACATATCAGCCAATTGTGTGTATTTGGACCTCCCATAAGATCCTATTCAAATAAACAAACTGCAGAAAACAACTATATCTGACAGTTGGGAAGATATCTTTATGAATTGGATATTTGAGGCTATTAATAGATTATTTTTATTTTATTTTAATTTTTTAAAATATATTTTTTACTGATTTCAGTGAAGAAGGGTGAGGGAGAGCGAGATGGAAACATCAATGATGAGGGAGAATCATTGATTGGCTGCCTCCTGCACACCCCTCTTCTCCCAACCCCACTAGGGATCAAGCCTGCAACCTGAGCATGTGCCCTTGACCAGAGTCGAACCTGGGACCCTTCAGTCTACAGGCTGACACCTATCCACTAAGCCAAACAGGCTAGGGCAATATTAATAGATGATTGATAGGGATAGTGTTCCTCATCTTTTAGAGATTTGGAAATACTTATAGATCAGATGTTATGTCTAAGATTTTCTTCAGAATAATTTGAGGGCCATAAAGGAAACAACTTCGACCATATATGGATAATTGTTGGAGTGCATTGGGTACGTTTCATTATACTAGTCTTTTGCTTTTGTATGTTTGATAATTTCCATGAAAGGAAGTTAACAACAATGACAACAAACCACACTGAAGTGTTGCTGAACATGATAGTGAAACCCCTCCTCTCTTTAATTTGCTGTAATGTAACCTGTCTATTCCTTTTTTTCCCCAGTACTGTTGAGTATGTCATAATGACTGGATGGACTTGCTTGGGAATTCACTCCAAATGATATCACTGAAAACAACACATTTAAAAAATTTTTTTTTTCTAAGATAAAAACATTAATGATGATAGAGAGCCATTGATTGGCTGCCTCCTGTACGCCCCTTACTGGGGATCGAACCCACAACCCGGGCATGTGCCCTGACCAGAATTGAACTGTGACCTCCTGGTTCATGGGTTGATAGTCAACCACTGAGGCACACTGGCAGGGCCATTTTAGTCACTTTTAAACAGACTAAGGAGAATTGTTCCATGACCTCAGGAACTCTGTAGAAAATAGGAAATAATGGAACTATATCATAAAGACTGTAAATTCATCTAATTTTGAATAGCTGGAAAGCTGTTTAGCATTGTGTCTCATAAAGGGAATTAAATCACCAGATGTGTTAATCACCTTATGAAGAACAAAATGTGTTAGCAGATTAAACTCTGAATTTTCAAAAATAATTAGCTAAGTAAGAATTGTTTTAAAGTCATGTACTGGTCAAACAAAACTTACAAAACGGAAGGTTGAAAAGTTAGTTTCCTCTGCTCTTTTCCACGTCTCACTGTTTATATATTTTTTGTATATCACTCTAGAAAATTTCTAAACATATAATTTTATTCTTTTTAAACATAGAATAGGATCCACTTTTCTAAATCCTGAGCTTTTTTTTTAAAAGTGTAATTTGTCAGTAAACAAGTATTTTTGCATTGGTTAGAATCTCCTCAGAATAGTTATAGATGGGGCAGAAAAAAATAAAGATATCATTCTAATCCTTAAAAATGAAGGAATTTATTGATTTCAGAGAGGAAGGGGGAGGGAGAGAGAGAGATAGGAACATCAATGATGAGAGAGAATCATTGATCGGCTGCCTCCTACACACCCCATACTGCGGATCGAGCCTACAAACCAGGCATGTGCCCTTGACCAGAATTAAACCTGGGACCCTTCAGTCCGCAGCTGATGCTCTATCCACGGAGCCAACCAACTAGGGCTGACTTATATTTTTTAAAATAGATAGAGAGAGAGAGAGAGAGAGAGAGAGAGAGAGAGAGAGAGAGAAACATTGATGTTTGAGAGAACCACTGATTGGTTGCCTCCCACACACACCTGACTGGTGCACTAGGCTTTATAAGGGGGTGCGATTCCTGAATCTAACTGGGGACCCTCAGGTACATGGGACGCTCAGCCATCTGAGCCACACCAGCCAGGGCGTAAACACTTATTTATTCTTCAGCTTATGCTGTTGTTAACCTAAATATAAAAGGCCAAAGTAAGAGGCAATAAGTATTTTTTTGAGATCCAAAAGAATAGCTATTCTGGAAGCACTGATTCAGGCCCAAATCCAAATAGTGTTCCAATTAGGAGGTGAAGACAAGGGTATTTAGCTTTCTTAAATAGCTGAACATTTCATTAGACAAAGAGTATATTAAGTCCTGGCTGGGTCTGGGTGGCTTGGTTGGTTGGAGCATTGTCCCATACACCAAAAAGGTTTCGGGTTCGATTCCCAGTCAGAGCATATTCTTAGGCTTTGGGTTCAGTCCTGGTCAGGGTGTGTACCAGAGGCAACTGATCAGTATTTCTCTCTCACATCTTTGTTTTCTCTCTCTTTCCCCCTCTCCCTTTCCTCTCTCTCCAAAATCAATAAAACAAATAAACTTACCCTCTGGTGAGGATTAAAAAAAAAAAGAGTACGTTAAGATGAAATTCTTGGGCAACAGTGCAAATAAACATATTAAAGTACAGTTTGATCCTTCTGATCTATTGCCTTGGTTTGCTGAAAGTGTGTTATTGACATTCCCATGACCTGGAGCCCAGCAGCCCTCAGGCTGGGTGAGGTTTGGAGCGCCTCTCGCCTCAGCAGACTCTTCAATAATTGCAATTGTCTTTGTCTGGAACAACATTAGGAAACACCAAAGACATCTCTGAGTTAAGATACTAACAAAAGGGGACTTCATAATTGCAAAAGGAAGGCGTGCAACTCTCTCCTATTTGGAGCAGCCTCAAAAGTCTATGCATCATTAGATAAGTGTTGCTCTGCTAGCATGGAAGTCATTTCTAAAATAGTGCTGTTTACCTGGTACAAATGAAGGTAGGGATTTTTCAAATTTCATGTGGCACAGTGCTAGGTATTTGTAGTAGGTATTTAATGAATGTGATTGAGATGAGGCCATGTTTCCAATGCCCAAGTTTCAGAGAAAGTACTGTTTTATTTAAGTATTTGCTAGTGAATTCTGTAAATGTATAATATGGATAGATTGATTTTGGTTTATTTTTCATTTTTATTTTTTAAATTAAAAATTTCAATTACAGTTGGCATTCAATATTAGTTTTAGCATAGTGGTTAGACATTTATATAACTTACAAAGTGGTCTGCATAATAAATCTGGTACCCATCTGACACCATATCCTATATAATAAAAGGCTAATATGCAAATCAACCAAATGGCGGAACGACTGGTTGCTTTGACACACACTGACCACCAGGGGGCAAATGCTCAACACAGGAGCTGCCGAGCTGCAGTGACTTGGCAATTGTGGTTCTCGGGTGACTCACCCGGAAACAGAGAGGGGGGAGCCTGATTCCAGGGTGTGTCACCCTAGAACTGCCCTCTTGCAATGCGGGACCCCTCAGGGGATGTTGGAGAGTCAGTTTTGGCCCGATCCCTGCAGACCAGGCAGAGGGACCCCACCAGTACACGAATCTGTGCACTGGGCCTCTCGTATAGCTATAATCAAACTAGAGGCCCAGTGCATGAAATTCATGCATGGGTGGGGTCCCTAAGCCTGGCCACTGATGAGGGCCTATTGGGGCCGTCTCGCCCAGTCCATATTGGGGCTGGGCCAGCCTGGGGGGGAGGGACAAGGGGAGGTTGGCTGTGGGAGCACACTGACCACCAGGGGGCAGCTCCTGCATTGAGCGTCTGCTCTCTGGTGGTCAGTATGCGTCATGTTGACTGGTCGTTCGGTCCTAACGGTCGCTTAGGCTTTTATATATATAGATAATATTGTAATAGGGATAGACATTAAAAACAAACAAACAAATGCCTGTTTATTTACTTTAGAAAACTGTCAGTTTGCAAGTTGAATGAATGATTGAAAAATACGCCTTTTCTCACAGGATAAGTTGAACTTTTAAAAGCTCTATATTGTGGACTAAGTGTTAAATATTTTTCTGGCATTAAGTTGTATGGAGACCTTATTATTGCATGTCAGTCTAATCTAATCCTGTTTTTATTATAGGAGGTAGTGAGAAAGCCAAAGAACGCCACACATCGAGAGGAAAACTGTTAGCCAGAGAAAGAGTCGATGGCCTTCTGGACCCAGGGTTGGTATATACCCAAGTGCCAACTCAGTGCTTTCTATTCCATGGGACTTTCTTAGACACCCTTGTAAATAGATGATTTTAAATTCTGGCTCTTATTGTAAGATTCAACAACAAATGTTTATCGAGAGGCTACTATTCTAGGTGCTACTGATATGTCAGTGAACTAAATAGACAAAGATCCTTGCCCACCTGGAGTTTACATTGCAGCAGGAGGAGTGAAGATAAATGATAAATGTCATAGTTTTATATTTTGTTAGAAGGTGGTAACTGCCACGGTAGGAAGGAAAGCTAGACTAGAGAAAGGGAGAAGATGAAGGTCGAGTTGCAGTTTTACTGTAAATGAGGTGGTTAGGATAGGTCTCATTGAGAAGGTGGCATTTGAACAAAGATTTGAAAGAGTGAAGAGAGAGAACCCTAAACATATCTGGGGAAAGAGGGTTGCAGACAGAGGAGCAATGGCCAGTGCAGAGGCCCTGAGGTGGGAATGTGCTGGATGTTCTGATCTGCTCCAGGAGCCAGGAGACCAGTGATTGGGGTGGAGGGAGAGTAGTAGAAATGGAGTCCAATTCCGTAAGACCTTGTGGCTAGGATAAGAATTTCAGCTCTTGAGAGAAATGGGAAGTTTTTGTGGGGTTTTGAATGGGGAACTATTATGATCTATTTAACTTATGTTTGAAAAGAGTTATTCTGGCTGCTGTGTTGTGAGTGCCTGTGGGCTGCAAGGGTGGGAGCACCGAGACCAGTTCGAGAGCGATTGCAGTGATTCAAGAGAGACAGGATGGTGACTTGGACTAGGGTACTGGTAGTGGGGATGATGAGAATGTTAGTTTCTGGGTTTGTTGTCAAGACAAAGCTAACCCAACAGCGTTTCCTGAAGGATTGGATTAGGTGGATGTGGAGTTGGAGAGAAGGAAATAAAGACTCCCAAAGTATATTTTGTGACATGCACGCGCGCATGTGCGCACACACACACTCTCTCTCTCTTTCCCTCTCTCTCTTTCTCTCTCTGGAGACAACACTGCTAATACCTAGCATATATCCATCTAGACCAGTGGTTCTCAACCTTCCTAATGCTGCGACCCTTTAATACAGTTCCTCATGTTGTGTGACCCCCAATTTCATTGTACAAATTGAACATAATTAAAGCATAGTGATTAATCACAAAAACAATATTTGATTATATATGTGTTTTCCGATGGTCTTAGGCGACCCCTGTGAAAGGGTCGTTCGACCCCCAAAGGGGTTGCGACCCACAGGTTGAGAACCGCTGATCTAGACCGTTTTCAAAAATATGTGTATTAGACATAATTTTTTAAAGAAAAAATGGAATCCTACAAAATGTGGGTTTTCTAACTCCCTTTCTCTACCCCTCACTTACTATATCTTAAACATTTAAGTAAGAGCTAGAATAAAACAGTGATTAAAAACAAATAAACAAAAACTGCGGTCCCAGATTGGTTATTAAAACCCAGCTCTGCCACTTACTAGTGACTTAGACAAGTGACTTAATCTCTGTTTCAGTTTCCTCATCAGTTAATGGGATTATAAGGATCTACCTGAGAAGGTAGTTCTTAGGAGTAAATGAGTGAGGTTTCTGAAAGTCCTAGAAGACAGCCTGGCACGTAGTCAGTACTACATATGTTTTAGGTGCTATGCTCTTTCTATAATAATAAACACATTTGTAAACATCTTTTAAAATAAGTGCCTAGTGTTCTATTGTATGGCTATACCATATAAACCCCCAAAATTTTCACACTAGATTTTGTTTTAAATATTCTTTTTGTAGATTTTATATACAATTTGCATATTTGAAACATTGGATCATTAAAGAAAAAATCTTTTTCCCCCCCATGTGTAACTCTTTAAATATGCTTTTTTAAAAAATGACATTAATTCAAGGAACCTCCTTTCTTCCTCTCAGGTCTCCATTTCTGGAATTATCCCAGTTTGCAGGTTACCAGTTATATGATAATGAGGAGGTCCCTGCAGGTGGCATCATTACAGGCATTGGGAGAGTATCAGGGTGAGTATTCTACTTACACTCAACATCAAGGGTCAGGAACATCAACCAGGCACGGGCATCCAGCACTCACAGCTTTGCATATTAGCATGCAAGTTTTATGCTATTGATATTATTTAGGACTGAGGCTTCCTATGCAGATTCATTTATAGAGCTTTAGAGACAAAAATTAAAGGGGGTAAATCTTAGCTTATAGAATAGAAACCAGGAATGTCTTCAGCCAGCTCTGCAACAATGGTGAATGGCTATAGCTGCACCTTCCCTGAAGGCACAGGGCTCTAATGAGAAGGTGGAGGAACACATACCAATAACCGGCATCTGAATCAAATGTACTTGTATTGGGCTCAGAATCCAGTTGCCTGAGGTCAAAGCAGAGCTTTGCCAGTGGCTTGATCTTGGGCAAGTTATTTACTCTGTAATCCCCATTCAGTGGTTTCCCAGGCTCCACAGGTGATCTCTTCACATCCACTGTTTAGAGGAGTAGCTCTCCAAGTGTGGTCTCAGCATCACCTAAGAACTTTGTAGGAAATGTAGATTATCAGGTTTCTCAAGAGGTACTAAATCTAATCTGGGGGTGGGGCCCTGCAGTCAGTGTTCTCAAATGTTAGCATTTGAGAACCACTGTGGACTTAGGTGATCTAGTTGCTAGATGTTACATATATTTGTATATGTTTATGTATAATCTCACATTTTCTGCAAAGTTACCATGCCAAGCACTAAACACTTCCCACTGATGAGTTGTTTCAATCTTTACCATAGCTCTGTGAGAATGGGTATTATTATTGTCATAACTTTTCTGCAAATAAGGAAACTGGTGTTTAGAGAGTAAATAACTTGCCCAAGCCACTGGCAAAGCTCACCTTTGACCTCAGGCAATTGGATTCTAAGTAGTTTCCTTAGCCTGCCATCTGTGTTCACCAGCCAGGTCCTTGTGTTATTAATGGGCTGAGGTACCCAACAAACTGGTTTTGGTGAGAAAGGGTATTGTAGGTGACTCTTTGTAGTATACACTAGAGGCCCGATGCACAAAATTTGTGCAAGAGTAGGCCTTCCTTCCTCTCGCTGCTAGCACCAGCTTCCCTCTGGCACCCGGGACCCGGGCTTCCCTTGCAGCCCCGGTTTCGTCTGGAAGGTCGTCCGGAAGGACGTCTGGTCTAATTAGCATATTACACTTTTATTATTATAAAACATGCTGTTTTAAAGATTGCATCTGTTGTTTCTTTAAGTAAGATGAATGTTATATTTTAAACTTTTGAGTTTTATAGAAAAGCATATGGCAGTAATGTTGAAAACATGACCTTTGAAAACATGAAAAATAAATAAATATTGATGGGTCAGTTTTATTTCTGCAAATTACTTTCCTAAAAGGAAATTTGAAGGACCGGAATCGAACCCGGGACCCCTCAGTCCACAGGCCGACGCTCTATCCACTGAGCCAAACCGGCTTCGGCAAAAAACATGCTGTTTTAAAGATTGCATCTGTTGTTTCTTTAAGTAAGATGAATGTTATATTTTAAACTTTTGAGTTTTATAGAAAAGCATATGGCAGTAATGTTGAAAACATGACCTTTGAAAACATGAAAAATAAATAAATATTGATGGGTCAGTTTTATTTCTGCAAATTACTTTCCTAAAAGGAAATTTGAAGGTTAATTATGAGGGATTTTCTCACTCTTGAGACTTGGATTTTTTGGTGGGTGGGTGGGGCTAATATGCAAATTGTCCCCTCGACTGGGAGTTCCATTGGGAATTCAACCAAGAGTTCGACCAGGGAGCGGGGCCGGCCCACCAACCGCCCGCAGCCCCTCCCCCTGGTTGGCTCTGCCCAATTGGCCCCGATTGGGGCGGGCCAGAACCCACCCATGCATGAATTCATGCACTGGGCCTCCAGTTATTATTATAATTATCTTTTTAGGACCCTTTCATTCAAATAACCATTATGAAATGTTGCTTAGGTTGTTAGTTTTTCACTACTAATATAAGACTGATGACTCTTGTTTTTTTTTTTTTTAATATATTTATTGATTTTTTACAGAGAGGAAGGGAGAGGGATAGAGAGTTAGAAACACTGATGAGAGAGAAACATCGATCAGCTGCCTCCTGCACACTCCCTACTGGGGATATACCCACAACCAAGGTACATGCCCTTGACCGGAATCGAACCTGGGACCCTTGAGTCCGCAGGGCGACACTCTATCCACTGACCCAAACCGGTTAGGGCTGATGACTCTTGTTAAAAGTGATCATTTTCCATGATATAAATGAATATGTGAACTGTGATTAAAGCTTGCTTTTATATCTTTAAATTGTCTACTAATGACTGTCATTGGTCGTAGGTAGTAGAAGTTGAAGATGGCATAGGAGTATCTTGGAATGTTTTGTAATTGTCCTTTAATTGTGAATAAATAAATCTCTCATATTCTCTTTCCAATGAAATTTCTGCCTTTCAGAGTAGAATGCATGATTGTTGCCAATGATGCTACTGTTAAAGGTGGTACCTACTACCCAGTGACTGTAAAAAAACATTTACGGGCACAAGAAATTGCACTGCAAAATAGGCTCCCCTGCATCTACTTGGGCAAGTAACTATTTTTAGCTGGTAAAATATTTTACTGTTTATTTGACATTATCAATGAGTGTTTTAAAAAACTATTGGTTTCTCCCACAATTACAAAAGAAATGCATGTTTTGGCTGGGAACTCTGGGAGAAAATGTAAATAAGAACTACCCATAATAACATCACTGAGGAATAACCTCTGATAGTATTTTGGCTTATGCCAATTTTTTCTCTTAATGTGTGTGCTTCTTTTCCTTCTATACTAGTATATTTTGTTTTTCTGCTAACCCTAATGGGTTCAAACTATGAAAAAATAATAGCTAATATATTTTGATCTCTTGAGTGTGAATTACTATGTTAAATGCTTGAGTATGTATATAGTTTTTTTAAAAAAATTATTGATTCTAATCCTGGCCAGTGTGGCTTAGTTGGCTGGGTGTCGTCCTGTGCACCATAAGGTTGCTGGTTCGACTCATGGTCAGGGCACATGCCTGGATTGCAGGCTTGATCCCCGGTTTGGGGTGTACAGGAGGCAGCCAATCGTTGTTTCTCTCTCACATCTATGTTTCTCTCTCTCTCCCCCCCTCTTCTTCTCTCTTTAAAAAAATCAATAAACTATTTAAAGATTTTATTGATTTGAGAGAGAGAGAAACATTGTTTTTTTGGTGCTACTTATTTATGCATTCATTGGTTGATTCTTGTATGTTCCCTGATTGGGGATTGAACCCACAAGGCATATCAGGACAATGCTTCAACCAATTGAGCTACCCAGCCAGGGCCTTGTATGTATATAACTTGAGCAGATAAAATTTAAAGAAATTTAGTTTTAATTTTTTTATAATTTATTTTTATTTTTCAATTACAGTCAACAAACAATATTATATATTAGTTTTAGGTCTACAACATAGTGATTCAACATTTATATGCCTTATGAAATGATCACCCGATTAAATCTAGTAAGGAAATTTAATTTTCAATGAAAGTACATTTATATTTAAAATTAAAATACATTTAAATCTATGGATATTTCAAAAAGAACATAAAAGCAAGGCAGTATAAAATTGGTACTTTCTGGATATTGGTTTAGTGTTGTAAAATGCCAAGATATATTGTTTATTTATGTGAGTATTTGAACAGATACTGATGTGGATATTTTTTTTCTGGGAAGGAGAATTTGCCTGATGTATATACTTTGTATATATATAACACAGCAAATGAGGTCCTATTGCTTGCAGGTGCTCTGCCAAACACTCTAGGGCAGTGATGGCGAACCTTTTGAGCTCGGCGTGTCAGCATTTTGAAAAACCCTAACTTAACTCTGGTGCCGTGTCACATATAGAAATTTTTTAATATTTGCAACCATAGTAAAACAAAGATTTATATTTTTGATATTTATTTTATATATTTAAATGCCATTTAACAAAGAAAAATCAACCAAAAAAATGAGTTCGCTTGTCACCTCTGACACACATGTCATAGGTTCGCCATCACTGCTCTAGGGGGTCCAGTGAAGAGTATTATGTTGTCCTTGTCTTCAGCCCACTTGTAATGATTGGAAATAAGATATAATGTATCAAATAATAATAAAATACTTTTTTATAGTTGTAGGCAAGATTAATAGGTATGGGGCTAACTAACTTTTTGTGGTTCTACTATGTGCACTCACAGTATGTGTTGAACTAAGTATTTCACACATTATTTCATGCCATCCCAATAAGAACTCCGAGGGATAGTTACTGTTATCTTCATTTTACAGGTGAGGGAACCGAGGCATAGAATGAGTAGGAAGTACACCTGTGATCACAAAGCTATGAAGTTACCAAGCTGTTTTGAACTCAGCTGATATTCTTATCCACCACTCTAATCTGCAGTGAAAACAGTACTAGAAGGTGCAATATATGATAAATTGTCACAACTTCTTTAGGTGGTTTTTGTATTAGTTAAAAAGAGGGAAAGACAGTTTCTTAGCTGAACTGGTTAAGCATTTACAGTGTTTGTGGGGCTTTAGCTGGTCCTCAAAGGAGAGAGCACACTACACATTTCAAGTGGAATTTGGCACAGGGTAGGAGAGCCTAATGGATTTGAGGAAAACAGTGAATCCTTTTGGCTGCATTGGGGGGTTGGAGAAAGATGCTGTAGAATATTTTAAAAAGACATTTGTGAATGTGATTAAGAAATGATACTGTCATTGATATTAATGTTCCTGTGTGGAGCACATTTTGCTCATAGAGATGTACTTATTTCTTTCATTTCCCTTTTCTTCAGTTGATTCAGGAGGTGCAAACTTACCTCGACAAGCAGAAATATTTCCAGATCGAAATCACTTTGGCCGCATATTCTATAACCAGGCAATTATGTCTTCTAAAAATATCACACAGGTAATTTCTCATTAATGAGACGTGTTGCTTTTTGCTCTAAATGACTGCTAACTAGGCACTCTGAGATGACTTAAAACTAGTGAATTCAGAATTTAGTCTTTTTCTACAGAAAGTATCTTAAGGTTACCTTCAGTCAGATTCTCCTGTTAATTATGGGAATATACTATTATTGTAATAAAGTTTTTAAAAAGAATGGGCACTGAGTAATTTTTTTTAGAGCTATACTCTGGAGAAACTAGTATATGTATGAGGAGACATGTGTAAGAAAGTTTATTGTAGCATTGTTTGTTATAGCAAAAGTTGAAGAGCAATGTAAATGATCATTAATAGAAGATTAATAACACAAATTTTAGCTGTTAAAGTGAATGAACTAGAATTTCATGCATCAACATAAGTCTCAAAAACATTTTTAATAAAAAATAGTGGACTACATATACAGCCAATTGCTATATGTGTAAAGCTTAAATACATCAAATAATACTATTATTTATGTCTAAACACATACATGTGAATACTTGGCTTTGAATACACAGACTTGGCTTTGAAACAGTGGTACCTTTGAAGTGGGAGGGAAGAAAAAGGGGTCAGGTAGAGGCTTTAATTATGTATGAAATATTTTATTTCTTTAAAAAAGAACCTTAATTAAATTTGGCCAAATGTCAAGAATTATTAAGACTTGGTATTAGGTGAAAGGATATTTATTTTATTATTCTGTAATCTTTTTGCATGTTTGAAATACTTCATTATACTGATGATACTCCTTTGTTTAGGTTTTATTGGATTTCTTAAGTTTGTAGTATTTTTATTAATATTCTAATTAGTCTTCACTTGCAATTATATCTCTTCTTTTTTATTTTCTATCAATAGATTATGTTATTTATTATACTAGAGGCCCAGTACATGAGTTCATGCACAGGTGGGGTCCGGCTGGCCCACCCTGATGGGGGCCGATTTGGGCTGCGGTGGGGGGGGGGTGGGATAGGGTGTGGGAGGTTGACAGGCCAAGTCCGCCCCCGATTGGGGTGGGGGTGGGCCGATCGGGGATGGGTGGCTGGGGGGCAATCAGGGGCAGGGCTGGCCAGGGGAAAGGGGCCACAGGCACTTGAGGGGAGCCAATCGGGGTCCCGATCGGGCTGGGTGACCACTGCAGTGCACATCAGAGCAACCAGTCCTTCCGATCGTTCCGGTTGTTCTGCCATTTGGTCACTGGGTTTTTATACATAGAGATATTTTATTGTTATGTAGTAACCTTACCTATCTGTATGCTTTATTTATCAAAATAGAAAATTCAGTTTTGCTCAGTTTTGCATAGATGGCTTTTCCATTATCTGGTATGAAAATCTTAATGGGATCTTTTGTTTTATAGGGGGAATTAGCCCATTTAACCTGGTATTATAACTTCTATAGCTTTACTAACCTTGCATTAACTAATGCAGCCCTAGTTTCCTAGGGCTGCTGTAACAAAGTACCACAAAGTGTGTGGCTTAAAAATAACAGAAATTTATTCTCTCAAGTTCTGTAGGCTGGAAGTGTGAAATCAAGGAGGCCGCAGGGTCATCCTCCCTAAACGGCTCTACGGAAAAATCTGTTCCTTGCCTCTTCAAGTTTCTGGTGGCTTGAGGCATTTCCTTGCCTTGAGGTTGCATGATCCAATCTCTGCATAGATCTTTCTCCCCAACCCCCAGCCCCCAATACAAGAGAAAGTTTATAAAGTCACAGAGGTAGAAAAAGTGAGCCAGCTGGACTGCATGGGCTCAGGAAGCAAGTTACAGAGGCAAAGGAAGGGCCCTTGGAGCTTGAAAAAGAGAGAGAGAGAAGTTCTTCACATGGCTTTCTTTTCTGTGTGTTTTCTTCTCTTCTCTGTCTTATAAGGACTCCTGTGATTGGATTTCAGGTCCACTTGGGTAATCCAGAATGATTTTATCTCAAGATCCTAATTATATCTGCAAAGACTCTTTTTCCAAATAAAGTCACATTCCTAGGTTCTGGGATTTGGGTGTGGATATACCTTTTTGGGGGCCACTATTCAACCCACTGCAGACCTCTAGGCTTGACTGGGAAGGATTCAACCTCTAGCTCACACACATGGTTGATGGCAGGATTCAGTTCTTTGCAGACCTCATTGTTTCTTGGCAGCTGTTGGCCAGAGCCCTTTCTAGGTTTCTTCCCACATGGGCTTCTCCATAGAATATCTTCCCATGTGTCAGCTGGCTGCAGCAGAGGGAGCAAGCAAGTGGACAAGAGAGAGAATGCCAGCAAGATGGAAGACATAGCATCTCATAACTTGATCACAGAAGTGACACTTGACATTTGATAGGACAAGGACATCAGCAGATCCATTACACACTCAAGGGGACAAGGTTACAGAGTTTGGGGACCATTATTAGTTGGTGTCAGAGAAGTAGATTGTTGATTTCCTTGGTTTCAGAGGTACTGTGGAGAAAATGCATCTGAAGTGCTCTTAGGAATATGGTACAATTCCCTAATGTAGATGTGCTAATAATTTGTCAGCTACTCACTTGTGAGACTTTTCTACTAAATTGGTAGATCTCCCCTCTCTCAGCCCCAGATGGCATGATGGCAGTCAGTTTCATTTCCCTCATTGTTTTTATTGTTTCTATTATTATTATTTGGCAAACTAATTCCTCTGTCTTTGTCTCCTCTACCCACCTCTATACTTGCTGGCAGTACTGCTCTTTTCTCTCCTTTTGTTCTCTGGTTGTTTTAATGGAACCCTGTTGTGCCTCTTTAGATCTATGTGACTTACTTTTGAAAAGTGTCCTCTTTTTAGATTCTTACATCATTGTAACTGCTCTCTACTTCCTTGACTTTTTTTAGTAATGAAATAGTTTGAATGGAATCTGGTGTTCCAGTACAAAGAACAGGCTGACTAAGTGAAATCGTGTCCCTTGCTCCTGATAGAACCTTGAAGAAAACGCCCATAAAATATTTCAGACATGTACAAAGTACAAAGGATAATAGAACGGAATACTCACCTATCCTCAATTCAGATATATGAAGTGTTAACGTTTTCTTATTATTGCCTTAGATTTTTTAAAAAAATATATTTTATTGATTTTTTACAGAGAGAAAGGGAGAGGGATAGAGAGTTAGAAACATCAATGAGAGAGAAACATCGACCAGCTGCCTCCTGCACACCCCCCACTGGGGATGTGCCCGCAACCAAGGTACGTGCCCTTGACCGGAATCGAACCTGGGACCCTTCAGTCCGCAGGCCGACACTCTATCTACTGAGCCAAACCGGCTACGGCTGCCTTAGATTTTTAAAGAATTTATTTATTGCCCTAGCTGGTTTGGCTCAGTGGATAGAGCATCAGCCTGTGGACTGAAGGGTCCCGGGCTCGATTCCAGTCAAGGCACGTAGTCAAGGGCACATACCTCAGTTGCAGGCTCAACCCCCAGTGGGAGGCGTGCAGGAGGTAGCCGATCAATGATTCTCTTTCATCATTGATGTTTTTCTCTCTCCCTCTTCCTTCCTCTCTGAAATAAATCCTATATAATAAAAGCCTAATATGCAAATCAACTGAACAGTGAATGACTGGTCACTATGATGCGCACTGACCACCAGGGGGCAGACGCTCAATGGAGGAGCTGCCTCCAGCCCACAGGCTGTCCCTAGGCCAGCCAAGGCTGATGCCAGCAGGGTCTCCCTGATTGCCCTGCCAGTCACCACACAGATTGGCCCTGATCACCAGCCAGGCCTAGGGACCCTACCCATGCACAGATTTTGTCCACTGGGCCTGTAGTAAAATAAATAAATAAACAAACAAACAAATAAACAAAAAACACACATACTGAACACTCCCCCCGCCCCCCCCCCCAAAAAAGGAACTTACTTATTGATAATTCATTTACCCATTCAAAATACTGCATTGAAGCATGGATGGACCTGGAGAACATTATGCTAAGTGAAATAAGCCAGTCAGAGAAAAATAAGTACCATATAACTTCACTCATGTGGAATTTAATGAACAAATTGAACTACCAAGCAAATAAAGATAGACTCAGAGAGAGCAGGCAGGCAGCTCTGGTGGGGAGGAGGGTGTGTGTGTGTGTGGGAGGTGGAGGGATTGAGCAAAAAAACCCCAAAACTTGTGGACATGCACAACAGTGTGGTGATGGCGGGGGAAATAGGGGTGGGTGGAGATGGAAGAGGGCATAGAGGTGATAATAGTGATGGGAAAAATAAGTAAATAAAAATCAAGTTTAAAAATAAAAACATATTGTATTGATGGACATGTTGGTTATTTGCATGTTTTCACTATTATGAACACTGCTACAATGAATGTTTTTTTTGTAGACTCACAGGCATGAGTTTTTCTAGCCATAGATATTTTGGAAACAAACTGCTGGGTGATTGATAAGTAAAAACAATAAGTAATAAATAAACATTGTTGTAATATGGTGACAGAAATATTACAGGCATTTTAAATAACATACATGAAATAGGGAATTATGTCTTTTTGTGCCAGCCATTTAGATGAAAAATGTTGACTTGTGCTGCCTTCTATTTTTGGATTAATACTAGTGGGGTTTTTTCTTCTTCAGAACAGATATTGTATGACCATAAGGAAAACTGGTGGAATATTGGAATTGGTAGCAACATAGGATAATTAAAGAAAATATCTATTACGTACTTTTCGTATTTTTCTTTGTGATATTACTTATTTGTATCTAGGGGTAATTGCCAAACCATATTTATTGTTCATTGTGTCATACTAATATCTAAGAAAGAATATTTGTATTATGGAAAAATTTAAATACATACAAAAGAATAGTGCTGTGAACCAGACTGTATGCATCATCCAGCTTCTACACAATTGACTTTCTTTTGAACAAGATTTTCAACTGTGATGCTAACGTTAGTTTTATATTTAGAATGTATCGTATGTGGGGTAACACACAGTATTAACAACACTCATTATTTCAGTTTTCCTGTGAGGTAAGTGGCAATTATGTAGAGAATTTATTAGTTTTAAAAATTACTCTATCATAAAGTTTTGCCAATTTTTGGGTGGATCGTGAGTTCTCCATTGGTAGTTTAGGCTAATAGTCTATCTGGCCATTCTTTGATAGGGAGATTATCCATAAACTTTGTAAAAGTGTGACATAAGCCCTTCAAAATGCTTTGATACAAAGAAACTATTACAAATGTTTATAAGACTCTACTTTTATTTTTTTAAATATATTTTTATTGATTTCAGAGAGGAAGGGAGAGGGAGAGAGAGAGAGAGAAACATCAGTGATGAGAGAGAATCATTGATTGGCTGCCTCGTGCACGCCCCCTACTGGGGATCGAGCCCCCAATTTGGGCATGTGCCCTGACCGGGAATAGAATCTTGATCTCCTTGTTGTTAGGTTGACACTCAACCACTGAGCAACCCTGGCTGGATGTAGAGGACTCCACTTTTAAAATGAAGTACAGGGACCAGCTAGTACTGCAACATTTATGGGACTATAGATCCAGAGACAGTATAATTCACTGTTTGGGCTGTACTTGATGAGTTTCATATATGCTTGCGTTCCAGATAGCGGTGGTCATGGGCTCCTGTACAGCAGGAGGTGCTTACGTGCCTGCAATGGCTGATGAAAACATCATTGTACGCAAGCAGGGTACCATTTTCTTGGCTGGACCACCCTTGGTAAGAACATAGTTTTGATTGGTTGAAGTAAAATATACATAGTATAACATTTTCCATTTCTACCATTTTCAGTATACAGTTCTATGGCATTAAGTATACAGTGGGGCCTTGACTTACGAGTGTCCCGACTAACGAGTTTTTCGATATACGAGCCGTCTCTTGGCCGATTTTTTGCTTTGAGTTGCGAGCTAAAATTCGGGTTACAAGCCAGCTTCAGATACCCCACCACTAGATGGTGCAGCGAACATCACAGTGAACGCCACAACATCAGCCCAGCATCACGTGTCTCACTCGTTCACTTTTTGATTTGACATACGAGTAATTTGAGTTACGAGCTCCGTCACGGAACGAATTAAACTCGTAAGTCAAGGCCCCACTGTATTCATTTTGTTGTGCAGCCATCACCACCATCCATCTCCAGAACTTCTCATCTTTTCCCTTCCAGCTATCACTTCTTCCATCCCAACCCTCAGTGCATACATGACCCCCAAGGGTGGGCAACCTCCATGCCAGATGGGGAGTAGGCAAGAGACTAGCCCTTAGCTCAGACCCCCACCCAGTCACCTGCTGGTAACATAATTCAGCACTGCCAGCCAGGATAGTGATGGTGCTGCCGTGCTCCACCCTGAGACACTAGGGCAGCGGTTCTCAAGCTGTGGGTTGCGACCCCTTTGGGGGTTGAACGACCCTTTCACAGGGGTCGCCTAAATACATCCTGCATATCAGATATTTACATTACGATTCATAACAGTAGCAAAATTACAGTTACGAAGTAGCAAAGAAAATAATTTTATGGTTGGGGGTCACCACAACATGAGGAACTGTATTAAAGGGTCGCGGCATTAGGAAGGTTGAGAACCACTGCACTAGGGGGTGCATGCCAGGCCAGGCCCTCACTCAGACAGATGTAGCAATCATTAGGAAGGGGGCAGGGCCCAGGCTCCAGTTAGCAGGAAAGCAGGGAGCTAAGAACCCATCCCAGAGAGGTGGTGGGAGGCAGACTGTCCAAGAACTGAAGCCCAAACTCCAACTCACACACTCCATTGTCATCTCAGACTTTACTTACAGAACATAAATTCAAAGATAAATTAGAATTCAGTGGAGTGGCCACCAAGCATTAAACTTCAAGCACAGGGCCCTTCTGAGAATGGGACCCTGTGCAGCCTCACTGGTCGCCTGCCTCTGATGCAGCACTGAGAACTGGATTATATAATCCTGGCTCTTCCTCCCCTCCCCTTTGGGCAGCTCCGTTTCAGCGATTTTCAGTAATGCAGTCATCACTCCATGTTGATGGCAGACATGACCGTAGACTTCAGAGTGATAGAGGATAGGTGGAGAGACAGGTAATTACTACACCGAGCAACAAAATGTCCCATTATATAAGTGAAATCCAAGAATATTAAATACCTAAAAGAGAAGAATGTCTACTAGAAAACCAAGATGGTGGCATAGGTAAACACCGGAAATTGCTGCCTCGCACAACCACTTCAAAAAAACAACTAAAAGACATAACGGACATCATCAAGAACCACAGGAAGGCTGGCCGAGTGGAAATTCTACAACTAGAAGGAAAGAGAAAAGCACACTGAGACTCAGAGGAGGTGCGGTGTGGAAGTAAAGTGCAGAGGTACGGAGGCGCATGCAGAAAGGGCTGGTAACTGAGGACGCGGCTGTCTTTTTCAATCAGGAGGGAGACACAAGCTCCCGACTGCTCTGAACTCCAGTTCCGGGCAAGTCTCTGGGGACCCGGACTCATACGGGGAGAAACTGGACTGTCTGGCATCCGGCAGAACTTGAGGGCGGCTTTCTCTCAGAGGCGCCTGCAGTGATTACCGTGGAACAGTGAGACCCGGGGCCTCTTAGGGCAGGGCTGAGGATCAGCCATAGCTGTTTGCTCCGCCCTGTTGATTCCCTGAGACCCCGCCCCACCCAAGCTGTGGCAGAGGCTTTTGCATATGAATGACCTGGCCCTTTGCAATCAAAAATTACCTAACTAACTGCAGCTGGGTCAGAGAGACCCAGAACATCCAAAAAGAAGGCCCAAAGCCCCACAGCAGCTTGCATTGCTTCACAGCTGGGCCTCATCTGGGCACCTCCAAACTCCAAACAAAGAAAAGGAATCTGCAGATCTCTCCGTAGCTCCTGCTGGGTAGCCTCAGAAAGAGGCTAAATTAGCACCTCCTTAGAGATCCAAGAGCCAGTATACCCAGTGGTCAGAGTGGACCATCCAGATTACAACTCCTCAGATCCATAAGGGACACACTCAGGGGGCAGACTCAGTGAGCACCAAAGCCCCACTGAAGCAAGTCTTGCCCCAGAAGGGTGTCTCCAGCACAGAAGTTCTCCCACCATAACCACAGCTGATTCTCACAGCCAATTGGCCTGGAGGTCAATTCCTCCCAGTGATAGCTACAACAATCAAGGCTTAACTACAACAAGACTGTGCACAAAGCCCACAAAGGGGTGCACCAAGAGTGTCCACCTCAGGTAATTGGGGAGGCTGAGCCACTGGGCCCTATAGGACACCTAGCACACAAAGCCACTTTACCAACACAGGGAAGCATAAAAAATACAGAGACAAAGAAACAGGTCACAAATGACAGAAATGGAGGAAAGCAAACTACTGGATATAGAGTTCAAAACCACAGTTATAAGGTTTTTCAAGAATTTTCTAGAAACCGCCAATAAATTTAGTGAGACCCTTGAGGATATGAAAAAGGACCAACTAGAAATTAAGCATACACTGACTGAAATAAAAAATATTATACAGACACCCAACAGCAGACTAGAGGATCGCAAGAATCAAGTCAAAGATTTGAAATACGAAGAAGCAAAAAACGCCCAACCGGAAAAACAAAAAGAAAAAAGAATCCAAAAATATGAAGATAGTGTAAGGAGCCTCTGGGACAACTTCAAGCATACCAACATCCGAATTATAGGGGTGCCAGAAGATGAGAGAGAGCAAGATATTGAAAACCTATTTGAAGAAATAATGACAGAAAACTTCCCCTACCTGGTGAAAGAAATAGACTTACAAGTCCAGGAAGCGCAGAGAACCCCACACAAAAGGAATCCAAAGAGGACCACACCAAGACACATCATAATTAAAATGCCAAGAGCAAAAGAGAATCTTAAAAGCAGCAAGAGAAAAACAGTTAGTTAGTTAGTTACCTACAAGGGAGTACCCATACGACTGTCAGCTGATTTCTCAACAGAAACTATGTAGGCCAGAAGGGAGTGGCAAGAAATATTCAAAATGATGAATAGCAAGAACCTACAACAAAGATTACTTTATCCAGCAAAGCTATCATTCAGAATTGAAAGTCAGATAAAGAGCTTCACAGATAAGAAAAAGCTAAAGGAGTTCATCACCACCAAACCAGTATTATATGAAATGCTGAAAGGTATTCTTTAAGAAATAAATAATTTGATGAACAGAATAAACTGGTGAATATAATAGAATCAGGGACATAGAAAGGGAGTGGACTGACAATTCTCAGGGGGGAAGGGGTGTGGGGGGTGCGGGAAGAGACTGGACAAAAATCATACACCTATGGATGAGGACAATGGCAGGGGTAAGGGCAGAAGGTGGGGTGGGAACTGGTTGGAGGGGAGCTATGGGGAGGGGGGAAAGAGGAACAACTGTAATCTGAACAATAAAGATTTAATTTAAAAAAAGAGAAGAATGTCATATTATAAAACCACCATCTATATAAAATGGGGTATTATTCAGCTATAAAAAGGAATGAAGTTCTGACACATGCCACAGCATGGAAGAACCTTGAAAACTTTATGCCAGACACAACAGGACAGATCTCGTATAGTTCCACTTCTGTGAAATATTTAGAGTGGTCAAGTTCATAGAGAGAAAGTAGATTAATAGTTGCCAGGGACCGGGAGGGTGGAATGGGGAGTGACTGCTAATGAGTACGGGGTTTTTTTGTTTTGTTTTTTTTTTTTGGTGAGTGATGAATATTCTGGAGTTGGTGGCAGTAATGGTTGCACAAGTTTGTAAATACACTAAAAAACACTGAATTGTATACTTTTAATGTTGAACTTTATGGTATGTGAATTATATCTCAAGTATGTTTATTGCTTCAAAAGTCTTATCAATCACCTGTGGTTTTGGAATATTAAGACAAATTTATTTTAAAAAGCAAGGTAAAAGGAGCGTAAGCTTTGTTGTGAAGTCAGTATATTTTCCACATGACTGTGCTAATTTTTAATAACTTACTGAGGATCAGATCAGCCTGAGGAGCTGCCATTTCATATTCAAAAAGCCTGTGGTGTTTATTATTCTTTAATATTTCTCTAGCTTTACATGATAGCGATCATTGTTTAATGAGAGGAAAATTCACTCCAGATTTACCTTTGTATATTAAAGGGTACATACTTTCATGAGTAGTCCTTCTTTATTTTTCATTAAAGAGTAAAGATATGACTAAAATTTGAAAATATCTTTTTGGAAATATAGGCAACAGCATACTACTAGAATAATGCTAACAGCAGTTACCAGTGGATTCAGATTTAACTTGGCAGCCAGGCAAGTCTGCAGTCTGTCCCAGAACTGATACTTGTTCAAGAGTCCACCATTGAAACACTTGTTTACAGTACAAAAAGAAGCAGCAGCATCCTCACCTGCTTGAGAATTCTAAATTTGACACTTGTTTCACTGAAAATTGAGAAAAGGCATGGTAGGTTTCACACATAATATGGGCTTGAGTTGCAGTAGCTTAAAATGGTTGAAAAAAGCATAGTGACAAGACAAGTTTTTGAAAGAGCTTTTTGTTCTCCTGTCTTGTTTATCTTCTGAACTTATAATTTAGTAGAATGAGCTATTTTAATTTTATTTTTGACTTTTATCATTTTTGCTCCTATCATAGTACCAAACATGATGTGGGTGCTCAATAAATATTAACTTGTGACAAATCCTTATATTTTTAGTCATATCTCTGAAAATAAATATAGTATGTTAGTGTTTATTCCTTTTTACAGCTTTAAATATCCAGATACCTCTTATAATTAGTTATTGTTTGGACCAAATTATATTTTACACTGAATTTCTTTGGGAGGAGAACTAAAAATTTGGTTCTGGGGGTGGAATAATTGGAAGTGAAAATTTTAATTACCTTTCCCAGTGGAATTTTTTATTTAAGACAGCTTTTGATGTAGTGAATAATAAGTTATTTCTGTGCTGTATTTTAGATTAGTGTTCATTTTTCTAATTAAAGCTTTTCCTATTTGAAGAAAAAGAAACAAATCAATCAACTTAAAGAAGTAGGAATCAATAAGCAATTCCTGAGGGATCAGATTGGCATGTAGTACTGAAGACTTTTCTTGCTTAGAATTTCTCAGGCTATAATTAAGTCATTCTTAATTTATTACTTGAGGTTTCTTTCTTTTTGCTCACATTCTTCTGAATCTTAGATGTGAGTAATCTTAGATATTTTCCCCATTTTAAAGTTATTATACCTTTAAGAGTTTGTAATAGTCACTGGAGTTTTTCAGCATAGGTGAAGAAAAGGCAGTATTTTAGTGTATTTATTGAGTGTTCAAAGATGAGTAAATCACAGTTCCTACCATCAAGGAACTCACAGTATAGAGGAGAGGACAGAGACGCATGCAGATTACAGAAATATAGTCAGGCAAGTGCCATGTAGGAGGTGTAAGTGGAATACCCTTGGACCACGGATAAGCAAGCATTGCTCTATTATTACATGCAGTGTCATTAATGGTGAAAGGCCTGAGTGGATCATGGAAAGGCACAGAGAGCAGGTGGGGCTTGAAGGGTAAGCAGGGATTCACCAGAGGGTGAGAGGGAGCAGGGAGCGCCGGCCAAGGGCACAGACACTAAGGCTTTAACATGCGATGGAGGCAGCCTGAGGAGGGGACAGAGCAGGCTCGTAGGCCAGAAATGTTCAAATCAAGTTCCATCTCTCGCTCTGGGGCTGTGGGCAAGTTCCTTAGTGACTCTGGGTTCTGATTTTTCATTTGTAAACTGGTTTGCTAGGCAAGTGGAATGAAAAAACAAAATGTCTTTAGCCCAATGGAAGAAAGAGTGGTAGGTACAGTCAGGTTAGGCGCTGTGTGTTAGGAAAACATTTGTATATTTTGGATGGGCAAATCTCACCTTTGACTTTTCTCCCTGTTGTAGGTTAAAGCAGCGACTGGAGAAGAGGTGTCAGCTGAGGATCTTGGAGGTGCTGATCTTCATTGCAGGTGAAACGGAAGAGGTTATTTTTTTTCAGGATTGATTGCCACATGTTTTAAAAAGTTTAAAGTATTTTTCCAACTATTAAACTTGCCACAATTTGTTCTCCATCTGCTGTTTTAGGGTTCACTTCTTTGAACTGTAGAGTTGCATTTCTAAGCTAGAACATCAGCTTTTCCATTATAGAAAGACTGGAGAGACTGGTTTCTTATTTAACAAATACCCATTGAGCTCTAGATCTTTGAGATGATAGACATTGTCTCTGTCCTCAGGGAGTTTACAGTGTAGTCAGGGAGGTGGGCTATAAATAATTACCAAAATTCATATAAATGTATATGTGTGATAGGCCTGCAAAGGAGAAATATAGGGAGAGCATATAGAAGGTGGATCAAACCCAGTGGTTAAATGAACATTTGGGAAGTGGAGCACAGGGTGCTGGTGGTGAACTGCAGTTCAACAACAGACCACAAGAGAAAATGAAATAGAGAAGTTTGTTAATCACGGGTCTGGAGGAAGTACATGGCATGCCTTCAGGGGTCACCTAGGGAGGTCAAGGCAGCTCGGACAGAGAGAAAGAAACTGGGGCACATGTTTTTTTTTTGTTTTAATTTTTATATTGATTTCAGAGAGGAAGGGAGAGGAGAGAGAGAGAAACATCAATGATGAGAGAGAATCATTGAATGACTGCATCTTACACGCCCCCAATCGGAGATCGAGCCTGCAATTTGGGCATGTGCCCTTGACCAGATTCGAACTTGGGACCTTTCAGTCTGCTGGTGGACGCGCTATCCACTGAGCCAAACTGGCTAGGGCTGGGGCACATGTTTTAATAGGGTCCTAGGTAGGAGTGCTTTAGGTTCCTGGGCTAGGGCCGGATTGTTAAGTTCCATCCACAAGAGTGGAATTTTGGTAAGCTCGATGGCGGTCTTATCTAAGGGTGCATAAGACATATAGGTGCTGGGAGGCAGGGGAGACTGCTGATCACAAGGGCTGCTGGGAAAGTCATAGCAGGACTTACATTTGCTCGTGACCCTCAGTTGCTCTGTAGGGCTTGTGCCCGTACTAGTTAGTTTAAGGTCCTTGCAGGCCGCTTGGCCAAATAAATGGATGCTGAGGTGGTAGTACCTGATAGCAGGTAAGTGTTTAACAGCTGGTTCTCTGGGGGAGGGAAAAGCCCTGCTTTGTGGCATCTGCCCACATCTGTAGTGTAAGTTATCCCACCACAGGATGCAGCTGAGTATGGAATCAGGAAGAGATGCACACAGTAGGTTCTTGTGAGTCAGGTGCCAGCTTGCTCTGCACATCACTGGTTTAACTACTTCAGGTTAGAGTTCAGGGGTAAGAATTCTTGACCATCTACCTCCTAGAATTTTATGAAGTGATAAACGAGGCGATAAATGTAAATTGCTTGAAATAATACCTGCTTTAAATAAATACCTATATTTTATTGATTTTTTACAGAGAGGAAGGGAGAGAGATAGAGAGTTAGAAACATCGATGAGAGAGAAACATCGATCAGCTGCCTCCTGCACATCTCCCACTGGGGATGTGCCCGCAACCCAGGTACATGCCCTTGACCGGAATCGAACCTGGGACCCTTCAGTCCCCAGGCCGACGCTCTATCCACTGAGCCAAACCGGTTTCGGCTGTTTTTATTATTTATTTACCACAAGTAAAGGTCAGGAATTGTTATCTTTCTTTTAATTTTTTTTTGCTGTTTCACTTCATTACTGCTGTGCATGTGCTCCATGTGAGTGACGTAGGTGCTTATGTAGGTGGGTTCCGACTTACGGCGAAAATCATGTTACTTTGTGCCATAGGAACAGATCTCCATTGTAACCCGAGGACCTACTGTAATTAGAAAACCATTGAAAAGCTTTAAGCAGAATGTGCTATCACCAAATATTTCATTAAAAAAATTCCCTCTGGCTACTAAGTAGAGAATGCTTGGAGTGTTGGCAAGAGTCTATGTAGGGGACCAGTTGGGTGGGTGTATCAGTAGCGTAGGTGAGAGATGCTGGTGGCTTAGGTGCTTATGGTGGTAGTGAAGGTAAGAGGGTGAACAGAGTTGAGCTCTATTTTAGAGGTGGAATTGAGAGACATGTTGATGGATTTCATGTAAGGGGTGCAAGAAGGTGAGATGGCAAAGATGGTGACATGATATGGCTTTACTTCCTGAGATTGGGAAGGCAGGGGAAAGAGCAGATTTGAGGATGGGGCAGGAGGATCAAGCATTCCTTTTGGATCTGATAAGTTAGAGATGCTTGAGACATCCAAGTAGAGATGCTGAGGAGGCAGGTAGCTGTAAGAGTCCGGAGCCCAGACCAGTGCTGGAGATCTTTACATGGGAGTCCTCAGCATAGAGATGGACTCTAAAACCATAGGATGAGATGAACTCACCTCCAGGTGAATATAGATGTAGAGGAGGGCCCAGGATCATACCCTAAAGAACCCAGGCCTGAATGGCAAGTGTCTAATCATCAGATTCAGGTGTGGTAAACCTACCTTTGATCTTCCAACCACAAACAAACCCAGGGAGGCAGATTGGTATAATAATTCTGCTTTTCTTTTCTTTCTTTTTTTAATATATTTTTATTGATTTCAGGGAGGAAGGAAGAGGGAGAGAGAGAGAGATAGAAACATCAATGATGAGAGAGAATCACTGATTGGCTGCCTCTTGAACATTCCCTACTGGGGATTGAGCCCACAAGCAAGGACATGTGCCCTTGACTGGAATCGAACCCAGGACTCTTCAGTCCACAGGCCGACGCTCTACCCATTGAGCTAAACCAGTTAGGGCTAATTCTGCTTTTCTATCAAAGAACACTGCCATGCCAATGAAAGGGTTGATTTAGGGGCCTATCTTTGCCCCAGGTTTTCATTCCTTTCTCATTGAGCACTTCTTTTGAATAGATTGATTGTACTAAGTGTTATGGGTAATACAGAGGAATTTTAGCCCTAGTCCCAACCTCAGATTTATAATTTAATTAGGCAGCTAAGAGAAAGAAATGAATTAAAAAACAATTACAAAATATGCTAGCATGCTTCCAATTTTACAACTAGAGGCCAAAGGAGAAATGACGAGTTCAGGAAGGCATAGAAAAGCTCAGAGGGAGAGCTTGAGGGTCTGCCCGAGCTTGAACAGAACACTTGTTCATTTAGGTGAGCACAGCTGTGTGAGCGGAGAATCAGGGTGACTGCCTTATCTGGCCATTTACTGACTGTTACAGGGAGACAGTGAGTGGATGTTTCAGCCTGCGGAGAAAGAGGACGCAGGTAGAAAAGGGTGAGTGGGTGTAGGACAGTGTGGGCTGTTACTGTTTGTGCTTAATCTGGGGAAGGCGAAGAAGATAGTATTTATGGAGTATTAACAAAATGTGTTTGACTTTAAAAACTCTAATCCAGTGCCCATGAAAGCTGTAGGCGGTATATCAATTTAGGGTGTAGGTTCTAGAATTCATCCTTCATTACCTCACTTATTACCATTATGACTAGACAAACCACGTAACCTTCTGGAGCCTCATTTCCTCATGCGTAAAACGAAGGAAAGGATAGTTCTTACCTCATAGCACAGGATCTGGTGCATACTAAGCACCCTATTACTACCGGCTATTATTCTTAACCTGTTTAAAATCATAGGACAATGATTAGATGGTGATGGCTTTTTTGGGGAACAATGTCATAAAATTTACTAGTCACAAATTGCTTTGGGTTCTCTCTGTCTAATCAGAGTGATAAATGTGTATTTACAAAGGTTCTTGCTGTCTTTAAAAATACATATTTATACTTCTGTTTAGTCATCCGGAAGAATTAATTTGACACAAAGACTTATGTAATGTAATGCCTCCTCAAAGGTTTCTCTTTCCTGTTCTTTTGGTAAATACTAGGCAGCTTTTAAAAGAAAGCATTTTATTTTAAATATTTACTGATTTGGAAGCAATTCCTCCTGCTTCTGTTTGCTTTCTGAATTACTACAGTGTAGCCAGAAGTCAGCACTTGTAGCTGGTATTATATATGAAGCATTTACTAATAAAAGATATCATCAGTTGTAAATTATTGTATTAAGTTAGAAAGAGTCTGCCATTGCAAAGGCACTGGAGGGCTGTAACAAGAAGCAAGTACAGTCTCTGCTTTTATTCAGGGACAGCCAATCCAGAGGTGGAAAGTGACACAAAACCACTGTGAGAGCCCAGTTCTAGGAAATGTCTCCCAAGGGTTTGGCATTTTCCCTAGACAAGATATCAAAATTTAGATTGCAGCAGCTTAGTCCTTACTCATAAAATGAACCAAAATTCTGTTTGTTTCAGGTACATAGTTTGCCTGACTTTACCATTTTGTTTATACTTTATTAGAAAGTCATGGTACTTTACATCTGAAATAAGAAGCCATCTAATCAGAACAGAACCAGAGCAAGCCCATATTTCATTGACACTGAACTTGAAATTGGACAGGAACTTCCATGGCCCTTAAGACAGAATCATTTTAGCAGTACTCATTTTAACCCATGATCCGAGGGACAGTGTCTTAAACCTTTGCATTCGTTACCCTCTGACAGCTTGCTTTTAAGTGTAACTTCGGAGGGAGGGAGCTCAGCAGTCTTTCAGAAGCGAGAGGCCATAGTTGGCATCTTCATTAGGAGCTCAGTTAGGTACAAACACTTTTTGTTGTTACCAACAACATCACTAAAGTGTGCCATCTGTGGTTGAATTTATCATGTAGAATTTTTTCAAAAAATATATTTTATTGATTTTTTACAGAGAGGAAGGGAGAGGGATAGAGAGTTAGAAACATCGATGAGAGAGAAACATCAATCAGCTGCCTCCTGCACACTCCCCACTGGGGATGTGCCCGCAACCAAGGTACATGCCCTTGACCGGAATCGAACCTGGGACCCTTCAGTCCACAGGCTGATGTTCTATTCACTGAGCCAAACCGGTTAGGGCTTATCATGTAGAATTTTGTTTGAGGTATGTGGGCTGACCATTAAATAGAAGTCCTTATCAGCAAGGCCCCATGATCTAGTTGAAGGAGGTCAAGACAGAAATAGAGGCGTGGATTCTTATGCAGCTACTGGTGGTTCTACGCAAGGTTTATGCATACCTGTTTTTCCTGTTTGTAAAACAAGGATGATACCAGGGACATTACAATGTTTGCCAGGGACATTATGAAGATCACATTAAATATCATTTATTAAAGTGGTTTGGAAGTAAAAATGATGCCATCCGTAGATGAGAGAAGGTGTTTGGGCTTAAGATATTCCATTTTTTCTTTTTCTCTAATCTGATTATTTTAGTGTACTTTACTCTGTAGAAAGTCCGGAGTCACTGACTACTACGCTTTGGATGATAATCACGCCCTTCACTTAACTAGGAAGATTGTGAGAAGTCTCAATTATCAGAAAAAATTGGATGTGAGTTTGATATGTTCTTGTAGCTTTTATTTTTCTGAAAAGCATTTTGGCTTATGTCATCTTGAAATAATGTCTTAAAAATGGTTAATAGGATTTTTCTATTTTCTGCAGGTTAGCATTGAGCCTTCTGAAGATCCTTTATTTCCTGCAGATGAATTGTATGGAATAGTGGGTGCTAACCTTAAGAGGAACTTTGATGTCCGAGAGGTATGTAAAGTGGAACTGTGAGCCATAAACCTTGCTGTCTGTCTCCTCATATGTGTATACATTGTCAAAGCCAGAGTCTGTTTATAATGTTCATGCATAGGGGCTGGTTTAGATCTCAGTAAGAAGCGACGGACATGTGAGGGAAAGATCTTTCCATAGTGTAGGATTCACTGGTACACAGTAAATACCAAAAGAGAGAGGGGGAAACCCTCTAATTATTGGAAAGTTTTCATTGCACAATGACGAACCTTGGTTTATTCATGAACAGTACTTCATAATGTGGACATTAGGAATGATGTAGGGCAACTTCATTTTCAGCTGTTTCCTTTCAGTATTCTTGTTTCAGGAATTGGATGAAATGTTGAAAGAAAAAACATACCCTTTTATATCAATATTACATTAGCAAAGATTAGACTTTGATTACAGGTGAAGATTATAGATTGTTGCTATGATTACAGATTATTGATATAGTCTTGTATAGTCTAGAGTAACAATTTTTAGTGTTTGCATATAGCATGTAGTCTTTTATTTTGTTCAGTATCCATATCTGGTAGAATACTTTCTATGCTAGAAAATTATTATTTTTAAAAAATATGTTTTTATTGATTTCAGAGAGGAAAGGATAGAAACATCAATGATGAGAGAGAATCATTGATTGACTGTCTCCCGCATGCCCCCCATGGGGATGGAGCCTACAACCCGGGCATGTGCCCCAACCAGGAATCGAACTGCGAGCTTCTGGTTCATAGGTCGACGCTCAACCTCTGAGCTACACCGGCCGGGCACTAGGAAATTATTTTAATACCAGATTCTCTATCTTAATATTTTGTTACTTTCCCCCTTGACTATAAAACTATTAATGTATTAATTGTGGAAAGAATAGAAAATATAGAAAAACATAAAATTGCTTATAATTCTACCATCCAGAGAAAGCAGCTAATATTTTGGTGTTTTGGCTTAATGTATATGTAGACATTTTTATGGAGTTGTGATAGTATATATATATATATATATTTAATTCTACTTTTTCCAGTTTGAATTATAAACATTTTACAATTATTTAAAGGTTCTTTATGAAACATTTTCCATGGCTAGATTCTAACTCCTTATATAATGTACAACATGGTAAGCACGCAGTAAATATTTATTTGAATGAATTAATGAATGTATTATCCCACTTATGGATGTATGTAATTATTTATTTAGGAAATGCTCTATTGTTAAATTCTGGATTTCTTTGGAGCTTCTCTTTAGCAAGATGACTTAATCAACTGTAACTTTTAGAATTGGGATTTTAGTTTGACTTTTCAGTCAATTATAGGCACAGAAAAAATGGTACTTACCGTCTGAAGTGCTTGAAAAAATGTGTTGCTCTAGATAGCCAAGTTTTCTAGGTAGTTAAGAATTCATCCTTTTAAGGAAAACCACCTTTTTTTCATGTATTCATCAGTATTTTTTAAATACTTGTTCTATGAAGGTGCTGTTTCAGATACCAGGAGCACAGAAATGAGCCACACAGATGCAAATCCATGCTTTCATGGCAGTTCCATTTCATTTTAATGGAGATTATTTTATGAAGATAGACTCTTGCCTTCTTAAATAGTGTCCTGGACTTCCACCTGTTGCTAACTCCTGTTCATCTTTGTGAGGATAATTTATTATCTTTTCTGTTCTAGTAAAGTAGTCTTCCTAGTGAATGGAGCTGTGGGACAGCACTGGGATAGGAATCAGAAAACCCAGCTTCTGGTCCTCGTTTCCTTAGTCAGTGGTACTGGGATGGGTACTCAGCATTGATTTCCACTCCTAGATACAAGGGTAGTAGTACTATATATATGATATGTTTGCTTTCTAAAGTTTGAGTCATTGTGAAGATGAGGTACTATATTTTATGTGGCCGGGTGGTCATTGTAAAGCAAATAGAAGGTAGTTTCACACTAAGTGATCCTAGGCTGTTGTGCCCTTTGAGTCACTTTATCTTCGTGTTGAAGAATAGTAGTTATTATGTGTTGATTGTTTTTAAAAGGTACAATTTTGGCCCTCGCAGGTTTGGCTCAGTGGATAGAGTGTCAGCCTGTGGACTAAAGGGTCCTGGGTTTGATTCTGGTCAAGGACACATGCCCGGGTTGCAGGCTCGATCCCCAGTGGGGGGCATGCAGGAGGCAGCCAATCAATGATTTTCTCTCATCATTGATGTTTCTCTCTCCCTCTCCCTCTCCATTCCTCTCTGAAATCAATCAAAAAAAATAAAAGGTACAATTCTGGAGGAACATACCACTTACAACAGATAACATGTTTTCATTATATAATTGGACCTTTTAGGAAAATAACTAAAAAATAATTCAAAGTAAGCTTTACTTTTTGGAAAGAAAGATATTGGGAAACATTCACTCATTTTTCAGTTTTTGCATCTTACAAAAAGAAGTCCTACATTGATGTAGTAAGTAGGAGAAAGAAAGTTTGAACTAGTAGAAAAATGATGTGTATCATGTAAAATAGTTTTTGAAGGAATTTGGAATATGCTTCATGTTTGGAACTCCTTGAAATAGTCCTGATGTATAATGATGAACTTTGAGGGTGAACTATTTAGTGATTTCTACTCCTTTTAGGTTAATTATATATGTATGTCGGGTGATCCTTTATTATCAGATTCAGAATCAGTAAACCTTTATTGAAGGTGTAGGGGAGGAAGAAACTTTCCTCTACCCATCAGGGTTCTTTCGGCTGGTCTAACAATGAAGTCTACACAAGGCAGATTAGATTAAGAGAACAGCCAAATTTAATTATGAATGTATGATGGAATGCTCACATACATGAGAGAGACTCCACATACATGAGAGGTTCAGGGACAGAAAGTTAAAATGAGGTATATACGGCATTCTGAGCTAAGGATGAGGGAAAGTGCTGAAGGGAGGAGGGTCATTCGCAGGACATTAAGAAGAACAAATGTTCAACAGTTAGAATTTCCCCCTGCCTTATAGATAGGTCAGTGATAACTCTGAGTATGGATGAGGCCCCTAATTTTAATTCTTTAAGGGAGATGTAAAAATTTCTCATGACCCGGCAGAGTCTCAGTTGCCTTCAGCTCAAAATAATCCACATGTCAAAGTAGCATCTGTTCTTCTGAACCCCTTCAAAGGATTAATAATAATAGCTACCTTTTAATGACAGCCAGGAAGTGTGCTGTGGTTAGCACTTTTTAAGTCTTATCATTTTTTCAAAAACAGATGAGGAAATTGAGGCTTAGAGGATTTTAGCTAGCCAGGCTGTGACTCTTAATTTCTCAGTGGTAGAGCTGGGAGCCAGAGCTGGTTCTTCATCTCAGCATTATTTTCTTAGGTTATTTTGCTACTACGTAATCACATCCTCACAGCTCTGTCCCATCTTTGCAGAAGTGAGAACCGAGACTCAGAGAGGTTAAGTGACTTTGCTCCAGGACATGCAAATCATCTGTGATACCTCAAGTTGGAGGTCTTCTGACTAAGCTCTCTACCTTGCTTTCTGATTGAATCCCTGACCCTAGGCCAGTACATTTGAACAGCCACTGAAGCCTTAAGTCTGGCAACCAGCTCATGGAGTCTCTCTGCTTCTCTGGTGTCAACACAGTGCTAATGCTTCTGTAGTGAAGTGTAAAATCAGAGCCCAGAATGACTTCGTATGAAAAGTGAAATTCTTGTGAGAAGATTTTCTATGTAGGGTGAAATTTTGTGAAAGTGACAACTTCACTATGAATTTGTTTTCCTTATAAATAACTTCAATGTAACAATTCCTTTGTAATATAATTTTCAGGGACATTGTTATTTTTCCTCTTAGGTCATTGCTAGAATCGTGGATGGAAGCAGATTCAATGAGTTCAAAGCCTTATATGGAGACACATTAGTTACAGGTATAAAGATGAAGAATTGAATGTGAACATTTTCTGTTGCTTGAAAATAAATGCTGTCTTGTGTTAAGGCTTTGATGCACTTGACATGAGCTTTGTTATTTAGAGCAGTACAAATGTGTGAGTCAGTATCTAAAGGGAGCTGCTTTATAAAGATCAATTGAAGCTGAATGGCTTCATGGATCCAGGTTTTAAATGATGATGTCTAGATGCTGTGGTCTAGGTCTTTATCTGTGACTTAGCAGCATTAGCTGTATAAAAAGTTTAGAACAAAACAAACTGATAAACAAAATAGATCCAGAGACATAGAAACATAGAACAGACTGTTGAATCTTAGAGGGAAGGTGGGGATGGGTAGGTGGTTGGGAAGAGATTAACCAAATAACATATGCATATATGCATAACCCATGGACACAGACAATAGTATGGTGAAGGCTTGGGATGGGAGGTGGGTGCAAGCTAGAAGGGGTCAATGGGGAAAGAAAGGGGTCATCTGTAATACTTTCAACAATAAAGATAAAATGTTAAAAAAATTTTTTCTTATTGTCAAATTAGCAGAAATATTTGTAGTTCTTTTTGTTTCTCTGGATAACTATTTTGAAAATTTCTGCACTGTATTTTAAAAAATATGTTTTTATTGATTTTTTTTTTTTTTTTTTTTTTTTTTTTTTTTTTTTTTAGAGAGAGAGGAAGGGAGAGGGAGAGAAAGATAGAAACATCAATGAGAGAGAGAAACATCGATCAACCACCTCCTACACACTCCCCACGGGGGGTTGAGCCTGCAATCTGGGCATGTGCCCTAACAACTTATGGTGCATGAGAGAATGCTTAACCAACTGAGCCACACTGGCGGGGCTCAGCACAGTCTTTTGTATTATTTAGTCTCTAATTCAACTGGGAAATTGTATATAATGTTTAAAACTTCCTGGGAGGATGCAGACTGAGTTAAACCTCACGGCCTCTTATGTTGGCTTATGCAAATACTAGATCCAGAATATAGGACAGAATACCAAATCTGAAAAAACAAAACAAGGATATTTATAGAAGTTAATTCATTCACCTGAAGTGTTAAGTTTGTAGGCCTTTGGAGAAAAGTATTTGAATCATAGAAGCTAGACCCATAGTTATCTTGGACAAATGGCAAAACAAATGTGGGCATTTTTTTTTGGTCTGATAAAAGCTGAAAAATGTAGCAGTTAGTCTGAAGACAACATTTCCAAGTAGAATAAACAACCAGCTGTAAAAAATCCAACTTGCAAATATACATTGAAGCTTAAGGGTAAGTCACCACACTTTCTCTTGGTCTGATTTATGAGCAAGAGAATGGTTCACACTGGGAGTGGAATTTATGTTTTTGTATTTAGGTGTTTAAGAGCTTTTGTTTGATCTATAGACAGGATTTGCCACTTAATAGTTCAGGATGTAACCCTCATTGTGGGGCAGTTTAAAATAAGTTCAAACTGTTTCTGCTTCTTTCTTAAGATGGATGGGCTGTCCTTATTATCTCTTTTTATGTATTTGACCTGTACTTGCTAAAAAACTGGTGGCACCTTTGTCCCCTACAATACTAAGGATATATCCAGTTTCCTCCATCTCTTCTTGACTGTACTGGACTTCAAGTAAAGTTGGGGGAAGGGGAGGGAAGTGAGAAGGAGAAGACTTGGGGAGCATGAGAGGTGAGAGGGAGAATAAGAGGGAACATGAGAAGGTGAGGGTCATTTCGGGGGAGGGAGTGAGAAGGCAAAGAACAGATTTTTCTAAGGATCAGGTGTCCCAGGCAGCTCTTAAGGGTTTCTTCCTGCCTCTGCCCTTACCATTTGCTGGCCCTAGTAGTTCCTTGGATATTTTACTTTCCTGTTTGACCTGTAGGAAGCTGGTGAAGGTGCTTCCTTCATGGGTGTCCCTATTATAGTGGAGCATGAGCCGCACTCACTAGTCCTGTTACTGGAGATCCCAGGCAGGGCTAGGATGGGTTAAAAGTCTAAATAGTGAAGAGGGCAGGATATCTTCAGGGGTAGCACCTTGCTGCCGAGAGATGAGGGAAGTTCCCAGCCTTTTTGTGGGTGGGGCAGGACTCAAAGTGGATTGCTGGGCTGTTTGGGAAGTTCACCCCTCTCTGCATTGATTCTAAGTGGCAATGCCAGTGAGAGTGTGGCTAGGATTTTAGGCCTGAAAGACCAAGAGAAATCTAGGTGACCATTGATCAGTGTTTCATTTTTATCACATTAAATAAACATAATTAAAAATAAATAAATGAAAGGTCAGAGTAAAGAACAAATAAAATTTTAAAAATTTAGTGTCCTGCTTATCAATAAACTGCAGAACAGTCTTATCCATTAATTTTTTGAGCACCTGCTTTGTGTCAGGCATCACAAACAGGGTGTCTTAATGGCAACCTGTCTACCTTGAGTTTGAAGACAGAGCCAGGTTCTAGAAACTTTGGTAGCGTGCTGCCTTTGACCCACTTCAACCAGCACAGCTGTTGACTCTTGGGTTCCAGGTATTTGACATCTATATATAGTCATAAGTAGGCTTGTTGAGAATTACTCTTGGAAGGTCTCTCTAGTCAAGGTCTTCAGGTTCACAAAATAATTAACTTCCTGAAATCATCTATAAAGTGTGTACCTCACAAAATCACGTTTCCCTTCGTTTCTTCTCCTTTAAGAAATACAAACGAAACTTATGGAAAGGAGAAAGAAAAAGATGCAAACAGAGAAAATGAAAGTGGAGTGATGCACTTTTCTTCTAAGCTTATCTAGATTTCTTACTTTAAACTTGGTTATCACCAGGCTTGACAGTGTTCCTGTTTTTATTTTAATTTGCCTTTGCTGAGTGTATCCCCTCTCTCCCTCCTCCCTCCCTCCCTCCCTCCCTTCCTTCCTTCCTTCCTTTTTTTTTAAAAAAATATATTTCCATCAACTCCAGAGAGGAAGGGAGAGGGAGAGAGATAGAAACATTAATGATGAGAGAGAATCATTGATTGATTCTCACCTCTTGCACGCCCCCCACTGGGGATTGATCCTGCAACCAGACATGTGCCCTTGACTGAAATCGAACCCAGGACCCTTCAGTCCTCAGGCCGGTGCACTATCCACTGAGCCAAACCTGCTAGGGTTCCCCTTTATTTCAAGGGCCTGTCATTACCACAGACATTTTCAGGCAAGCTAGTTACCTGACAATGGCCCAGTTTTGAACATTGACCTGTTAAGGACTCTGTATCTTTGATTATTCTATTTCAGAATATCCTTCAAGTCTGGTACACAGCGAGCACTCAGATATAACATGTTACAATCTAACCAAACCAAGCAGTCAGACAGGTGGCACACCCCTTTACATGTGACACACCCCTTTCAAGAAAGAAAAAATCCAGATTCCAGGACCTTAGAAATAAAATGTGACATTAGCTGGTGTATACCATAGACAAAATCTGTACACTTTAAACTTTGATTTAAAATTAAAGGATGTTAAATATGTCTGTTGTGAATTAAAAGCCCTCTGAAGTATATAACTCTTTATTTCCATTTTCTCTTGAGGATTTGCTAGAATATTTGGATACCCAATTGGCATCATTGGAAATAATGGAGTCCTCTTTTCTGAATCTGCAAAAAAGGCAAGTACTGTTAAACATGTTTCAAGATTTTCTGTTTTATTTATTTATTTTAATTTAAATTCTTTGTTGTTGAAAGTATTACATATCTCCTTTCCCCCTCCCCATTGACCTCTCCCAGTCTGCTCCCGCCCCCCCAGCACAGGCCCTCACCCCCCTACTGTCTGTGTCTATTGATTATGCTTATATGCACACATACAAGTCCTTTGGTTATCTCTTACCCTCCCACCCCCTCTCTGAGGCTTGACGATCTGTTTGATGCTTCTATGTCTCTGGATATATTAACATATAATCATTTTATGTTATTCATTATACTAGAGGCCTGGTGTATGAAATTGGTGCACGGGGGAGAGGGGGGTCCCTCAGCCTGGCCTGCACCCTCTCCAATCCGGGACCCCTCGGGGGATGTCCGACTGCCAATCCTGGGCCTAAACCGGCAGTCGGACATCCCTCTCGCAATCTGGGACTGCTGGCTCCTAACCACTTGCCTGCCTACCGGCTTGATTGCCGCCTAACTGCTCCCCTGCTGGCCTGATGGCCCCCAACTGCCCTCCCTGGCTGGCCTCACGGCCCCCAACTGCCCTCCCAGGCAGGCCTCACGGCTCCCAACTGCCCTCCCCTGCTGGCCTGATTGCCCCTAACTGCCTCTGCCTCGGCCCCCACCACCATGGCTTTATCCAGAAGCAAGTTGGACGGTAGGAAGATATCTGGTCTCCTGGTCTAATTAGCATATTACCCTTTTATTAGTATAGATTCCACAAATGAGTTAGATCATGTGATATTTATCTTTTTCTGCTTGGCTTATTTCGCTTAGCATAATGCTCTTCAGGTCCATCCATGCTGTTGCAAATGGTAAGAGTTCCTTTTTTTTATAGCAGTGTAATATTCCATTGTGTAGATGTACCACAGTTTTCTTTCTTTTTTTTTTAAACATATTTCTTTTTTCTTTTTTTTTGTCTTTCTTTCTTTCTTTCTTTCTTTTTTTTTTTGGTACCACTACCAATAATTTAATCACAAGAAGAAATCAGAGACATTTTAAAATCACATTACAGTTGTTGGTAACATCACAGACTATTGTTAACATTCATTGCTGCTTTGATAGTTATTTTACATATTGCTAGGTCCTGTTATTTAATGTGTAAAACATATTTCTTTATTGATTTTAGAGAGGAAGGGAGAGGGAGAGAGAGATAGAAACATCAATGATGAGAGGGAATCATTGATTGGCTGCCTCCTGCATGCCCCCTACTGGGGATCGAGCCCGCAACCCAGGCATGTGCCCTTGGCTGGAATCAAACTGGGGACCCTTCAGTCTGCAGGCCGATGCTCTATCCACTGAGCCAAACCAGCAAGGGCCCACAGTTTTCTAATCCACTCATCTGCTGATGGGCACTTAGGCTGTTTCCAAATCTTAGCTATTGTAAATTGTGCTGCTATGAACATAGAGGTGTATATAGTCTCTCTTTTTAGTGTTTCTGATTTCGTGGGATATATTCCTAGAAATATTTTTGTGGGATTACTGGGTCAAATGGGAGTTCCATTTTTAATTTTTTGAGGAAACTCCATACTGTCTTCCACAGTGACTGCACCAGTCTGCATTCCCACCAGCAGTGCAGGAGGGTTCCTTTTCTCCACATCCTCTCCAGCACTTGTCATTTTTTGATTTGTTGATGATAGCCATTCTGACAGGTGTGAGATGGTATCTCATTGTTGTTTTGATTTGCATCTCTTGAATGATTAGTGACTTTGAGCATGTTTTCATATGTCTCTTGGTCTTCTGTATGTCCTCTTTCGAAAAGTGTCTATTTAGGTCCTTTGCCCATTTTTTGATTGGATTGTTTATCTTCCTTTTGTTCAGTTGTATGAGTTCCCTATAAATTTTGGATATTAAACCCTTATCAAATGTAACATTGGCAAATATGTTCTCCCATGTGGTAGGCTTTCTTGTTGTTTTGTTGATTTTTTTTTTTTTTTTTTTTTGCTGTGCAGAAGCTTTTTATTTATTTATTTATTTATTATTTATTTATTCACAGGAAAAAATTTATTTATTTTATTTATTTTCAATAAGTTTAAATCCTTGAGGGGTACAGCATTAAACGGATTTTATTTATTTTCAGTAAGTTTAAATCCTTGAGGGGTACAGCATTACACGAATTCTTTGTCCAATAGCCTTAGCAGAAAGGTTGCTTCGGAATTTAGCACGAACCATTCCACCGTTTCCATGAGCACGAGTTACCTTTCCCCAGATTACTCTGGTTTTGTTTGGTTTGCCACCAGGAGTCACTGTGTTGTTCTTTGCTTTGTACACATAAGCACATCTCTTGCCTAGATAGAATTCTGTTTCATCTAGAGCATAAACACCAATTTTAAGAAGAGCCATGTGTTCCCTCTGGTTCTGGAGACCCCGCTTATAGCCAGCAAAAATGGCCTTGGACCACACCCTTCCAGACATATTTGTCCTTATAGAAGTCCTGTTCCCAGCAGGCCTCCACAGGGTCCAAGATGGCCGAAGCTTTTTATTTTGATGTAGTCCCATTTGTTTATTTTCTCCTTAGTTTCCATTGCCCTATGAGCTGTATTGATAAAGATATTGCTATGACATATGTCTGATATTTTGCTGCCTGTGGATTCCTCTAATATTTTTGTGGTTTCCCATCTTATGTTTTAAGTCCTTTATCCATTTTGAGTTTATTTTTATGTATGGTGTAAGTTGGTGGTCTAGTTTCATTTTTTTGCATCTATCTGTCCAATTTTCCTAACACCATTTATTGAAGAGACTGTCTTGACTCCATTGTATGCTCTTGCCTCTATGAAGATTTTCTGTTTTAAACATAATGAACATTCAAGATCAAGCAATTGATGAATATTTATTACATAAAAGCTGTAAAATATTTAACCAGAACACTGTGTGCTGGGGTTTGAAGCAGTTTTTGTGGAGGTTTACATGAACATGATGAACTATCTTGGCACTATTAAAAAGTTAAAACATTTTTTTAGTTAAATTCTTATAAGAAACTTGAATTACAGCTGTGGATGACGTGTACATATTCTAAGAATGTAGGAATACTTGTCTTGAAAGTGTTTCACTCTCTGGTGCTTAATGCAAGTGAGGAATTCAAAGCTACTTTCCAGGTGGTTCTGAGACATGACCTGTTTATTCTGTTCTATCCCCTCATCAGTTTAACTTGATAATATTTTCACTCTTTGGAGATGGGAAGGTAGTGGGTCTTGTTACTGAAGGTCTGGCTTTAAAGGAGGAAACTCATGAATGTCTTTGGGCTTAGTATTCAATTTCCTAAATCATTGTCTCTGATTTGTCTAAACTTGAATAAATGTAATTAATGTACTTATTTGATAAAATGTTTTCTTAAGAAAAAAATGTCTGGCCTTGCTTTCTTACTTTGAATGCTAGAGGAAATAGCAAGGTTAATGGTCTCATATTGATACAGGTAACAGACAGTTATGCTCTTTCAGATCCTAATTGAGGAAGAATTTGTGTTTGGTGAAATGTTTTACCAGTAAAGTCAATTTCTATATTCTATTATTCATTATTGTTCCCCCCACTGTAATTATAAGACAAAAACAGGAAAGTAAAAATAAGGAAAATAAAAATCACCTGCACTCATACCAGAAATAATCTTGAGTGACATTTTATTATGATTCCTTAGTTTTTTCTACCTCCCCTTTTTTTTAGCAAGAGAAAATAACTGAATTTAATACATTTGTATGTACGGGAACCCCATATACACGAGAGAGTCAGAGATCACACATGCAGGAGAGGTTCAGAGATAGAAAGGGGGATCTAGGTATATGAGACATCCTGAGCTAGGAATGCAGTAATGCACCTTGTGGCCTTCAAAGGGTTATTGCAGGATGAGAAGAAGAGCAGATGTTTAGTAAATAGAAATTTGCCTCGCCATTTAGTTGGGTCAAGGTCCCAGTTCACGGTCTAGGTACTTAAAGGGAGGGGCAGGAGCTTCTCTTGAGCTAAAATTACCCTTCACTCAGAACAATTCCATATACTTCTATCCCCCTTTTAAAACTAAAATTGATGTGGCCACATAAGTAGGTCCTAAAAAACTGTAATTTCATTATAATATTGATGAGATGCCATGGGAACCAATCTCTTGTTTATATCAATTAGCCTATAGTAAAATTGGTCTTGTTATGTGTCATTCCACTTCAAGTTGCAGAACCTATGCCACTGTTAAGTGAGGACTTACTGTATATAGAGGTATTGCTTGTTTTCATTTAATAGTATATATAGTATTTCCTAAAATATCAAATTATTCTGAACTGATGACTTTTAAAAAAAATTTTTATTGATTTTTCAGAGAGGAAGGGAAAGGGATAGAGAGTTAGAAACATCAACGAGAGAGAAACATCGATTAGCTGCCTCTTGCACGCCCCCTACTGGGGATGTGCCCGCAAACAAGGTACATGCCCTTGACCGGAATCGAACCTGGGACCCTTCAGTCTGCAGGCCAACGCTCTATCCCAGTGATGGCGAACCTTTTGAGCTCGGCATGTCAGCATTTTGAAAAACCCTAACTTAACTCTGGTGCCGTGTCACATATAGAAATTTTTTGATATTTGCAACCATAGTAAAACAAAGATGTATATTTTTGATATTTATTTTATATATTTAAATGCCATTTAACAAAGAAAAATCAACCAAAAAAATGAGTTCGCGTGTCACCTCTGACATGCATGTCATAGGTTCGCCATCACTGCCTGAGTCTATCCACTGAGCCAAACCGGTTAGGGCTGAACTGATGACTTTTAATGAATATATAAAACATTAATTTCCATAAAGAAAATGTCAGGCTGAGGCCAGCACACTCTACCTAGTTTTAGTTGGTGGCTTGACAGAAATAAACATGGGAGGAGTTACATTTGGCCTCAATCTGACATTTTGTTTATAGAAGTAAGCCCCAAAGGTCTCATTCTTGTATTGGAGGTTGAACAGTTGCTTTGAGATTTTGTACTTGCCAAGGCATTTCCAGCAGAGTTAAAGGGATCTGTGAATGGAGAGATAATGGTTTATAAAGTGTCCTTACTCACATAATCTTTAGAAGGTAGTTATATTGTTGTCATTAAACAATTTCCTAAATTCAGAGTTAGAAGGTCTCTAACACTCATCTAAAATCCCATTTATTTGGGGTATATTGGTAAGAAAGATGTCTTTTTCTATAATCTTGGTGCATGAAAACATTTCAGATGATCATCAAAATGTAAATATCATCATAGATTTCCCCAAAGAATTTTGGTCTATCTTTTTTATTTTAAAAAAAATTAATTTCAGAGAGGAAGGGAAAGGGAGAGGGGGAAGGAGGGAGGGAGGGAGAGAGAGAGAGAAAAACATCAGTGATGAGAGAGAATCATTGATCGGCTGCCTCTGCAGTCTCTGTACTGGGGATCCTACCCACAACTTGGTCATCAAACCATGACCTCCTAGTTCATAGGCTGATGCTCAACCACTGAGCCACACCGGCCTGGCTATTCTATCTTTTTAAAATGAGGCTCAGAAATTCTTATTGACAAGCAATCCTTTTTTTTTTCTGTTAGTTAAGTGTCACTTGCTGTTCGGAATGTTAGTGATTGACTTCATCCCTGACAGAGCAGTTGTCCTACAGTGTGTGCCTATGATCACACAGGTGACTACAAAACAAGTGCAGTATAAACCACAGTCACATGTCCCATTGATAATGAGTCTGCACTGTAGCATTATTGTTACTGTTACCATAAGGTCAGACGAGCCAGGCAGAGGGTATTCTTTCTTTTCTCTGACCCAGGTGTGGCATTTGTAGATGCATGGTGATTATAGATTTGTTAACCCTCCTTTGGAAAGATTTTCATCTTATTTGCTTCTAGGGGGCTCACTTCATCCAGTTATGCTGCCAAAGGAAAATCCCTCTGCTGTTCCTGCAAAACATTACTGGTAAGAAAATAGTGTATTCAGTTTGGTTGCATTTAATCTAGAGCTGCACTGTCCAGTATATCTTAAGAAGTGACCACCACAATAACTCTAATAACCATCTTCACTGTACATAGTTATTGTAATATTATTGACTGTATTTCCTGTGCTGTACATTATGTCCCAGGGATTTGAATTTTTATTCCAAAGAGTGGTATGATCAATGTGAACTCTCTGGATTTCATTTTCCCTAGATGATCTTAACGTGGTGGATGAAATGATTTTTAAGGTCTCTTATGGTTCTAGAGTTCTTTTCCTAGAATTCCATGATTCTCCCATATATACTTTTTTGTATCTGACATATAGGAGATATTCAGAAATGTAGGTTAGCTGAAAACTTATTTCCCCCAGTCTTCTAAGTCAACTATGGTTACCCCAGGTTTAAAGGGAGGAGAGCCTCTTAGTTGTTGGGAACAGGCAAACCTTCATGAGAAGAAGTTTGGCTCTTGACAGGAGGGCTTTAAATATTACTGGTGCTAAAGCATCTTCATCTTAACTTTAAGGTACTTGGCTAGATGAGTTTTGAGAGGAGTCATATCCAGATGGAAGCCTGAGGGCCTTATGTGGCAAACCTCATAAAATGGGCAGAGAGAAAGTAGCTTCACCAGGGCAGGGCCTTGTTTCTTTAGTGATTCATGACTTACAGAGAGCAGAGGTTGAGTTTGGTTTTGCCACATTGCATTTGAGGGACCTGTGTGGCATTCGTTTGGAGACATATAGTAGCCAGTTGACAAATCTTGAGCACAGAAGGGATATGTTAGCTGGGGGTGAAAATGTAGGTAGCATCAGAATATGGCGATGGTATTTAAAGCTATGGGAATAGATAAGAATACCCTGAATAGAAAAGAGGACTCATGGACAATCTGTGAGTAACTTTGATTCCTTCCACAGAGGTGAGAATAAAGGAAGAATTGGAGTATGATTATGTTGTTTTTTAGGATGGGAAGAAGAATGGAGAAAGCCAAGTGAGATGGCTTCTATTTTTTTTTTCTTTTAAGGCAAAATCATCTACAGGAACTAGAGGGGCAGTTGGGTGTGGGGGGTGGTGAGAGCTTAAAGAGAGGTAGATATTGAAGTAGATATTGTGGGAACATGACAGGAGTCAAGATAAGGTAGATAAAGGAGTTCTGAGCTGTTCTGAGGGCGCAGCTCAGAGGGGTTGCTGGAGGAAGCAGCTGGTGCCTGGTGAGATGAGGGATGTCCTGTCACTACCTTTTCCATAGCAAGTACGGGTGTTCCACAAAACTGGTTGAACTGAGTTGGATGATTTGATGCTGGAGATTTGCAAAGCAAGAACAGTGACAATCAAGTCAGCTGTGAGTCTGCAGGTGGGGAGAGGGACACGTGAAGCCTGACTTGGTGTTTATTAGGTGAAGAGGAAGGAGCCCAAAGCCTGCAGGCCCAGGGCAGCTGCAGACCAAGTTCAACAGAGATGGGAGCTTGAAGAAGTAGAAGGAGCCCATAATTATAATGAAAAGTTCTTTTACCTTCCTGTTGAGTCACTGACAGGTACACTTAGCATCTCTGTGAAACATTAATGTTTGTTTCATCAAAGTTTAAGCAGCACTGCAGAAGGAACACTCTCTATTTTTAAACCAGGTCAGTGGACACTGCAGCCCTCACAGTTCACCTTGCCACAGTACCTTTTCCTTAGCTTGCCATTTCACATTCTCTCATCACCAGGCTACTGTTTTGAGATAATTTCTCAAAGATAAATTGCATGCTTACCTTGTTTGGAGATATCTGTGTACATCCAGATGAACCATTTTAAGAAAATTTAAAAAGTGATTAGGGAACATTTTATTTTAGCTTTTAAAGCAAACTTTTTTGGGAGCACATTTCACATGTAAGTATTTTGTTAGGGTGAGGCCTGAAGTAAAATATAATTTGACAATATGTCCTTCTAATGCCTTGTTGGTATTAACTTCTGTGCATTAATCCCATCACCCAGAGGCATTCATTCTGTTCTTTCTCTCAGGATTTATGGTTGGTAAAGACTATGAAGCTGAAGGAATAGCCAAGGATGGTGCCAAGATGGTGACTGCCGTAGCCTGTGCCAAAGTGCCTAAGATAACTGTCATCATTGGGGGATCCTACGGGGCTGGAAACTATGGGATGTGTGGCAGAGCATACAGGTAGGTGATTGCCATGATTTTCTCTGAGAGAATCATACTTCACATATAATTATAAATGATTGGGTTTATTTGAAATATAGAATGGCATTCACAAATCTCAAGTAATTAATACCATAATTTGTATCATTTGGAGGGGCAAAATGAAACTTAATGCTGAAGGTACTTTTGGAAAGAAATCCACAATGAGAACCAGGAAATATTTTGAAATGGCTGGTAATGAAAATTCTGCATGTCATAACTAGTGTGATGTAGCCAAAGCCTTGCTTTGAAAAAGGTGTGTAGACATAAATATATATCATGGAAAAGAAGTAAGGCTGAAAAATCCATGAGCCAAGTAGCTAGCTCTAAAAGTTAAAAAAGAACAGTATTTTGAACACAAGAAAAATAGAAAACAGGACATAATAAAGAACAAACATAAGAGAAAAGAATCAGGAAAGCCCAAGTTGCTTTGTTTGAATGGTTAACAAACTTGCTAATTCCCTGGTGAAACTTAAACTTTATCTTTAAGTGAGACAGCACAAGTAATCAATATCTAGACTGAAAAACAGGACATGACCATGATAACAAGAGGATATTTTGAAAACTTTTATACCCAATACTAGAGGCCTGGTGCACAAAAATTTGTGCACTCAGGGGGATCCCTCAGCCCGGCCTGTGCCCTCTCGCAGTCCGGGACCCCCTCAGGGGATGTCCTACTGATGGCATAGGCCTGATCCTGATTGGGCCTAAGCTGGCAGTCAGACATCCCTCTGGCAACCCAGGAGTCCTCGGGGGATGTCTGACTAACGGCTTAGGCCCATCCCCACCCCACCCATGGGGAGCGGGCCTAAGTTGTTAGTCAGGCATTCTTAGCACTGCCACGGAGGTGGGAGAGGCTCCTGCCACTGCTGCTGCACGGCCAGCCATGAGCCGGCTTCTGGCTGAGTGGCGCTCCCCCTGTGGAAGCACATTGACCACCAGGGAGCAGCTCCTGCATTGAGCGTCTGCCCCCGGTGGTCAGTGCACATCATAGCAACCGGTCATTGCGGTTGTTCTGCCATGGGGGTCAATTTGCATATTACCCTTTTATTATCTAGGATATTTTCATGAAATGTAAAAATACAGTGTATCAAAACAGACATCAGAATCACCTAGAGAACATAAAAATTCTAACTATTCTCAGGCCCCACCTCTGGAGATTAGTGTATGATGGGTTCCAGGCATTAGTATTTTTTTTAACTATATTTTATTGATTTTTTACAGAGAGGAAGGGAGAGGGAGAGAGTTAGAAACATCGATGAGAGAGAAACATCAATCAGCTGCCTCCTGCACACTCCCCACTGGGTATGTGCCCGCAACCAAGGTACATGACCCTGACCGGAATCGAACCTGGGACCTTTGAGTCTGCAGGCCGACACTCTATCCACTGAGCCAAACCAGTTAGGGCAAGGCATTAGTATTTTTAAAATTCCCAGATGATTTTAATGCAGCTAGAATGAAGAACCACTAGTTTAAAGGTACACATGGGCCTCTGACACTTTCTGTGTTGTACAGTCAATTAATTTGATCATTCTTTTCTCCCCGTCATAGCCCAAGATTTCTTTACATTTGGCCAAATGCTCGTGTCTCAGTGATGGGAGGAGAGCAGGCAGCCAACGTGTTGGCAACAATAGCGAAGGACCAGAGAGCAAGGGAAGGGAAACAGGTAAGTAAGTTCCATTTCTCCTGTCTTCTGTCTCTGAGTGTGGCTCTCACCAGGGAACACCCTGCTGCCTGGAGCAGCGCAACCAGAATCCCTCTGTGTTCAGGGGTCAGGGGTCCAACGTGAAGGTCCTGGCTGTTTAGAAGACACTGACCTGGAAGTTGTTGAGAAATTTAGACTTACATTCTCTCTCTTCTTTGCACCATTTCATTTGAGGTTCCTTTCTGTGGTCATGTACAGTCTTTCAGAATCCCAGGAAAGCACTCCAGGAAGCTGCCTGCGAGTGCCTGCGGCACAAAGATGTTTGGTTCTCACTCATTCGCAGTTAGTGAGCTTTAAATAGATCTGGTTTACGTCTTTGACTTTATGACCTAAAGCAGCAGAATTTTGTTTTTTCTATTTCACTTTTAGCTCGTTGTGAAGGATTCTTTGAGTGGGAGGGCTCAGTCATATAATGAGAATTGATTAACATTATTATACTGGGAACGTGTAAGTGAAGTAAAATGGAAAGGGCAGTAGAAGCAAGTGGCTGCTGTTAAAATGAATTTCTTTGTTCATTTCTCTGTTAGAGAGGCTTCTGAAATTATAGCCTTTAACTATTTTGTGTAAGCACCAAGCCTTAGAAATGAATTCACGTTCCTGAAATGGCTAGATGCACTGTTTTCATAGCAGGGATAATGCGAAGGAGGCCCTGTCTCCGAAGGCTCTTAGTCCTACCATTTAGGAAGCATCTGTCTGGTCAACTGTCTCGTTGGTGGAATGGGATAATAAAAAGCTGCAGGGTGGTTCCTGCCTCCCTGATGATATCCCATATCCTCAAGGAACTCTGAAGACCAACACTGAGGTTTCAGATTCACTTTAGTCTTGTCCAGTGTCTAAGCAAAAGGAAAGCTGTGTGTGTGTGTAAGGGTAATAGCGGTGAGGGAAGTATGAAATTCTACCTGATATTTTGAAGATATGTCCCAAACTCCAGCCCAGCATGGTGATCTCTTATTAAATAGTTGTTCTTTAATTAATTTGATATACAGATATATTAATTCATCTGTTTTAATATATGAAAGTACATAATTTTAGTGGCTCTCTCTTTGAATTCTTTACCTACAAATGATATTAAACTATGAAAATATGTTTAAAAAGGTTGGATTTATTTGAAATAAGTCATTTATTTTTGTGTGGAATTTTTTAAAGTTGAAAATACTTTTCAGGGTTTCAAAATTAACTTGCATAAAGATTTTTACATCTGAATTAATTATCACTTGTTTCAGGCAATACTGATGGGCAAGCCATTAAATTTTTAATTAAGGAAGAATATCTCTCAGCTATCTGGGAAACTGTAGAGGTTATTCAAGTTGTGGTTGATATTTTATCCCGTTAAGCCTTAAAATGTTTAAAATTTTGGCTATTTTAAAAGAACCCCCCTACTTCTCCACCTTCTTAAACAGAAGCTGCTAAATGTAATGTAGTCCTTTTGGTATATTAAAGAATTCACATCACCATTGTACTGTGCTGGAATACAGGGTGCCCTTGGTTTTGACCTTACATCACACAGCCCAGGCTCTTGTCTCTGATAAGGGAGATGTAATATGCACTAGTTTGATAGTCATGAGATTGTGTATGTGAAAGCATCACTTGTAATCTATACCTCACTGTGCAGGTAGATGTTGGTTGTAGCATCCATGACATCTCTTGCCCCTTTTTCTCGAGGCGCTCTGGGTGGATCTGTGTTCCACTGCAGTGGACTTATTCCTGGTCCTTTTCTTTCAGTTCTCCAGCGCTGAGGAAGCTGCTTTAAAAGAGCCCATCATTAAGAGGTTTGAAGAGGAAGGAAACCCTTACTATTCCAGTGCAAGGTGGGAGCCTGAGAATTATTAATTCCTTACTGGGTGCATGTTGGCCATCAGGACAACAGCTTCACAGAGATCTGGGCAGTCAGGATGGTCCAGCCTCTGTGAGAAACAAAAAATAATGTTGGGGACTCAGTTTTGTACTGTTGTCTCCATAATAGGAATGCCTGCTGCTGAAGCATAGCCCCTTCTCCCAGGCCGGGCTGTGGCTCCATCACCGTCGGTCTGATTCTGCCACCCTTCAACCCTCTTCCTTTATCCCATTTGTCTTTGAGGTGTCTGGGGCCTGGAGGGGCACTGCAGCCAGAGGTGGGCCATGCTGGGGCAAGGAAGTTAAAAGAGTTGTAATCCTGGCTAGGTAACTTTCAGGAATTAGTTCTGTTACAGTTATTGCTAAGATCCGTGGATTCCTGTCATCACCTCTCTAGGATTATTTTGTTTTTACCCCGTTTTAAGCATGGATTGGCCACTCTTTGGCACTTGTGAACAAGTGTGCTTGTGCATTCAGAAGGTGACTAGTCACAGACAGGGTTCATGTGTCAACACCGAGTAATTACCTCATATACCTATGCAGCTCTTGGCTCTGCTTGTTTCTTATGCTACTTAATAAGGTAATAAATTATCCCGCCTGTCCCTGCTGGAGACTTGCTGGCATGCGCTTTCAGATCTCTTTTTTTTTTGGACAACTTTAATGTTTTGCATTCTGAAGAATAAGCTTCACGGGTTCATTTCACCCCTTGGGCTGATGGGAAAAAAGAAAAATAACTATTTTTGTCTTTTAAAATTAGGTTATGCTGTGATTTATACCATTTACTGGAGAGGAGGGAGAGAAGTTAGAATCCATTTCAATCATGTGAACGCATCTTTTGTGGCAGGCACTGCTTCTAGTGCTGGGGCCACCAAGACTAAGCATATTTGTTTCCCAGAGCATCATTGTAATGCCATTTGGGATTTAAAAAAATATGTTTCTCTTCTTGTTAACATCTACTTTAATGACTAATTTTACAGGTATGTTTTGTTGGGGTAGTTCATTGATTCATTGAATTAAGAACAAAATATCTTTGAGAAATAAACATGTTCTTTTTATAGTAGCCAGTAGAAGCAAAGAGGAAATATAAGACCATATAAAAAGTTTAAAAGAAAATACATATTGTAAGCACATCTACATTCTTTTAAACATAACATTTTGACTGAAATTCACAAAAACAGTTGAAATATTAAACTTTGAAAAATAGCATATTTTGTGTGATGGCTAAGCCATCTATTGAGAAAGACTCAATCTTTTATTATTTTCATACTTACATTATTATTATTTTTAATGGATTATATTCAAGCAGGAGAGCAAATAGCCCAGATAGACTTATCTTTGGAAATGAATAATGAAAGACAGTAAGATTTCTTACTTTGTAAATGCTTAACCCTTCTGTTGGAACACTTGGTGGCATGGAGACAGCAACTTCCTTTCAAAGATGAAAGGATTTTTAAGCCAGTATATAGCACCTTCCTTCAGTTTAATGTCTCTTCACAGTAAAATTCTGCGGTCTGTCAGGCTTTCACATGGCTCAATCTGTCTTCAGAGAGAGCTGTCATCATTTGCTACTCTAGCCTCCTATGTTTTTCTTAATCCTTACATGTTACATATGCAGCATATCAGTTTTATTCTGCTCAGTTGTTTTTATGATCAAACTTTTCAGACATTTGATTAAGGCCTCTTCACAGTCTTTTTAATGACCCTCATGAAGCAGTCTCCTCCCTCCCCCGGCATCATCATACTTGTGTTACTCTGTCGGCTTCAGAAGGGAGTGTAATCAATTGACCCAGTTACAGATTACACGAGTGGCCTTTTCTTCTTGACAGCTCATACTGCAGACTTCCTATTATGAATGTTTTATGAGCAGAGATTTGAATCATGGTCTGTCAATGTAAGTATAGTTTAATAATTGATGCTATCTCCAGGTACAGAAGGCAGTTTGTTTAAAGAAAGCAAAAGTGCCACCTACCAATGACCTTTAAAAAAAGCAATATTTTTCATTCATTTTTCTCTGTAAATTTGAAATTGTCAGTGAAAAGCAAACTAAAATTTTTACCTAAAAGTTTCTTCTAAAAGCAATTTAAAGCTATTGTTTTTTCCTGTTGTAGCAAAAAATAAAAGAACTACATAGGAAGGTATTATTTTAATAAAATGTATTAAATTCTATTCAGTAATTTTCATAGTTTCTTAAGAGATGAAATTTTGGGGGATATACCTTTTCTAGTAGAGACTTGGTTTGAGATTATTACCTGAGTTTATATGATTCTTCATATTAATAACAGGACTACGTCACCTTGATTTGTACATTTGTGTGGGCAGAAGAGGGACAGGAAAGTTTTTCCTGGAATAAGTAAAAATATTTTTAAACTAGGGATTATTTTGTGACTTCTTGTAGGAAGCTGTTCCTAAGTCCCTAAATTTGATTTGACATTCTGTGGGGGCCTGGGATAAAAGTCATATCATTTTTCTTTCTACCCTTTCCCCTCTCTCGAACATGGTTTCAGTTGTGAGATTATAGTACACAGAAGTTGTCAGTAGATCCATATCTTATTACCTGAAGAAGAACCTCCTCAGCATTTCTGGGCAGGGCATGTATAAATGGTAGTTTGGTGGTGGATTCCTAATAACTCATATTTTGCTCTTTTATCAGGCTGTGGGATGATGGGATTATTGATCCAGCGGACACCAGACTGGTCCTGGGTCTCAGTATCAGTGCAGCCCTCAACGCACCAATCCAGAAGACAGACTTCGGCATCTTTAGGATATAACGGATATATAGCATCTTCTATTGGACATTACCAAAAATCAATATATTAATAGCATTAAAGTTTAAGACTTTTTCAAATTTTGACTGTTACAGTAAAATTTTCCCAATATAGTGCATTGTACCTTTCTACGACCTTAAAAAAATCAATAAAGCCATGGCTGGTTTGGCTCAGTGTATAGAGTGCACCCCCTGGACTGAAGAGTCCTGGGTTTGATTCTGGTCAAGGGTTGCAGGCTTGATTGGGGCACGTGTGGGAGGCAACCAATTGATGTGTCTCTCTCACATTGATGTGTCTCCCTGTCTATCCCTGTCCCTTCCACTTTCTCTTAAAAAAAAGAAAAATCAATCGAAAAATACCCTCAGTTGAGGATTAACAAAACAAAATTATTTAAAAAAACACCCATGAAGATACTTATTTCATGAACCTCAATTCCTTGTGAGTTTTCTTAGATTTTTCTGTAGCTCAGCTTTACCACCCTTGAAATGAAGAGAATAAATTACAGTTATCCTTTCTAACCCACAAGTAGTATGAAAAGTTCTGTAAACTATAAATTCCAGGTATTATCAAGACTATTACAGTTTATTTCCACTGAAATGATGATTTGTTCATTATCCACAATTTTGTAACACTTATTTTTAAAAGCATCTATTTTCCCTCTAGCCATCATCCCATTCCTTCCCATAATAGATTTTTTGCTGTCTGCACTCAGGACTCCTTTCCTACCCGTTCTCGCCTCACCTACCCTCACTGGCTTCCCCTGCCAGCAGCCCTCCCAGGGTCACCGTGGACCTCCACGTTGCTGGAACCAATGGGTTCTTTCCCGACTTTATCTGATTTAATTCTCTGCAGCTTTCAGATCAGTTGAACATTTGCTCCTTGAAACACATTTCGTAGCTTCCATGCTGTGATCCTCTGGGTTTTCTACCCACCTCTTTGGCCATTCTGTTTTCTTCAGTTTCCTTTGCAGGCCCTCTTCCTCTGCTGATTCCTGCTCTCTTCACCATTTGTCCTGATATTTCATTAGCAATTCATAAATACATTCTTATTCTAAAAGATACAGGGAACACAAAAATATCTCCTCTTTTTAAAAATTGTGGTAAATGTACATAACATTTACCACTTTAACCATTTTTAAAGGTACAGTTCTATGGCATTAAGTGCATTCACATTGTTGTGCAACCATTACCACCATCCATCTCCAGAAGTCTCATCATGCTAAACTGAAATTCTGTTTTAAAACACTAATTCCCCATTCTCCCTTCCCCAGCCCCTGGCACACCTCCTTATTCTTAAATGTATGTGTCTTTCATGGCTTGATTTAATCATCCAGGCCATTTCAGCCCGTCTTATGGCTTCATTGCAATGATTCCTCTTTGACAGTTCCTAACACGGTTCTCCCCTGACCTGCAGACCTGTATCTGACAGATACTGGATATCTGCACTGACTGTCTTACAGGAACTGCAGATTCAGTCAATTCTATTGACTTTATCTCCTATCATCACTTGAATCCCCCAGTGATTTTTGTCCTTCACTACCACAGACATCAGAAATAGTCTTCCTGCATCCAGTCTTACCTGGTCTAATCTCCATCACTCTGAAATTAGGATGGCCATTCTAATTGCACATCTGGTCATGCTACTCCCTTACTTATATCTTTTTAAAAAATACATATTTTATTGATTTTTTACAGAGAGGAAGGGAGAGAGATAGAGAGTTAGAAACATCGATGAGAGAGAAACATCGATCAGCCGCCTCCTGCACACCTCCTACTGGGGATGTGCCCGCAACCAAGGTACATGCCCTTGACCGGAATCGAACCTGGGACACTTCAGTCCACAGGCCGATGCTCTATCCACTGAACCAAACTGGTTACGGCCCTTAATTATATCTTTGATTGGTTCTCTGTAGAATTGCCCTCCATGATCATCACCTCTTTAGTCTCATCTCCTTGACTCCTCTTTCACCCTTGGTGCTTCAGCCATTCTATACCTACAAAGTCCTTCCCACCTCAGGGTCTATAGGTTCCCTCTACCTGAACTGTTCTGCTCTCTCTTCTTAAACACATCTTTTTGTCTCTGACTTCTGGGGGCTGGGTTAGTCACCTATAGTGTGCTCTTGTAAAGCACCATCACTCCCTCTGTCACTTCTATCTTACGTGTTTATCAGAAATAGAAACAGTTCTCTAATATTGCCCTCCTGCTAGAATGTGAGCTCTATGAGAGCAAGGAGCCTCCTGTTTAGCCTGTATCTCCAATGCGTGCCACTCAAATTTATTTGTTGAACGAATGAAAACAAATCCAAATTTTAATTGATATCCTCTGGTCACATCATTTTTTAAATCATGTGATTATATGCTCTAATGCTTTCCTAATAAAATTAGTATTTCAAACATTTGTGTGTGGTGTTCAATTTAGGCTGCATTTGTATATTGGGTCAATTTAGTTTTTGAGATGTGTGCAGATAGGTGATCTCAATTCTGAGATGTGGCATTTTTAGAAGCATGATGGAGGTCAGAAAGAGCACGTGGAATGCTTTCATTTCAGTTGCAGGGCTGCGTTCTTTCTGGGCTTCATGGGGAAAATTCATTTTCTTGCCTTTTCAGCTTCTAGAGGCCTCCTGCCTGCCTCATAACTTTAATAGGGATTTCTGTATATCAGCCATAATATGCATTAGCATTCTAGAGAGCCATTTAGTTTACCATAGTGCCAGGGTGATTTTATTTTCTGGAGCCCCAGCATTTCAGTGTGCCTGGCTGCGTTCTCCTTCTTGAAGATGACTCAAGTCAGTTTGTGTGCCTCCTTATGTTAAGGAGAGCAGGGCCTGAGGAAGAGCAAGGTCTTAGGAGGAGGAGATTTAATAGAGTACTTCCTGAAGAGAAAACATGACCAGAACTACTGGTTAGAAGTAAACTGGAGAGAAAAATATACTGTGACCTCACTGTTAAGTGTAAGACGTAAACAAGTCGAATTTTGGAGTACCGGCGGGAATTACGCCATTTTACGTCATTTTGCGCATTTTTGTTGAACGTCATTTCCTTTTGACGTTGATGAGGGAAAAAAAGAAAAAAAAAGGATTCCTGGCCAGGACCTCTGTGAGCGTGGGTTTCTCTCCTCGCATCCGAGAGGCGCGCACAGGAGGCGCCCTGGCGTCTGCAATGCCCGGTCTGAGTGCGGGTGCGACCCTGAACTGGAAGCGGTAAGAAATTATCTTACCCGTTTTTATTAATCCTTCTTAAGTGTATGCATAGCTCACATTTATTTAAATGGTTACTATTAGAAGTGTTTTGGATCTTTATTTAGAAGTTTGGTGATGTTTTTGTGAGGAGAATTATGCGGTAGGGTCACATTCGTCTTGTCATCTGGCTTCAGTCTCCAAAAACCTGCTGCTGACGTTAAGAGGTCTTTCTGGATTAATATCAAGAGGTTTCTGTAAAAAACATATTTGACATTTTTTTAACCACAGCTCTATTCATCACATTCAGCTGTAGGATAATTTAAAATAACTGTTTTAAAATTATTTGTAATTTAAAATCCAACAATGTTATTTGTAGAAACATTAGACTAAAGAAAATAAAGTGAAAATTCTCCATAGTCCCACCACCCAGAGGTAACAGCTGCTATTAGTATTTTCTTGTATAGTATTCTCTTTTTTTAATCTGTAGAAATTTTTTTGACAAAAAGTTATTCTGTAAAAGTTCATCTACAATGAAGTGTAATGTGTTGACCTGTTTCTGTGTCTTTTAATATTTCCTCTACAATTTTTATGTTGCATGATATTACATTGTATGGATGCCCTATTTGATTTTACTACCCTATTATTGGGCACTTAGGTTATTTCTGGTTTCTCACTATTATAAATAATGCTGCAGTAAATATCCTGTGTTTCTTTACATAACTGATTATTTTGTTAGTACAATTTCTAGAATTTGGATCAAAGTGTAGACTTCTAAGGCATGTTGCTAAATTCTGCTCTATAAATGTACATTTACTGGTATGCTATGAGCACTGCTGGATATAATGATGACCCTGGTGCTTTTATATACTGATTTATATACTGAAATAACTTCAGTGGAATGAAATCATGTAGGAAACTAGTGTTTAGCTTTAAAAAGTTGTGTCTAGGTGACAATGTCACATTGGTAACAAGTTGTGAAGGCTCAGCACAAATCCATGGTGCATCATGGTCATGGGAAGAACCCTAGACTGGGAGAAGACCAGTTCAGCCCTAGTTCTGCTGCTAAACTGTGTGAACCTAGGAAGCTGGGAGGGGGAAATCAGCTTCTCTGACCTCCCAGTTTCCTTCTCTCATTCCAGATGTCCGAGTTTTTTCCCACCTCCCCAAGTCCCCTTTATTTTTACCAGTGCTAAGTGGGCAGAGGGGGTGAATGGAAGGTCTTAGAATGTAGGGATTTAATGGAGAACTTACTGAAGAGAAAATATGACTAGAACTACTTGTTAGAAGTAAGCTGCAGAGAAAAAAAAATAGGGTGTGCTAAGAATTTTTAAAATTCTGCACATATGTACACCATATGGCTTGGTGAGACTGATTGATGGTGGAAACCATTTACCACAAGGGTGGGGAACATCCGGCTCGAGGGCCATATAAGGCCCCCCAAAATTATTTGGTCTGGCCCTGCCAAGGCATTAGTGGTGAGTTAATTAAATGTTTGCCCAAATATAGCAGGCTAATTTTTAAGTTGATAATTTTGTATGGCCTGAGAATGATGTTATAAATATCCAAATGGCACGTGGCAGAAAAAAGGTTCCCCAGGAACCTTTTCAGGATGATGCATTCTTTTGCTTTGTCAGAGTTTATTTTATTCAAATGAACTAACATCTACTGAAGGCCTACTATGTGTCTGACTTTGGGGTGGGATACAAAGATAAGTATGGCATGGGTCCTGTATGTCACCGGCTCAATACCCCTCCATCTTTTGGTAATTGCACTCTCATTCTTCTTTGGGAGCTACCCCTTTTCTGTTCTGTGCAGTCTTGGTGAGCATCAAGCAACGAGCCCTGGTCCCCAGCCAAGAGCTGGACACCTCACTGAGTCTTGGCCAGGTTGACTCTAGCATTTGACTCTTGAGCAGAGGGACAAAGATGGAAGATGACTGGCACTCTGGTTACTGAGGCTCTGTAAGCCTGAGGTACTCTGGCATCCTGTATTTTTCCAAT